TCTGGTGGATCTTCACACCCCCTGCATCTCTGGCCTGTACCCCAGTTCTTATATGCATAAATAAATAAATCTTAAAAAAAAAAGTTGTGTAATATACGAAGTTCCTGGATGTTTGTGCAAAAACAGGAAGGAGTCTGTGCAAGAATGACCTTCTCAACAGAAGTGCTGAAGTTTCTCCATTTCCGGAGTTGAGTATAAACCGATCTCCTGAAGTTGGTGAACAGGAGCATTCAATGTGTGTATGTTAGTGGAAGCCTGTGGCTCTTTGCATTAAGGAGGATGCCTCAAGCTTCATTAGTAGGTTGCACTGATCCTAGTGATCCTTTTGTTCTCTACTAACCTTGCCCAGGCCCTTAGCCACAGAGGGTCTGCATTTGCTGGAAGTGTGCTTGGATCCAAAGTACAGATGGTAAGTGTGGCTTGGACTGCGGCAGCAATGTGCTTTAGCCAAATTGGCTCGCTTCATTCCTCTTCCTGTCTCTGTTAATAATAAAAATTAATACACATCAGGGCCTCCCTGGTGCTGCACGGAGTTGGAACATAACCTAAGGGGCTGTCCGCAGCCACTGCAGTACGGGTTTGAGCCTCAGCCAGGGAGCTACCCACATGGTGCAGCAGACCTCTCCTGCCTCGCCCACTGCTCCCCTCAGCAGTGTATTTCAGTCGATCTGCCTGTTCTGCCTCTCATTATGTCTCTGGTGAATCTTCTCACCCCCCCCCCACTTCTGGTCTGCACCCCAGATCTTCTGCACACACACACACAGTATTTTCACAGTCCCCCTCCTGAGACAGGAGGGGTCTGCTACACCATGCTTCCTGGCCAGGGATCAATCAAACTCGGGTTTTGTGGTGACAGCGCTGAGTCTTAAACCCTAGGCTATCAGAGAGGCCCTGAAAATAGTTTTTTACCACATAGGAAGGAAATCTGTTCTTGTTCCAAAGACTGGTTAAAGTTGCAGTATGTCAGAGTTGAAAAGACCTGGGGTCCAGCCAATCCCCTGAAATACTTTATCTCAGTTAATCCTTACAGCCCTGGTTTAGAGATGTGGAAAACGTGGTGGAGAGGAGTGAAGGGACATGAGTCAGGTCCTGCAGCTGATTGTCTATAGAATAAGCTGGCACTCATTTCCTGTCCCGGTTCAGCAGCTTCTATAACACCAACTGTATTAGTCAGCTCAGGTTGCCAACAAAACACTGAGGGGTTAAACAAAAGAATTATTTCTCACAGTTCTGGAGGTTTGAGGTCCCAAAGTGTCGGCAGGCTTGGTTTCTCCTGGGGCTTCTCCTTTGGCTTACAGATGTCTGCCTTCTTGGCGTGTCCCACGTGGTTTCTCCTCTTGGTGTGCATCCCTGAGCTCTTTGTGTGTGCAAACCTCTTCTTATAGGACTTCAGTCAGACTGGATTGGATTCTGCCCTGATGGCCTCATTTTAACTAAATTGCATCTTTAATTGCCCTGTTTCCAAATATAGTCACATTTTGATGTATTGGGGCTTAGGACTTCAACATGTGGTTGGGGGAGCAGAATTTGGTCCATAACATTGCTATTTATGATGATATGTGAGACTGATGGAGTCTACTGGAGATCTTAAGAACATTCTAGTCTAAGCCCTCCCTGGTGGTGCAGGGGTTAAAGTCATAGCACTGTCAAGCTGTCACCAGCCACTGCAGCAGGAGTTCTATCCCTGGCCAGGGAGCTTACCCACTTGGTGTAGACCTCACTTGTCTCACCCACTGCTCCCCTTAGCAGAGTATTTCAGTCAGTCTGCCTTTTCTGCTCCCCACTCTGTCTCTGGTGAATCCTCTCACCCCCTGCACCTCTGGCCTGCACCCCAGCTCTTATATGCGTAAATAAATCTTTAAAAAAAGAAAGAAAATAAAAATTAAAACTATATAATGAGATATTACAAGCCAGTCATCAGGATGGCTAAAATTAAGAAGACATATGATGTCAAATCTGGCAAGGATTTGTTTTTTGTTCAAGTCTTAAGTCATATGAATGTCTTCTTCAGAATTGTGTCTATTTAGGTCTTTCGTCCATTTTTTATTGGGTTTTTAAATTTTTTTTGTTGTGTAAAAATTTTGGAAATTTTAGAGATTAGCCCATTGTTAGATATGTGATGCGCAAATATTTTTTCCCACTCTGTAGGTTGCCTTTTTGGTGTGTGTGGTGGTTTCTTTTGACGTACAAAAACTTTTTTAGTTTGATGTAATCCCACTTGTTTATTTTTGTTTCCTTTGCTGTTGGGGTAGAGTCCTCAAACAAATCTTTGTGGTGGGTTGTTGTGACAGGAACTTTGTTGTCACTTTGTGGCAGAAACGCGAAGAGGGACATAAGAGCCATGGAGCAGTTTTGCAAGGCAAGACTCTGCTGCTCAAGCAGAAGTTCTTATACCATTTATTGAATGCATGCAGGATAGTTTAAGCCGATCATGCGACAATGGTAGGAGGAATAAGGTCTGGGGGACTAGGGGTCAAACGCTTATGAGGAACAGAGAAGGGGACATTGTTACCATGTATCAAGAGATATTTGAGTCAGCAACGTATATGTGCAGATGTTATCACTGGCAGATTTATCCTGAGACTACCATGGAGAATAGTCAGGTAATCAGGTCAATGGCAGCCTAGGCGTTCCCAGGCCTGCCTCATGATATGGGCCATTCTTTGTGGGTAGTCAAGGAATTCTCTGCTGTGATTTGCAGATAGCTAATAGGTCACAATTGCCCATGAGAGTGATCAGCTCATAGGAACCCATAGTGGATGTCCTGTAGTGTGTCCCCTATGTTTTCTTTTAAGTAACTTATGTTTAGGCTCATAAACACAGATCTTTAATACATTTTGAATTAATTTTTGTGCATGGAGTTAAATGTATATATAGTTTTTTGTTAGTTTTGTTAGTTTGTGTGTGTGTGTGTGGGGGGGGGCATCCATGATTCCAGCACCATTTAATAAAAAGACTATCTTCTCCACTGTATGGTTGTAGCCCCACTGTCAAAGATTGTCCATATTTGTGTGGGTTTGTCTCTGGGCTTTCTATTCTATTTATCTGGGTTTCTGTCTTTGTTCGAGTACCATACTGTGAAAAAAAGTTCAACACCTTCTATAAAATTATCACATACTTACCAGGTGACCAAGAAATTCAACCTCTAGGTATTTACCCGAGAGAAAGGAAAACAAATTGTGCATTCATGCTCACAGCAGCTTCATTCATAATAGTCACATATCAAAAGCAAATCAAATGTCCACCAATAGGAAAAATGAAAAGTCAAACCAGGCTGTTTCTATAACGGATACTGTTTAGGCATAAAAAGGACTAAACTACCAATACATACAAACAATAAGGCAGCTCCCAAAGCCATGATGGTAAGCGGAAGGAGTCCGACACAAGAAGATATACTATATTTTTCCATTGGTGTGAATTTCTAAAACAAGCAAAAGTAATTTATAGTCTTACCAATTCAACAATTGCTTTGTGGAGGATAGGAGAAATGATCTATAAAGGAGAACAAAGGAACTTTTTAAAATGAAGGAAATATTCTAAGTCATGACTAGGGTATTGACTTGGGTGTTTACATTTGTCAAAGTTCCTTATATTTTGTTGGATGTAAGTTGTACCTCAATGATGTTGATTTAAAAAACATGAGGCGGGCCTCCCCTGGTGGCGCAGCGGTTGAGCGCTGGGCTGCGAAACTGCCCACAGCCTCTGCAGCGTCGGTTCAATCCCGGGCTTCCAGGAGGGTCCCACATGGCGCGCGGACCTCTCCTGCCGCCTGCTGCTCCCCTCACCAGTGTATCGTCAGTCTGCCTGTTCTATTCCCCGCTCTGGCTCTGGTGAATTCTCTCACCCTCCCATGCTTCTGACTGTACCCAGTGCTTGTATAAATAAATAAATCTTTAAAAAAAAAAACAAAAAACATGAGGCATTTTAATACTTAACTGACCTAGAAAGATTTAAAAAAATAAGTGCATGTGTCTTTATTTGATCTGGGGAAAATATATACACAAAAGTGACAACAGCTGCTGTCTGATGTTGTTTCTGTTCTGTTGGTCTTACAGAATGAAGAGCTGTTTTACATAAAGAAGAGTATAATATTGGGATCATCTTTGATCTGTCCATTTGGAAATATCTACTGAGATTTAGAAAGCCTTATTCAGAATAAGTAAGTGTACTAGAAATAAAATCAGTCTCTTATATGAGGGGCAGAATTTCCAATATATATTCTTTGGTTGTTTTGAGAATTCAGTTACAGGCATGACAGCCCATGGAAAAAGTAGAACCATAGATAGGATAGGACTTATGCAAGAGGGAGAGGGTGTCTATTTTAAAATATTGGTGCCTGTTCAGCTAGATCCTCCCAGACGGCAGAAAGCTATACCTTTCAAGATCATTGTAACAGCTTCATAAGTTAAAAACAATTCTCAACCCTATTGTAAAAGAGATAAGAAACCAGTGATGTGCTGGAGTGTCTTCTTATTTCATGAGACCTGAATATTAATTTTCATAATTTTGTTAGCCAATTGGCATATGTTGTTAGCTTAAAATAGGTCACAGTGGGAACATTTATAGTATGGAGATTGATAAACGGCCAAAATTATGGTCTTTACTCCCAGGGAGCCAATGTATTCGATAGTTAGCAGCACCACACTGAAACAGACTCAGAGAGTTTAATAACTTGCCAGGGTGACACAGGTGGCACCCACCAACATCCCAGACCATTCTCATTACTCTAAAGGCATAGTCTTACCCTCTGACCTCACTGGGGAGCTTTTTGTATTGGGGGATAAAATTCCTCACCTTGCTTCGTTATCAAAGGAAAACCATCTTGATCACTAAGGACTGTGGGGTTAGAGATAAAAGGTTTTGCAGATTTTTTCTTGAAGGCCCAGGACTCAAGCATTTGGCACCTCTATAATAAGATAAGTCTAAACGTTTAAAAATGCATGATCTTAATGTTTTGTCAATTTGACGCCAATATGAACATTTTATGTAAATAATTATGTATGTTTTCCTCCATCTCCTCAGTGAATTTCATAAAGGAGAATAGTCAAGAACTCATTCAAAGGATGGGAATAACTGTCATAAAACAAATTGTGGATGACCTATTTGTATGGAATGTTCTGAACTTCGAAGAAGTAAACAATATTTGCTGTGAGAAGGTAGAGCAGGATGCTGGGAGAGGCATCATTCACATGATTTTGAAGAAGGGTTCAGAGGCCTGTAACCTCTTTCTTAAATCTCTTGAAAAGTGGAACTATCCTCTATTTCAAGACCTGAATGGACAAAGTAAGTATCAATGTGATTGCATCTGTTCTACAAATAGAATAAACCATAATCCCCATAACAGAGCATTTGCTCTCCTTCCTCTTCCCATCAATGGGCAGTGGGCTTTGGCTCATGCTATGGAAATGCTGAGACACTCTCAGGAATCACTCCCATTAAATGATTTAATGGTAAAGACAAATAGTATATAACTCCACGGTCAGGGAATAAATGAGTTAGTACAGCCTCACTTCAAAGTCAAACTGGACAATAACAGCCCTTGAGAAGTCAGTGTGTTGGTGGTTCCCCACTCTCCTGGTTTAATGAGGACCATCTGCGCGTGAGCAACCCCACTACTGACTACTCCATGATCCAAACGCCATGGTGAAGAGAGCCTGGTTGACTCAAGGAGAAGGATTCTGCTTTTCACAAAATATTGAGTTTTCTTTAAATTAGTAAATATTTCGTGACAGTGGTTAATCAAGGTCAAGACTTGACCTACAGAAAGTTACCCTAGCCAGTATTCTTCCTTACATCCCACTATCCTCATCCATTTTCCTGACCCAAATGCAAGCTCCTCTCATTTCCAAGCAACTGCTATAATATTTGCCAGCAGAAAGGAGAAAACAAGACCAAAGGGCATGAGGGAAATGAAGACAGGGAGAAACAGGAATTTAGGTATTTCTGCTGGGTATATGGGACACTTTTCTCTATTCCTTCAGATAAGAATGAGGGAAGGAGAATAATGTCAACAGAAGATCTTCAGCATGATTCCCCCTTCCCCCTGAACACTGGGATCTGGAGAAACACAGAGTTGGGTCCTCTTTAACCTCACCTCTTCTCTAACAGGTCTTTTACAGCAGATGTCAGAAGAAGATGTAGATCGTTTGGCTCAGGATTTAAAAGAGTTATACCAGACCCCATCTTTTCTGAACTTCTATCCCTTGGGTGAAGATATTGACATCATCTTTAATTTGAAAAGCACCTTCACAGAACCTGTTCTGTGGAGGAAGGACCAGCACCATCATTGTGTGGAGCAGCTGACCTTGACTAGTCTGCTGGACACTCTTCAGAGCCCCTGCATCATTGAAGGGGAATCTGGCAAAGGGAAGACCACTTTGCTTCAGCGGGTTGCCATGCTCTGGGGCTGTGGCAAGTGCCCGGCTCTGGCCAAGTTCAAGTTAGTCTTCTTTGTCCGTCTGAGCAGGGCCCAGGGTGGACTCTATGAAACCCTGTGTGATCAGCTGTTGGATTTACCTGACATGATCAGGAAGCCGACTTTCATGGCCATGTTGCTGAAGCAAAGGCAGAAGATTCTTTTTCTCCTTGATGGCTACAATGAATTCAACACCCAGAACTGCCCAGAAATCGAAGCCCTGATAAAGGAAAACCACCGCTTTAAGAACAGGGTCATCGTCACCACCACCACGGAATGCCTGAGGTACATCAGGCAGTTTGGGGCCCTGATCGTTGAGGTGGGGGACATGACCATGGAGAGTGCCCAGGCTCTCATCCGGGAAGTCCTGATAAAGGAGTTCGCGGAAGGCATGTTGCTTCAAATCCAGAAATCCAGGTGCTTGAGGAATCTGATGAAGACCCCTCTCTTTGTGGTCATCACTTGCGCGATCCAGATGGGGGAAAGTGAGTTCCACTCATATACACAGACAACGCTGTTCCGCACCTTCTATGATCTGTTGATACATAAAAACAAGCACAAGCGGAAAGGGGTGGCTGCAGGCGACTTCACCCGGAGCCTGGATCACTGTGGAGATCTGGCTCTGGACGGCGTGTTCTCCCACAAGTTTGATTTCGAACCGGATGACATTTCCTGCGTGAATGAGCACGTCCTACTCACAACTGCGCTTCTCTGTAAATACACAGCGCAACGGTTCAAGCCAAAGTATAAATTCTTCCACAAGTCATTCCAGGAGTATGTAGCAGGACGCAGACTCAGCGTTTTATTGACATCTGGACAGCCTGAGGAGGTAACCAAAGGGAATGGTCACTTACAGAAAATGGTTTGCATTTCAGACATTATATCCAAGTACAGCAACCTGCTCCTGTACACGTGTGGGTCATCCACCACCGCCACCAGGATGGTTATCAAACACCTTGCAGCAGTGTATCAACACGGCAACCTCCATGGGCTTCCCATCACCAAGAAGCCTCTCTGGAGGTGGGATTCTATGCAAAATTTGAAAAACACCTCTGAGCAAGAAATTCTGAAAGGCTTGAGCATCAATTCCTTTACAGAATGTGGCATCAATTTATTCCAAGAGAGTATATCCAAATCAGCTCTGAGCCAAGAATTTGAAGATTTCTTTAGTGGTAAAAGTTTATATATCCACTCAGAGAACATCCCTGATTATTTATTTGACTTCTTTGAACACTTACCTAATTGTGCAAGTGCTCTGGATTTCATTAAATTGGACTTCTATGGGGGAACTACAGCTGCGCAGGACAACACCCCAGATGACACAAGCAAGACCCACATGGAAGAGTCCTCAAGAACCTACATTCCCAACAAGGCTGTATCTTTGTTCTTCAACTGGAAGCAGGAATTCAAGACTCTGGAGGTCACCCTCCAGGATTTCAGCAAGTTGCATAAGAAAGACATCAAATACCTGGGAAAGATATGCAGCTCTGCCACAAACCTCAGGCTGAACATTAAGAGATGTGCCGGCCTTGCTGGAAGCTTCAGTTTGGTCCTCTGCACCTGTAAGAACATCCAATCCCTGGTGGTACAAGCCAGTCCCCTTACTGTAGAAGACGAGCAGGGCATCACATCTGTGGCCAACCTGAAAACCTTGAGTATTCATGACCTACAGACACAACGGCCACCAGGTATTATAAACATCAGCAATTTAAACTATAATTAAATCTGGCTAAGTACTGTGGAAAAATTAGATATCATGTAGTTTTTTTTTTTTGTTTTTTTTTTTTTAAGATTTATTTATTGATTGATTGATTGATACATACATGCATACAAGCACTGGGTACAGTCAGAAGCACAGGAGGGTGAGAGAATTCACCAGAGCCAGAGCGGAGAGCAGAGCAGGCAGAAGGACCGAAGTACACTGCTGAGGGGAGCAGCGGGCGGCAGGAGAGGTCTACGTGCCATGTGGGACCCTCCTCCGGTGGCCGGGGAGCAGCCAGGGATCGAACCGGCGCTACAGAGGCCGCGGGCAGCTTCGCAACCCAGCGCCCAACCGCTGCGCCACCGGGGAGGCCCTAGATATCATGTAGTTTTGCTTAAAATTTTCTACTAATTTCTACTAAGTGTCAGGACTTGAAAGGAAGGTGGAGGAGTGAGGGGAAAGATCCATGTGGAGGGAAGGTTGTCAGATTGGAGGTCCTAGGAAGGAGTCCCAGAGCTGCAGCTACATAGTCTGATGAAGTAAAATGGGTGTGTGTGTGTGTGTGTGTGTGTGTAGTAGTAGTAGTAGTAGTAGTAGTAGTAGTAGTAGTAGTAGCAGGCTAAGCTTGTCTTCAGTGAACTCTTCCCCTTGTCAGCTTCTCTATGTCCACCCAGCACCCACTGCTCTCTTGCCATGGGGGAACTTTTCCCCTTCAAGTTCGGAAGAAATCCAGCCTGCCCAAGAAACCGGCAGGAGTAGTGAGTAATTGTGTTACTAGATTCTCAGCCTAGGAAACTGTAGCCTATATAGCTCCACCCTCACCCCATGTATTGCTCATTGTGAAAGAAGATTTGGGCAATAAACTGTCTAAAATGAAGACACTTTAGATTTCAGACACATATATATGGGGACAATCTTTCTGGGAAAGGGGAACTTCCCCAAATTCAAAACGACACCAAAGGCGAGTGTCTGCCCTTTTGGTGTAGACCGTGGCTCAGAGCAGGGGCTGCTGTCTGGTGTGAAGCTAAGGGTCAGCAGGGGCCTTCCTCGATTTGACTGTGATCTGGGGCTAGTTTTCATTCACAAGCAATGTTCCCTTTGACTATGTCTTATGTGTCACTCTGTAGAGAACATTTTCTATCATTTTAGGAATTTAGAATCTTTTGCAAAAATTTAGTATCTTTTGCACCCTCTTTTTTTTTTAAAGAGAAGGAACTAGTTTTTTAAATATTTATTTATATAAAAAATGGGGTACAGGCCAGATATGTGGGAGGGTGAGAGGATTCACCACAGACAGAGAGGGGAGCAGAACAGCCAGATGGACCAAAGACACTGCTAAGGGGAGCAGCGGGCGAGGCAGGAGAGGTCTGCCAAGCCATGTGGGTATCTCCCTTGCTGGCTGGAAATTGAACCAGCGCTGCAGAGGCTGTGCACAGCTTCACGGCGCTGCGCTCAACTGCAGCACCACCAGGGAGGCCCTTTGCACCCTCTTTTCTACAAGATTTGGGACAGTAACCCATACTATACTGGGCTACTTTCTGTGTTGGGAAGTTCACTAGCTTCTCTTAATGGCTCTTCCTTTGTGCTGATCTTGCAAACTGGTTGCCTATGTGCTGAATTTGGCCTATATAGTATTTAGTACGTTATCTTTAATGTTTGCCAATATTTTATTGCTAATATTTAAGATGAAAATTTTTTGAGTAATATATTCACATGGTCCGAATTATAAAACAATTTACAAAGAGAAGTCTCCTTTCCTATCCTTGCACCCTAGCCGTGACTCTTCTCCCAGGAGTTGCCAGCATTTTGAAATTGGGAGATATCACGTGAAAGTACAGGTTTCTTATTTCTCTTGAAAATTATAGTTTTGGCAACTGTGGACCCATATCCTTACTTGGAAACAATTAGCTTGAGCTTCAAGATCTGTTGCAACACTCTTTGGATACGTCACAAAATCTCCAGCAGGGCACAGAGCCCCATCTGTCCTACTGTTATAATAACGTTATTTCTCTAGTCCTTTTAGATGCTGAGTCTGTAACCAGTGCTTACTGTTTTTTGTATATAAAATCTAGGTCCTTAATATTCATACCTAAGGTTGGTTTCTATTTTTGCCTTATGGAGTCTCCTCAGAATCCTCCCAGCTCATTCCTTTTTAAGCTGAAAGTCCATTTCATCTGATATATGTAGCACTATCCTTTCCTTTTTTAGGGTACCATTTTCTTGTACAATTGTTTTTTTTAAAGATTCATTTATTCATGCATATGAGAACTGGGGTACAGGCCAGAAGTATGGGGTGGGGTGAGAGGATTCACCAGAGACAGAGTGGGGAAAAAAAACAGGCAGATTGACTGAAATACACTGCTGAGGGGAGCAGCAGGCAAGTCAGGCGAGGTCTGCTGCGCCATGTGGGCCACCTCCCTGGCCGGGGATTGAACTTGAGCTGCAGTGGCTACAGATAGCTTCACAGTGCTGTGTCTTAACTTCTTGTGCCACCAGGGAGGCCCCTTGGATTGTTTTTTAACCTTTTGCATTGAGCTTATGTTCATCTTTGGAGCTCAAATGGATCTCCTGGGGCCAAAAGAATGTTGGGTTTTATTTTCTGATCCAACCAGCCACTCTGTGCCTTTCTATTGGTGAGTTTGCTTGATTTATATGAAGGATAATTATTAATATGAGGGCTTACTATTGCCATTTTGTCTTTAATGTTCTAGCTCTAAATACCTATTTCCTTGCCGAAAAATTATTAAAGCTTTTTTCTCTTCAGTATATTTAGGAGAACTTCTTTCAACATTTCTGGTAGTAGATGTGTTATGCTGACAAACTCTTTTATTTTCTCTCTCCTAAAATATTTATTTCCCCATCATATCTGAAAGAAAGTCTTTTAGGATATAGTAATCTTGGCTGGCAATTTTTGCTGCTATTTTGAATATGCCATTCCACTCTCTCCATAACTGTAGATTTTCTGCTGAGAAGACTGATGAAAGCCTGAAGGAGTTAGAAGTTACCTATTTTTCTTCTCTAGCCACCTTCAATATTTGTCTTGAACTCTTTTTTTTTTTTTTTAAAGATTTATTTATTCATACAAGCACTGGGGTACAGGCCAGAGGCGGGGGTGGGTGAGAGGATTCACCAGAGACAGAGTGGGGAACAGAACAGACAGATCTACTGAAATACACTGCTGAGAGGGGCAGCAGGTGAGTCAGGAGAGGTCTGCTGCGCCATGTGCGTATCTCCCTGATAGGGGATTGAACTTGCGCTGCAGAGGCTGCGGAAGCTTCATAGGTTGCGTCTTAACCTCTTGCACCACCAGGGAGACCCTATTATTTCCTTGAATGAGCTCTCTATTCCCCTCTCTGTGTCTTCACCTTTTGGAACACCCATTATCCCAATATTGACTTTCCTAATGGAGTCAGATAGTTCTTGAAGTGCTTCTTTATTTTTTTTATCTTATTGTTGTCCTTGTGATGTCATATTTCTTGAAATCTTAAGTTGCCAGGTGTTGCATTTTTTTGTCTTTTAATTTCTATATATGTGTGTGTATAAATATATATATAATAAATACACACAGCAGCAGCAGCAGCAGCAAATTCCAGAGTTGAACTACTTTCTGCTTACTGACAGGGGGCGCTGTGATTTCATCTCTAAAATAAACTTTCAGTGCTCTAAATCTCCGTTTAAGCATTGTTCAGACGGTAGATAACCGTAGATATTGATGTTTTATTTCTGTTCATGCATTTTTCAAAATATTGGCTCATTTTTCCTTGAGACTACTATTTGACCCATGATTATTTAAAAGTGTGTTGTTTAATTTCCAAGCGTTTGGAATCCTCCCTTTTACATTTCTGTTATTGTTTTCTAGTTTAATTCCATATTTGGAGAACATGCTTATAGCTAAAAAGTCCACCTCTGACCAAAAAAAAAAATTTTTTTTGTGACAATTTCATTTAGAATCTTTTGATAATAGAAATTCAGTAAATAACAGCTAAACATATTCCAATTTCTTTTCTTTTGGTAGGAGGCTTGACTGAAAACTTAGGTAATTTGAAGAACCTTACAGAGCTCATACTAGACAACATTAAGATGAATGAGGAAGATGCTATAAAACTAGGTAAGATTTTTGTTTTCTCTCATATTAAAAAATATTCAAGGGCCTCCCTGGTGGCGCAGGGGTTAAGCACTGCACTATGAAGCAATCGGCAGCCTCTGCAGCGTGAGTTTGATCCCCGGCCGGCCAGGGAGAAACCCACATGGTGCAGCAGACCTCTCCTGTCTTGCCTGCTGCTCCCCTCAACACTGTATTTCAGTAGATCTGTTTATTCTGTTCCCCACTCTGTCTCTAGTGAATCCTCTCAGCCCCCTGCGTCTCTGGCCTCTACCCCAGCTCTTGTATGTATAAATAAGTAAATCTTTTAAAAAATTCAATAGGCTTAATATTCAATACTTAAAATAAATTCAATTAATATTTTTAAAACTTGATAATAAAGACAATTAACATAAGACTCTGACACTCACTAGCTGCGACTATACAAGGGAAGGATGCCTTGATATACTGGTGACCACACTGCTTTTCCTAGACATCTTACTCTACTTCCATGCTAATCCTTTAACATGTAGTTCCAAGTAAATTGTACACTACTGGATTATAACCCTTTGGGGAGTAGATGTCATGGTATTTTTTTTTTAAACATTTATTCAGAGCAGGCAGAAGGACTGAAGTACACTGCTGAGGGGAGCAGCGGGCGGCAGGAGAGGTCTGCGCGCCATGTGGGACCCTCCTCCGGTGGCCGGGGAGCAGCCGGGGATCAAACGGGCACTGCAGAGGCTGCGGGCAGCTTCGCAACCCAGCGCTCAACCGCTGCGCCACCGGGGAGGTCCTGTCATGGTATTTTTTTAAAACATTTATTTATTCATGCATACAAGAACTGAGAAACAGGCCAGAGGTGTGGGGCGGGTGAGAGGATTCACCAGAAACAGAGCAGGGAACAGAGAACAGGTAGACTGAAATACACTCCTGAGGGGAGCAGCAGGTGATTTAGGCGAGGTCTGCTGCACCATGTGGGTCTCCTCCCTGGCTGGGGATCTCGAACTCATGCTGCAGTGGCTGCGGATAGCTTCATAGTGCTGTGTCTTAACCCCTTGCACCACCAGGGAGCCCCATGGTATGTTTTTATTTCCCTTGCTACCTGGCTCTGTGTACCTAACACATAGAAACAGTATTAAAAGGTTTATACTATGGGGCCTCCCCAATGGCGGGTTCAATTCCCGACTAGCCAGGGAGATACCCACATGGTGTGGCAGACCTCTCTTGTCTCGCCTGCTGCTCCCCTCAGCAGTATTTTCCATCCATCTGCCTGTTCTGCTCCCCGCTCTGTCTCTGGTGAATTCTCTAACCCTCCCACGTTTCTGGCCTGTACCCCAGTTCTTGCATAAATAAATAAATAAATCTTTAAAATAAATTTTGAAAAAAATTTATGCTGTGGTTTTATAACTAAATAAAATGGATTAGACACACAGGAATGAATGTGGATCAAGAAAACTTCAGAAACACAAGCAGAACACATGATTTACAGAAACATAGGGAACCAGACCCTCCAGGATAGGGAGGATTCCACTTGAATCTGTTTTCTCCAATCCCCCTACTGTTACCCTCCTCCAATTTAAGCCCTTTGTAATATGTTCCTAGCTTTGTTCTTTTTTTCATTGTTTCCTGCCTAAAGTCAACCCTATCTGATATTTAAAACATGACCAACATTTTTCCATCACATAGCCTACATAAGAATAAATCAGTTTATTTCAGTGTTCAGCAAACACCTACAACATGCCTATGATTTACACAGAATATTGGACTGAAAAGAACCGGAAACAATCTAGTCCAACTCTCCTGTTTTACTGCTTTGGAACTTAAGAGAATCTATTGACTTGCCCAAGTTTTCTCCAATGATAGAAAGGGCTCAAAAATACCTAGCTCAGATAATCTGGTTGAATTATTAAGGAATCAAAGTCTGAGCTTGAATAAACCAGTCTTATTTTATAAGAATTTACCATTTATTGGGCCTTCCCGGTGGCGCAGCAGTTGAGCACTGGGTTGCGAAGCTGCCCACAGCCTCTGCGGCGCAGGTTCGATCCCCAGCTGCTCCCCGGCCACCGGAGGAGGGTCCTGCATGGCGCGCAGACCTCTCCTGCCGCCCGCTGCTCCCCTCAGCAGTGTACTTCGGTCCTTCTACCTGCTCTGCTCCCCGCTCTGGCTCTGGTGAATTCTCTCACCCTCCCGCGCCTCTGACTGTACCCAGTGCATGTATAAACAAAATGAACAAACAAACAAATAAATAAACATGCCTCTATAAAAAAAAAAGAATTTACCATTTATTAAATAGTTACTGTGCAATGATTAGAAACTATACTGGACACATTTACATACTTCCTTTCAATGGATCCTCACCTTAGTCCTAGTATACAGTGTAATTATCCCTGAGAACACAGTTAAGATATTGAATAACTTGCCCCGGTTTACAGAGTTATTAAGTTATTTAGGATCCAGGAATCAAACTGTGCAAAATTTGTGTTTACAACTTCCAAGCTGTGTGTACTCTCATGACAAAAACTAATATTTACTTATTATGTAATATACATCATACTAAATACATTGCATACACTATCTACAACCTTCTCTAAATTCCACAAGGCTGTCATTATTTAAACAGTACATTTATTTCCTATTAGTTTAGAGTACAATCAAGGAAATATTTTAATGATGCAAAGGTATGTCTACTTTATCTTAAACTCCATACCAGCTTTAGACCAAAGAGGGATACGTTAAGACTTATTTCCACTGTACTATTGATATGAAATAAATCTGTCTCCTGGTTAATAGAGAAATGTTGCATGGTTAATGTTGTACTGGATATAGTCTTCATTGTATAGTATCAGGCAGAACCCATATCATGCAATCCAAGTAAGGCTATAAATAGTTACACTAGAAATATACAAAGGAACTTAAGTCCCACACTGCCCTTCTGAATTCAACCTTCACCTCTTCTAAGATTTTTGAGGGGATTAAAGGGAAAGAGCTGCCAGAAGGCTTAATTCTAAGCAAATAAGTTTTGTATCAAAGTATACATTGATACCCATCAAAATGCTACACATTTGCTTCATCAATATTCTTACTCATGCTACTAAGAAAATGCCTAAGAAATGCATAAGTAACCTTTTATGTAGACTGAAAAATGATAGTAAGAAAAACTCTCTTTGGTTCTTTATAACACAAGGTTTCTACTGAAAGGGCAAGGAAAGATCTCTATGCTATTGTTCTTTACCTTCTTTTCAGTCCATTAATCTATGTTAAATCAAATTAACTTGGTGTCTCTAATGCATTTTCTTTTCTTTTTTCAGCTGAAGGTTTGACAAACCTGAAGAAGATATGCTTACTTTGTTTGAGCCACTTGTCTGACATTGGGGAGGGAATGGATTACATTGTAAAGTCTTTGTCAGCTCAGCCCTGCAGCCTTGAAGAAATCCAATTAGTCTCTTGCTGCCTTTCGGCAAATGCCATCAAGGCCCTAGGTAACTATGCGTATTAATTGTAGAATAATGTAAAAGAATGTGTTATTTTTATATTAACTCAAACTGTTTGTCAAAGGAAATGTAATATTTAGAGAAATTGGAAAAGATAATAAAGACTTCTAGTATCATCTTACTTGTTTTAAATTATTTTCTCCATAACTGAAACAAAAAGATACTATAGATAATAGAATTTCGGAATTATTGAATATAATTTTTAGGGACAGTGAAGAGGGAGAAAATAAGAAGTGCTTGGTACATGTCCTGCTTATCATATCAGAACTATCTAATAAATATTTGATTGAATAAATGATTGAGAAGCAGAGAGGACTTCCTTAGATGTGCTCAGGCCTTCCAATTTTACCCATTGCCCTGCTAAGACAGAGTTAATGTATGATATAATAAAGACTTGAGTCTTGAGCTTCCAAAAGGTATGGACACCTAGTATGAGAAGCCTTTGCGTATTTCTGGATAAACCGGCTATACTCACCTCAGATATATTTTTTTTTTTAATTTTTTTATTTTTTTTTATAGAGGCATATTTTATTTGTTTGTTTGTTTGTTTGTTTTGTTTATACATGCACTGGGTACAGTCAGAAGCGCGGGAGGGTGAGAGAATTCACCAGAGCCAGAGCGGGGAGCAGAGCAGGCAGAAGGACCGAAGTACACTGCTGAGGGGAGCAGCGGGCGGCAGGAGAGGTCTGCGCACCATGTGGGACCCTCCTCTGGTGGCCGGGGAGCAGCCGGGGATCGAACTGGTGCTGCAGAGGCTGCGGGCAGCTTTGCAACCCAGCGCTCAACCGCTGCGCCACCGGGGAGGCCCATCACCTCAGATATTTTTAAATGTAGGTTTTTGGAAGAAAGTTGGTAAAACCCTCTCTAAAAAACAGTATATTAAACTGATGGGAATCTGTAAAAAATTATTAAGGAAATCATTTGTATGCTAGCAGAAATCAAAAGAGAAACACATGACAAACTTAGGGAACATGATGCACATATTCCTCTGCTTCTCTACTTATCACTGAGAATAAACAGGTTTAGAACCAAATATAGCAACTGTATGCTTTGAAGAAAAAATTCCATGGGTTTTTTTTATTAAAGGACCAACCCCCAGCATATTTTATTCTAAGAAGAGTTCATGTGATTAAAAATAATAGCTAATGCTGTAATAAGAATATATTAATGAAATGCTTGACTAATTTTTTAAAAGATTTTTCTAATCAGTGTTGGGAGAACTTCAACTAGATTAAGCAATCATTATAAATATCTGAAGTGAACTAAGCAGTTCTTAGCTACAGTGATGGCCTTTTATGATTAGTATGTTTATGTAAAATACTTTTCCTTATTTATTACTTCAACATAATTGTGTTAATTAAAATACATCTATAGCATGGAGTTGGTTCTTGCTTTAAAACAAAAATCCTGCCTAATTATCTCTGCCTTTTAATTGCAGTGTTTGGTGCATTTACATTTAATGTGCTTATTTATATGGGTAGATTTCAATCTTCATTTTTGTATTTGTGTTCCTTCGTTCTCATCTTTTTAAAAACTTTTTTATTATTAACATTGCAACTATGGCCTTAACAAAATCACCTAAGCTGAAATACACATGTAACAACTCATCTTGTTTTTCATTCCTTTTACTCTTGCTTGATAAGGCATTTTAAAATTGGAAGCACCTTCAGTTTACCTAGTTCATCTTCCTCATTCTACATTAGGAAGACAATGAGGCTTAAAGAGAAATGGAGTGACTTTACTGTATTGACATAGCAACTACATTCTTTGCTGCTTTAGGCTATATATATCACCTGGAATTTATTAGCTGAAACTAAGGACGGAAAATATCTGTTCACTTGGTCATAGTCATGGGAATTGGGATTTAAACCTGTTTAGATATCTTTGAAAATAATTATTCAAGTCAAATGATGGTTTGCATAATTTCACCAAAGGATATCTTAAAATGCATATATAATTATTTGTAAGACTTTGTGTTTTGAATTTATTTTCAGCTCAGAATCTTCACAATTTGTCCAAATTGAGTGTTCTTGGTTTATCTGAAAATCACCTGGAAAAGGATGGAAATGAAGCACTACATGAACTGAGTAAGAATTATAATTGAGTCAAAATTAGATACTTCAATATATTTACTGGATAGTAAGAGAAACATTGGTTGAGTAATGAGGTTTCTTTTGCCCACATGTGCCTTACTAGATGAAGCTTAGCAAATTCATGTAGCCCTTATTTACAGTGCCCTTAAATACAGGTCCAAGGCTTTTGAATCACTAGTTTTCTCATGCTTATTGCACCTGAGGCTCCTACCTGCTTGCCTCCTTTTAGGGGCTATGTCTGGGAGTAACTAGTGTTCAACACGGATTTGCTTAGAGTTAGTGAGATTTATAGTTTAATGATAATTGTGATTGTTTTTTTAAAAAAGGAACTAACAATGAGGAATTTGATAAGGATGAAGCAATATTACCCATGATTTGTTTGCTGATTGTTGGCTTATTAGTATTTACAGTTTCATTATACTATTCTGTATGCTTGCATATTCTTGAGCACTTTCCATGAAAATATTAACTAAAAAATAAGTAGATTTTTCACCTCAATTAGTAGGCTACAGAGATAAAGATCATTTCTTCTTCCACATCCCCAGTCAACTTTGAGATGGATCCAATTCCTGAACTGCTTATTCTTCAAGTTGACAGGCTGAACGTTCTGGACCAGCTAAAGATGCTGATGCTGCCCTGGGGGAGTGATGTGCAAGTTAGCCTGAAGAGCCTATTGAAGCAACTGGAGGGTGCCCCACAGCTGGTCAAGCTTGGACTGAAAAACTGGAGACTCACAGATGAAGAGATTAGAATTTTAGGTAAGCCAAGAGAAAGAAGTTAGCCCTAACAAAGTTCTTCAGTTGGTTTTATTTATGTGTTTATTTTGCCTCCTCCCTTCTTATACAATGTATTTAAGGAAAATTCATTTATATTAAGGGGTAAAAATGATTTAAAGCACTACCCCACCTTTAGATTTTTAAGCATTTCACCTATAGAATTAAAGGAAAAAACACTCACATTTTATGACAATATGTATTATCTTGGTAATTGCTCTTCCTAGCCTCAACCATCTGAAATTCAACAAAGATTCTTCAATCTTGGGAATTATTTTTAAGTCACCTATTGGGTATTCAAAATATGTAAAGGTAAATGCAGCTTAATCTACATGGGGTCATAGCTGTGACATAATCCAGGAAAAAATAGAGCTACATAAATGACTGAAGACACCACCAATCTCAGGGAATTGCTAAAGAGTCCCCATGCTATCTGTAATAGTTATCAATATCTATGTAACAAATTACCTCAAATCTCAGTGGCTTAATACAACAACAAAAAATATTAGTGTCTATGGGCCAGGAATTTGGGGCTCTGGTTTAGGCTCTGTAAGGAGACTGCAGTCTACATGTTGGCTAGGGCTGCAGAACTTTCTGCTTCCAACGTGGCTCCTCACTTGGTTGGCTGATTAATGCTGGCTGGTCTGGTTTTCCATCCACCATCATCCAAATGACCCGCTCTAACTGTTCCACCCACCCCCAAACTCCTTTCTCTGTGGTAACTACCATTCTGTTATCAGAAGTCTTTTTTGTTTGCATTGTTTCTTTCTTCCACGAGTGAAATCATGGTATTGGTCTTTCTTCTGACTTATTTCACGCAGCACAATCTACTCAAAATCCACTCATACTGTTGCAAAAGGTATCTGTAAAAAAATATTTTTTAATAGCTGAGTCATACTCCACATCCATATATATTATACAACACATCTTCATCCAGTCATTCATGGATGGGCACATGGGTTGTTTCCCTATCTTGGCCATTGTGAATACTATTGTAATGAATATAGGGGTGCATATCTACGATTTTAAAGACAACCTTCCCTGAATCCTAGCTTCCTCCTTTAGTTATCATTCTCTTTCTCCTTCTCTTCAAGGTAAAAACTTATATACCCTCACTACCTCCAATTTGTTTCCATAACATGAATCACCACAGATCCAATTTGTGTTCTAGACACTGATAAATCCTGGACCAGATCATTCTGCTACATGAATCCTGACATCCTCTTTTTATTTTTTCAAACTCCTTCATGTTCTTTATTGACATTAAAAAAAAAAAAAGCACCTATTTTTGTTGGGCAGATATAGACACTTTTTAGAAAACTGGAAAAAATTAAGTTTTAAAAGTTTGTTTTCCCTTTCCCTTAGGTTGCCTCACTTGTCCAGAGTGTTTTGGTTGACTTTTAGTCTCTGTCTCTGTTGGAGCTTCTTCCAAATGCTTGTATTCTACTATTCTCTTCATATTTTAAATGAGGCACAAGTTGATAGGAAGTACTGTGTGCCTGAGAGAGCTGGGATGACTTTTCAACTGGTTAGTTTCATTTTGCAGTGATGAGGAAAACAAAAGCAAAAAAAACCAAAGGCTCTTCCTTTGTCAGGTCTTTTTTGTCAGGTCTTCAATTTCTCCTGAAAAGGATCCTTCAGTTTTCCTCTGGGAGCATATAAGTTCGACTGCCATGTTCCGGGAACAAAATGGAGTTGAAAGGTCTATTCTTGTGGTTGTTCCTAGGGCGCCCTGACCTACCACAGCACCTATCATCCATCTCATTACTTTATGTTTTCACAGTTATTGTAAGCCCAATGAGACAGGGACCGTGTCTGTACTTTTCACATACACAGCACCTAGCACAATCTGTGGTATAGGTACTCAAAATGCTTGTGAATAAATGAATGTCAGAGACACGAACTACTAGCAATACTAGAGTTTTCTTTAGGATACAGGAAACCTTCAAAGATCTGAATGTATCTAGCCAGAGTATTTGAGATTTTTTTTAAAAAAAAGATTTATTTATTTATTTATACAAGCACTGGGGTACAATCAGGAGCACAGGAGGGTGAGAGAATTCACCAGAGCCAGAGTGGAGAGCAGAACAGGCAGATTGATGAAGTACACTGCTGAAGGGAGCAGCGGGTGGCAGGAGAGGTCTGCGTGCCATGTGGGACCCTCACCCGGAGGCCGGGGATTGAATTGACGCTGCAGAGGCTGTGGGCAGCTTCACAACCCAGCGCTCAACCGCTGCACCACCGGGGAGGCCCAGAGTATTTGAGATTTTGCCTGGAATTGGGATCGAGCCACCTACAATCTCCATACCCGTAGCTCTAACCGTCAGATTCTTTTCTCTTAGAAATAGTCTGTTACATGTGGTGACGTAAACACTGATTAACAAAATGCATGCCCTTCGATTATGGATTGTTGCTTGTTCATGTTTCCTGCGCTTCACATTCTAATAATAACCCAAGTCAGTCTCCTATTGAGTCCATTCTTAAACCTTAGCAGATAGTTTGTAAAAACTGTTTGCCCTTTTAGGTGGTGTAATCCGTTCTCCTAGTCAAGGAGAAAAGAATTTGTTCTTTGGGGAAGGAGCCTTATATACAGACACTCTTAACTAGCAATAACATTTTGACTGAGTGCAAGCTATGCTAGAAAGTACATGGGAAAAAAGCAAGGGCAAAAAAAGACATGAACATGAGGTATGAGAGCAGGGAGAAAATCACAAGGAATAAAGAAGGGCTCCTATGGGATAGAGAGAGGAGATACATACAAGTTAGGCTGGACACCGGCTAAAGTGGTATAATGTGAGGCCCAACTCTGCCAAGGCTAACAGATGAAACAACTTTTATTTCCCTCTCATGCAACAGTCCTGGAGTGGGCAGTCCAGTAAGATGGGGGCTTTGCTCTATGTATACTGTCTTTCAGACCCAGAAATCTACTTTTTTACTCCTCCATGGCTTTATTATCTTTAACTTTATGGTCATGACTAGGATTTCCACCTTCCCTTTGTAAGAGGTACTTCAGAGGGCCCTACTCTGTAAGGAAATGAGGAAAGTCCTGAAAAGTCTATGGGAAGCTGAAAACCCCCCCCCCAACCCAAAATCTTGATAATGAAGGAGGTTCACTTACTCATTTACTGTTAGGTACATTCCATACCCAAACAAAGTATTTGCTTCTACAAAAGAGGAAATGACCTAATATTGCCAAGGTTTGACTCCAGCTTTGAAAACAAGTTCTGGATATTTAATAGCATCGTTCACATCTCAATTTTTAAACAATCTTCCTCCCATGGAAGTCAGGAAAAGAAAAAAAAAATTAATCTATATTGGTTTGCCACACTATCAGACTCCCTTACATTTTAGGAAAAACAAAACTGGTAATTATAATAAAGCAGATTCACAATCACTGTCCTATCTTAAAGAATTCTAATTTCGGGCCTCCCTGGTGGCGCAGAGGTTGAGCGCTGGGTTGCGAAGCTGCCCGCGGCCTCTGCCGCGCCGGTTCGATCCCTGGCTGCTCCCCGGCCACCAGAGGAGGGTCCCACATGGCGCGCAGACCTCTCCTGCCACCCGCTGCTCCCCTCAGCAGTGTACTTCGGTCCTTCTGCCTGCTCTGCTCCCCGCTCTGGCTCTGGTGAATTCTCTCACCCTCCCGCGCTTCTGACTGTACCCAGTGCATGTATAAAACAAACAAACAAATAAATAAATAAATAACATGCCTCTAAAAAAAAAAAAAAAAGAATTCTAATTTCTTTATGAATCAAGCACTGGTCCAAACATTGCCATTTCTCTTAAAAACCTGCTTTGTTTCCAACTATTTTTTTTTTTTTTTAAATACAGGTGCATTTTTTGAAAAGAACCTCCTGAAAAACTTACAGCAGTTGGATTTGGCAGGAAATTGTGTGAGCAGTGATGGATGGCTTACCTTTATGGGTGCATTTGAGAACCTTAAGCAATTAGTGTTTTTGGATTTCAGCACTAGAACATTTTTACCTGATGCAGCACTGGTCAGAAAACTTAGTCATGTGTTATCCAAGTTAACTTTTTTGCAAGAAGTTAGGCTTGTTGGGTGGCAATTTGATGATGATGATCTCAGTGTTCTAACAGGTAATTTTAAACTAGTAACTGCTTAAATAAAGGGTACCCTAAGCCCATAAATGCTCTGGAGACCCTACTATTTTCAGTCCTGGTGATTTAAAAATCTTTGCTCATATAGTTCATGAAGCGTATGGCAATCCATTATACATTTAAAGATTATCCTTCTCAGGCAGCTCTCCTGCCAACCTGTGACCTGTGTTTCTTTTCACAAACCTTTTTCATTTGCAAAACAGCAGTTGCAGCTCTGCTACCCACCTGTGTGTATGCAGGCGCCTCTCTTTTTCTTTCTTCTTTTCCTAATAAACCTGCCCTTTTAAAATGTAAAAAAAAAAAAAAAAAATATCCTTTGTCACAGTGTCTGCCTAACTTGTCTCTTGTAAACTTTCTCTTCCTTTACTGATACTAGACTGATATATGGCACTATCACATTCTTAGCTGGTATCGTCCATGGGAATCTACATTTTTGGTTTCATCACTGAAGAAAAAAAGGAAGACAATAATAAAGAGGCTGCCAGGAAAATAAGACCAAAGGAGAAAGTGGGAGGAGTTTAATTTGATGACACATGCAATTGTTTTGTGTCTCATTTCTCCTACTAGTATTATCATCTCCTTGAGAAACCCTTCATTTTGTGTTCACTGTGGTCTCAAAAATAGCAGATCACAAAAACTGCTACAGAATGTAATATTTGCTTTAAACAGTGCCTGCCATGTGCTAGACTCTTGACAAGTATTTGCTGAATATAAGATAAATTATCATTAAAAAAAGTTCTGAATAAACAAACCAACATTACATAAAACCAGAAAGAAAAATCCATGTATGTTTTTTAGTCAAAACAGTTTTTCAAGCAATATGAAATGTAGAAAGCATTTTTTATACTGAATGCAGATCAGACTCCCAAAATAGATTGACATTCTTTAGTCAAGAAAAAAATTGGCAGTTTATGAGCAGCTAAATCACAGGCTTGAAATCCAGTTGCTGATACATACATGTATTTCAGCTGTGACTTCAGAGATGAAGAAAGAAAAAACGTATTCTATTCTTTTGTAGCTTATGGAAATTAAGAGTAGTAGGTTCTAAATTCTTCTTCAACATTTCCAAAAAATAACCCTTCCCCACAAAGAAAAGTCTACGAAAAATTTGTTTCAACAGATTTAATTTGAGGCAAGTTCTAAAATAAAAAAAAAAACAAAAAAAATACCCTAAATGGTGTTAGATTATAATTCATGTATTCTCATGATACCTCAAACTAATGGCTTAATTGCTTATAGGTAACAACAGCCAGCATATCGAGGCAGGCACTGTAAAGAAATTCAGGGCATAATATTCTGTTTAGCAAGTGGTCATGTATTCTGCAGATTATCGTAAAATTTTAGAGGTGGGCCTCCCTGGTGGTGCAGGGGTAGAAGTCTCAACACTATCAAGCTATTGCCAGCCACTGCTGTCTGAGCACAACCCGGCCAGAGAGCTAACCCATGTGGCATAGCAGACCTCTCCAGTCTTGCCTGCTGCTCCCCTAAGCAGTGTATCTCAGTAGACCTGCCTGTTCTGCTCTCCACTCTGTTTCTAGTGAATCCTCTCATCCCCCACACCTCTGGCCTACACCCTAGTTCTTCTATGCATAAATAAATCTTCAAAAAAAATTTAGGTGATATTTTATACATTAATTCATTTCCCCACCCTAAATTCATAGATGGGAAAGTTTAGAGAAACTAATCAATGAATCAATGGTTACAAAACTGCTTGCATAGTGGTGACACGCAGATCAGAATCCGAATTTCTTGCCCTCCTGTCCAGTATTTTTTTTTTAAAGATTTTTATTTACCAATACAAAAACTGGGGAGTACAGAGGTGCAGGAGGGTGAGAGGATTCACCAGAGACAAGGGGAAGCAGAACAGGCAGATCAACTGAAATACACTGCTGAGAGGAGCAGCAGGAGAAACTGGAGAGGTCTGCTGAGCCATGTGGGTCAGCTCCCTGGCTGGGGATCGAACTCATGCTGCAGTGGCTGCTAGATAGTTTGATAGCGCTGACTTTAACCCCTGTGCCACCAGGGAGACTCTGTCCAGTGTTTTTTCCATCACATTTCTCAAAACGGAGTTAATCTCATTCTGTGGAAGTTGTTCTTAATCATACACCGTGGATCAAATATTTAATATCAACTTTCTTCTTTGTCTAGCCTTAAGTGACTTGGTGGCAAGACTTACTAATAAAGTGAATTGATGCTGATCAATTATATCTTTATACCCAGCTAACCAGAGCTTGGCAAATAAGACTTTTCTATATAACAATGCAAAGGCCAATGCCATCTGCAGCATTGGCATTACTGAACTTCAGCAAGCAGTTCCAATTCCCTCAGAACCCACAGGCAACCCAGCATGTTTTTTCTCAATAGTGTCAGTAGATAGCAAAGCACCTTTGGTGTGATGACTACACAGGTATTGTCTCTAACTGGATTTCAAGGAAGTTAGTCATTTAATCACACAGAGAACTGTGTTCAGTATCTGGACACTTTTTAAAATGTCATAGGGATGGAGAAGACATGCATAGAGTGGCAGCACATACCTCTTAATTATCACTCAGTAAATGGCAGTTCTTCAGATTCCATGCATGACCCACTTCACATTTAGATGAGGTCAATGGAAGAGAAATCATCCTGTAACAGTAGATCAATAATTGGGATAATAATGGTTGGAGAACATTAAGACAAAGGATAAGAAACAGGTTGCCTTATTACATTTTACAGAGTTTCATTTTGCCCTGTTGTCAAGGTAATGTAGGCTCTTATTTCTTCAGCAGGTCAAATAGGTCAAAAGGGTTGCAGATATAAAGGACACCACACTCAAGTTATTTGGGACATAGTCACTAATTATTACAGGAAGACACAATTCTGCTTGACAGAGATGGCTTCTTGGGCATTACTCCATGGTAAAGAAGCAGGATTTAAAATAAAAGAGAATGAGTTGATTGAAGAAACTGTTGCAAATTCTATGCAAACAAAAATCTCTAAGAGAACTACCTGAGGGCGAAAGTAATAAATCCACAGGGGTACTGAATTTTAGAAAAGTTGAATCCACTCTTAATATCCCTTAAAACCCTCTCTTAAAATCCTTTAGTTATCATAACTTAAATATAAAACACATGATTAAAATGTTTAAAAAAACAACATAGGTAAGTATTACTGCTGCTTATTATACTTTTTATAATACTGGTCATGTTGGAAAGACCTTAACATATGCATTTGTAAATAATCAAAAAATAATCTACATGATTCTCATACTCCATCACAATTCATTATTGGGGTAATAATGGCTAACATTCCACTATTTTTGACAAAGCAAAAATACATTAGAAACAGCCTGTTGCAAATCTAATAATACTGTATTCTGTAATCTAAGGTCCATTATGCTTTTGTTTATGTAGCTTTAAAAAGATATCAAATTCCATACTATGTATGGAATTCCATATATTTTGGTAATATATTTAATATATCTTACTAATGGGAAATTAAAACCAATCAAGGTGACAAAAAAGATAAAATGTCATCATGTCAGTGTCTGATTAAATATAAGATAGAAAACTAGGATCCTGTCATTGCACATCACCAAAGCATTTGGTATTCATTTAACCAAAATAAAACATTTTAGAGAACATGGACTATTTACAAATATATTGAAAATTTTTAATGGTAAAAATGATTTTAAAAAATCTGATAATTTAAAAAATATTATGCTAGATAGAATATGTTCTAAAATTTCTAATAAAAAGCTTGCTTTTTCTTTGCAAGACATAATTCAGGAGGATTGGAAAGAAAAATGTAGCAATTAAGTTTGGAAAAGCTATAAAAACAATATTTACTTTTAGAATGGACATCTTTTCCCTTTCCTAAAATGTGTATCATTATTCAAGGAGCATATTTACAAATTTTACTTAAGAAAGGATTATATTTTTAATAATGTGACAGACTGACTCCATCACATGGCTCTCTCATAAAGGTAATGTCATTTCACACTGCAGTCAAATACAAAATCAAAGATAGCAAAGTTCAAATTTAGATAAATATGCTTTCTAAAGGAAGCCTGTTTAACGCCTATAACATTTAGAAGGATCTCACAGTCCCAAATACATTTACAAAAATAGTTTCATGAAATGTGAACAAGCCTACTGTTCTCTAACATTTAAATGATTTAACAGTCAATGCAAAGGTGAATCACTTGATAAACTGGAAATCAAGGAGTCAATATTCCTCATAAAAATAAGTTAAATTGCAATTCATCATGGTCTTGGTTGTCCAATTCTATTGTTAGTTCCATATCTACTTGGTATATTTGGAAAGCCAGTCCTAAATCCATGGGTTGCTCCAATTCCTGGAATTCCAAGTCCTTGATTAAGCATGTTGCTATAAGGTGTGTGTCCATGATTAAGGCCCAAACCATAAGGTCTTGTCTGTGTGTTCAGAAGAATAACTGGGTTCACATTTTTTCCAGGGGTGTTAAATGCAAATTCTGGAGGTGGACTACTAGGTTTGGCTGGAGTCGACGTGACAGGGTTCAAATCATCAGTGTTCTTTAAAGTAGGCATTGGGATTATGTGATGATCAGGAAAGTTTAGCACATTGGCTGCAACTGGCCCAGACAGTAAGGCAGGCCTAACCCAATCATCCTTGAAAATCTGAACAGTCAGAATAGACACTAGAGTGTACAGTCTATTGGTCACATGAGCAAGAACCATTTGTTCATTTGCATCTCGTCGAATTCTTACATGCACTGATCCGGCCTAAAAGGGACAAAATCGTAAGAGAATGCTTAGAATCATATTACTAAAAATTGTATCGGAAATGAATACTTCACTTAAGATTTCATTGTCACAGAACTTGGTATTTTCTTTAAAACAAGAGAAAACTTAAATGTATTGGTATTCCTTAAAGACTACACAGTGGTGATTATCAAAGTAAGGAGTTTAAAAAGTAATTAGTTACTGAATAAAGCATGACTTTTAAAAACATAATAAAAAATGAGAGAAATTCATGTATAACAGGATGAAGACACACATGTCATTAAAAGGCTAAATGTAAATTAAGTATATGAAAAACACTATGGAAGGGCAAAAATGGTAGGTATTAATTCCAACTGAGGAAGATTTAAAAGATGGCATTTGATCTAAGGTGTGGGTAAATGAAATTTCAAAAGGTGGATACAGGGCCTCCCCGGTGGCGCAGCAGTTGAGCGCTGGGTTGCGAAGCTGCCCGCAGCCTCTGCAGCACCAGTTTGATCCCCAGCTGCTCCCCAGCCACTGGAGGAGGGTCCCACATGGTGCGCAGACCTCTCCTGCCGCCCGCTGCTCCCCTCAGCAGTGTACTTCGGTCCTTCTGCCTGCTCTGCTCCCTGCTCTGGCTCTGGTGAATTCTCTCACCCTCCTGCACTTCTGACTGTACCCAGTGCTTGGTATAAATAAATAAATAAATAAATAAATAAATAAATAAATAAATAAATAAATCTTTAAAAAAAAAAGGTGGATACAGGCATTCTAAGTTGAGGGGATAGCATCTAAAATGCATGGCATATTTGGGCAAGAAAATGTATTATTATTAATATATAAGAAATATTTCAGAAAACAGAAATGGAATGAAAGGAAAAAAAGGAGGAAAGAATGAAAAAAGAAAAAAGTAGGTAACAATTAAAAAGAAAGGCTATCAGAGATCTCTGAAAATCATAAGGAATTTCAATAGAATGATTAAATAGAAGTAAAATAATTTTTAAAATGCATGGGTATTGATGACTGGTAATCAGGTAAGAAAAGACAGTCTAGGTTTCAAATAGGGAAGGATGAGATAGGACAAAGTCTCAGCACTGTGGCATCAGCAAAGGACAGATGAATTCATAATATTGCATATGATGCATATGGGAGGACTTGATATTCAATTGGATATAAGGAAGGAAATGGACTCATCTAAGATGAAAGCACTAGGCATTTACAATGATGGTAAGATGTATGCTTACTAACTTGAACAAATGTTTTATCACACATTACGTTTTTTAAGCAGATTATAAAATGGTAGGGACAATAACCTTATTTTGGTTGAAACACACACAGAAAAATATCCAGAATGACAACATTTATCTTTAAATGGTAGGTATTTTCTTCTTTTTAAGTTATGTAAGTTCTAAATTTTCTAATAACCAGATAATATTTGGATAATAAAAACTTGAATCAAAATATATAATAGGGCCTCCCTGGTGGTGCAAGGGATTAAGACGCAACCTATGAAGCTGTCCACAGCCTCTACAGCACGAGTTTGATGCCCTGGCCTGCCAGGGAGCAACCCACATGGCTCAACAGACCTCTCCTGACTCGCCTGCTGCTTCTCTCAGCAGTGTCTTTGGTCCGTCTGCCTGTTCTGCTCCCCACTGTCTCTGGTGAATGCTCTCACCCTCCTGCCCCTCTGACCTGTACCCCAGTTCTTGTATAAATAAATAAATCTTAAAAAAAAATTTAAAAAAATGAATTTAGGAAATTATGTTCCTAAGGGTTCTTCCTAAGGATTTTTACTACAAAATGAGTTTCAGACATCCCAAATTAATAGAGAGGAGAACAAGAGGGGAAGGCAGGGATGAAGTATTACACATTAAGAGTGTAAGCCTGAAACTAAAGATTGCCAAGTAGCTATCACTAAGCTTTTGAACCTGCCCTAATTTGCCTATCTCTGAAATTTCTGTTATGTTAGAAAAAGAAAATCTTGTATTTTAAAAATGATATTATTAGGGCCTCCCTGGTGGTGCAAGGAGTTAAGTCTCAGCACTGTGAAGCTATCCGCAGCCTCTGCAGTGAATTTGATCCCAGGCTGGCCAAGGAGCTCCCCAGATGGCGCAGCAGACCTCTCCTGATTTGCCCGCTGCTCCCTTAAGCAGTGTATTGCAGTAGATATGCCTCTTCTGCTCCCACTCTGTCTCTGGTGAATCTTCTCACCCTCCTCACCTCTGCCCTATACTCCAGTTCTTATATGCATAATTTTTAAAAATTAAAAATGATATTATAGATGAGTAATATCTAGTGACATGAAAAGCAATATTGGGCGAGAAGATCAAATTATAAAACAGCATAATCTCATTTTCTAAGTAAATAAGTATAAATACCAAAATATTAACAGCAGCTTCCTGTACATGAGAGGATTATGATGATTCAATCTTTTTTCTGAGTATTTTCTGTATTTTCCTTATCATTCCTGACCAGGAATGAAACTATGCTATAGTAAAGTTTCTCTGGTAATTAGATCCAAACTGGATTAGAAAACATGGATTTTTGTTCTGAAGCAAAATGCATTATTATAGCTCTTTACATATTTAGCAAAATCTCCAAAGTTAGAACTACAGTTAAAAATAATTACACTTTTGGGCCTCTCCAGTGGCGCAGTGGGTTGAGTGCAGCACTGTGAAGCTGTCCACAGCCTCTATAGCACCGGTTCGATTCCCGGACGGCCAGGGAGATTCCCACATGGCGTGGCAGACCTCTCCTGTCATGCCCGCTGCTCCCCTCATCACTGTACTTCAGTCGTCTGCCTGTTCTGCTCCCCGCTCTGTCTCTGGTGAATCCTTTTACCCTTCGCGCCTCTGGCCTGTACCCCAGATCTTGTATAAAAAAATAAATAAATCTTTAAAAAAAAAATTAGGGCCTCCCCAGTGGCGCAGCAGTTGAGCGCTGGGTTGAGAAGCTGCCCGCAGCCTCTGCAGCGCCGGTTCGAATCCCCGGCCACCAAAGAGGGTCCCCCATGGCATGCAGACCTCTCCTGCTGCCTGCTGCTACCCTCAGCAGTGTACTTTGTCCGTCTGCCTGTTCTGCTCCCCGCTCTGGCTCTGCTGAATTCTCTCACCCTCCCACGCTTCTTACAGTACCCAGTGCTTGTATAAATAAATAAACAAATCTTTAAAAAAATAAAAAATAAATAAAAATAAATTATACTTTTCACTTTTGCAATATTTTCATAGGATTGTGTAACGATGCATTCATCTTAACTGTACAATGCAGTATTAATACTATTAACAGTGGTTTGAAAGAAAAATATTCCTCGATCTCAATTAAGTTACTGAATCCATCTACTTTTAGATTCTATTGAATAGAAATGGAACCAGAAGCTCTATAAAAATTACAGTGAAATATTTTGTTCAGTTAAAAAAATTATAAACCATGTTATAAATTATAAGTAAAATAATGTGTAGGGTGGGGAAAAAATAAAAATAAATAAATAAATAAAGTAATGTGTAGAAAACATACCAATGTTCCAAAACCTAAGGTCCAAAAATGTTCATTTCGGACTTCCAAAACTCCATCCAATGTAGAAACCTAAACCAAAACACAAAAATAGGGTTGTTTGTATTTGACATATTCAACACAGTTAGGTCATCTTATGGACTCATTCTCAGCTCAGAAATGACATGGCCAAACCCTGCATAAGTATACTCTTTAACCAAGAGAAGTCCCAGACTACGTAAGATACCATTTCTGCTTATTTGGTCTGAGCAAAAGCTTTATCTTCAGTTTCTTTTCTGCCCCACTATGTCTAGAATCATTATACTCCCACCCTCACCTATTCAACAGTGCATGGTTCTTTTCACTTATTAACATGACCTATACTTATATGCAACATTTGTGGTATGAGATTTTTCTTTTAGGGGGGTCTTCTCAATCATTTCTTTATCTGGATTTCACGTCAACAAATTTCTGCATGACACAGAGAGCTATTTGGAAGTGAGTCAAAAGGAAATTTCGAGGCTGGATATATAGCCTGTTGCCCTTTGGTACATGGGCGCAGTCTCTACTAGCTGAGATAAGTATTGAGTCTTAGTAAAAGTGACCTTTGTGATACCAATAACAGAGAGTTAAAACCTCAATGTTCCAATAATTCAATTAGCTTATTCCTTCAATATTTAACAGGTGGAAATTTACAACAATACAAAATATAAACCCACTTATAAAGATGCTAGGTGATAAAACAATCAACATATAAAATGCCCTTTGACTTAATCAAAATCCTATGTTGTAAGATAGAATCATAAAATCACAGCAATTAATTGAATGGTCTTAAAACCATTACCTTTGATAATTCAAGTATATTTGGTTTCCAGATTGAGTAATTTTTCTATTTTTCCTACTTTTATCATTATGTTATATCTCCTACTATGCTATTATAAAGAACATAAACACACCTAAAATAAATTCTAGGCAGGGTTGAATAAAGTATTATTTGTATCTACTCTTGGTACTCTGTAATTATAAACTGATTTTTTTAACTATTCCATCTTACCTCTCTGATAAGTTTATCCAACTGACCAATAACATGGGGTGGTGTTGTCTGGGGAAAAATAAAATAAAACATCAATCTAGGGATAAAAATTTTTTGGCAACAGTGGTCCTGAAACTAAAGAATTGGGTTTTATACCAGTCTTTGCTTTGTTTGACATGTGTCCTATTATGACATAGGGATGACAGGTTTCAATTAGCACCACTAGCAGGGAAACGTCAGGAATCATTCTATAATTAATTTTTACCTCATAAAGCAGCTGCTGTCTCTAGAAACAAGCCTTAACCATCTAAACAAAAAAATTCTTTAGAAAGGTAACATTTTGTACAGGGCACAGCACTATACAGCTAGTATCTTATTATTACTGTTTATGGGGATGGAGGTACCACTTGTAAGTTTCAGAAGTCATTAAGATAAGGCAAAAGGAAAAAATGGCGCCTCCAACAACAGGTAAACTACCTTTCTAATCAGGCTCTTGTCCACTGTTTCAGTAAGTAATTTGCCATTTTTAATTTTAATTTTGAAATTTAAAAGTGTCACAGATTCAGTGGCAGGAAATTTTAACAAATCATAAAAACAGTCAAGTACATTTATTAGGGAAAAACAAGTATCTAAAAAACATTTTTAAATAACATTGTTTTCACTTGAAATATGAGTAGAGACAAAAATGTTTTTCAATTTATGACTTTGTTTTATAAATACAGAGGTTTTTGTCTATTTTATGGGTCAATATAATTTCATTACTCCTTACTATACATATTTCAGAGATTACTGTTTGACTTAACAGCTTTCTCCAGTGGCTAAAAACTTCACAGTATTGTAGAAGAACACATACAATTTTATAATCTGTAGAAGAACATGGCTAATATGAAGTACACTGAAAGAATATCCTTACCTGGAGTAATACTTTTCCACTGTACACGCTCATGGGATACATAGTGCCAAATGTCATCAGAGCGATGGCTATGGCAGAGGCAGTGTCTACAGCAAAATAATTACTAGAAGGAAAAAAACAGTTCTATATCTTAAATGGATGTCTCACTGGGCATCTTACAATTCAATCCACTGAACATTAATTATCAAAAGCAACAGGACTATTTTATCATATTTGGTCACTGTTGGCAAACAGAATATCTCAAAGACAAATAAAAAAGCTTCCGAATCATTTCTTGACAAAGTTCAGTGAGAAACAACTAATAGCTATGCTAATATGAAAGATGATGAAATAGGGCCTCCCTGGTGGCACAGCGGTTGAGTGCTGGGTTGCGAAGCTGCCTGCAGCCTCTGTGGCACCGGTTCGATCCCCGGCTGCTCCCCAGCCACCAAAGGAGGGTCCCGCATGGCGCGCAGACCTCTCCTGCTGCCCGCTGCTCCCCTCAGCAGTATACTTCAGTCCTTCTGCCTGCTCTGCTCCCGGCTCTGACTCTGGTGAATTCTCTCACCCGCTTCTGACTGTACCCAGTGCTTGAATGAATGAATGAATGAATGAATGAATAAATAAATCAATCTTTAAAAAAAAAAGATGATGAAATAATGTGAGCACCTTCCCATATATATTTTCAATCTACTTGTCAACTAGATTCATATATATTCATCTGTCATAACAAATAAAAACCTTTAACTAGCAATTTCTGACAGAGTAATGGACTTCACTGATTCTATCAATTTTTTGATAAATATAACTTTCTAATAATTACTATTAATTTTTTTCAAAATTTCCCAAAGTACGATTTTCCAAGACTCTGTTAGAGCAACATAGTGATTGAAGCAGAACACTTCAACACTGGTTGCAACTATTCTATGAACAAGACAGACCAAAATGCCAACGGTTATAAGCTGATAATGAATTCTTTTTTTTTAAGATTTATTTATTTATTTATACAAGCACTGGGAACAGTCAGAAGTGTGGGAGGGTGAAAGAATTCACCAGAGCCAGAGCGGGGAACAGAACAGGCAGACTGACGAAATACACTGTTGAGGGGAGCAGTGGGCGCGGCTGGAGAGGTCTGCGCGTCTGATCATGAATTCTTTTGTACTTTTCCCCTCATGCTAGGAATAGAAACATGAATTAAGACATAGTCCCTCTCCTTGATAACAGGAGGTACATATGAAAAAATAACACAGAGCACTTAGGGAATCAGGTAAAGTTTTACAGGGTATCATGATGCACAGAGTGAGTGAAAAACCTATGGGGTAAGAAAAATCCAGAAAGGTTGAATATAAAGAGGTGGTTTTTGAGCTAAGCCTTGATTCAAAAATGAGCAAGATGATGGAGGAAGAGATATAGACAATGAAAGCAGTCAAGTTAAAGGGCATGAAAACCCTGATGTAGCAATGAAACTATAAACATTTAAAGATAGATAGGTGGCTGGTTAGTAAGGTTAGTAGGAGCTTTACTGTGCTAACAACTTTTTAATTTTTTCAAACATAAAAGGCAGGCGGGGGAGAGGGGAATGATTTTGTAACAGAAAAATGTATGCCCAGACTTATAATTCTGAATGATCACATTAGTAGCAAAACAGAGAATACTATCCTAATTAGTCCAAGGACATGATGGTGAAGGTCTCAATTTGGGCAGCAGCAATGAGAACGGAAAGGTGGGAACAAATAAGCAAATATTAAAAAGAAAACTTGAACAAGACTAGATGACAAGAAAATAACTTCCAATTGCCAAGAGATGGAAACACCTAAAGTGACCACTGACAGATGAGTGGATGAAGAAAATGTATATAATATCTTGGGATGTTATTTAACCATAAAAAAGGACATCCTGCCATTTTCAACAACATGGATACAACTTCAGGACAATATACTAAGTGAAATAAGTCAAACAGATGAAGAAAAAGCCTAAAGGTTGAAAGACAAAGTGTTCATTGATGGATGAATAAGCAAACATAAAGTGGTATGTACATACAATGGAATATTATTCAACCATTAAAAGGAAATCCTGACATATGCTACAAAATGGATGAACCTTGAAAACATTTTGCTGAATGAAATAGGTCACACACAAAAAGTCAAATATTGTATTACTTCAGTTATATGAAGTACTTAGAGTAGTCGAATTCATAAAGACAGAAACAGAATGATGGTACCAGGGACTTGAAGGAGCTAAGAGGTATTTATTTCTGAATTTCAGCTACAGATTATAGAAAACTTCTGGAGATTGATGGTGGTGATAGCTGCACAATAATATGAACGTACTTAATGCCACTTATCTTTATGCTTAAAAAATGGCTAAAATGCTAAATGTTATGTTAGGTATATTTTAACGTAATTATTAAAAAAGATTTATTTATTTATGCATACAAGAACTGGGGTATAGGCCAGAAGTGCAGGGGGTCAGAGGATTCACCAGACACAGAGTGGGGAACAGAGCAGGAGGACTGACTGAAATAAATACATTGCTAAGCAGAGGGGTAGGCAAGACAGGAGAAGTCTGCTGCACCATGTGGGTCAGCTCCCTGGCTGGAGATCGAACTCGTGCTGCAGTGGCTGCGAATAGCTTCATAGTGCTGATACTTAACCCCTTGTGCCACCAGGGAGACCCCTATTTTAACATAATTTTTTAAAAGAAGGCAATAAACAGGTGGTAATAGCATTTGCTGAGTCAGGAAATACAAGAAAAAAAGTTTTGGAGATGGGGAAAACAGTTCAGTTGAGGCAGATGAGAAGAAGTCAATAATACAAGCCTTTTGGAGTTCACTAAAGAACTGTGCTAGAATAGAGGTTTGGGAGTTACCTAACAGTAGCAAATAAAAACTTATAATCATATATGATCTCCACGAGAGCATGCAAAACATGAAGAAGTATTAAGGACAGATTCTAGTAAACACCAACACCAATATTTAAAGGACAGGAACTCAAAGAGTCATGTCATAAAATGTTACGCTTAAAGCAGCTATAAAGTCTATTTCCTAAAAGACTTGCTTTTTTTTTTTTAATTGTTTCACACCTACTTCCTCTTCTCTTCCCTCTCTCAGCAACAGCAGTTGTAGACTTATCTCTTTTACTGTCCTCTTCCCAGTTTCGCTCATCAGGTCAGCAGTAGGGAATTTAAAGAGTTTTCCAGTCTGCATTATAGATTGTGGTGAAAAACACTTATTGAATCCAACCCCCTTAATTTTTTTTAGGTGAAGACACTTGAGGACAAGACTAGACCAGATTCACACAAGTCTTAAGCAAAAATGATGTATGTCTATCCCCTACCCATCCCATAATGCCTTTAAAGTCAGTCTCCAGGACAAGAAACACTCTTGAAAATAATTGAAAATACTTACTTAATTTCAATTAGCATGTATGTAATACAAAGGGCAAAGGCTCCAGCAAGATCGATCAAAACAAATGGATTCATCCGGGGAAGGAAGATGCTGCTAAGTCCTGGAATAATTCCACACAAACTATAAAAAAACCAAACAAACCAGTATTCATTATAAGAATGCTATCAGAATGTAATACTGATGAAAATCTTATAGACAATAACTTTTATTTTAGTATCATATATATATATTTTTTTTTTTAATAGAGGCATGTTCCATTTATTTATTTGTCTGCTTGTTTGTTTGTTTTGTTTTTATACATGCACTGGGTACAGTCAGAAGCGCGGGAGGGTGAGAGAATTCACCAGAGCCAGAGCAGGGAGCAGAGCAGGCAGAAGGACCGAAGTACACTGCTGAGGGGAGCAGCGGGCGGCAGGAGAGGTCTGCGCACCATGTGGGACCCTCCTCCGGTGGCCGGGGAGCAGCCGGGGATCGAACCGGCGCGGCAGAGGCCGCGGGCAGCCTCGCAACCCAGCGCTCAACCGCTGCGCCACCGGGGAGGCCCCAGTATCATATATTTTTTAAAGAGGATTGGGGGAAAAGCTCTCATTCATAAAGGTCTCTTGTATCATCAATTGAAAAGTAAAGGAACATAAGAATCTAGGAGAATCTGGTCTGGGAGATTCATGTAGGAACTTCAGCAATAAGTAATGTTAAGTTCCCATGATAAACGTTATTTCTCATGCCCCCAATATATACACAAGGGGTTAAGGCGCAACCTATGAAGCTATCCGCAGCCACTGCAGCATGAGTTCGATCCCTGGGCAGGGAGCTACCCACATGGCACAGCAGACCTCTCCTGACTAGCCCGCTGCTCCCCTTAGCAGTGCATTTCAGTCAATCTGCCTGTTCTGTTTCCCACTCTGTCTCTGGTGAATCCTCTCACTCCCTTCACCTCTTTCCTGTACCTCAGTTCTTATATGCATAAATAAATAAATCTTTAAAAAAAATAAAATAGCATATGTATATCATGGAATTCCATAACATCTTACCTGCGGCTAAGATCCGCAACATGCTCTTGAAGCCAACTTGTAGTAGCAGCTTTAAGAAGAAAATACTAAAATTATCTATATAGAAGAATAAACCACTACCAGATATACTTGATTTATTTAACTTAAAAAAACAATTTGGTAATGACTGTATTAACATTACAAAAGGACAAGCTATTTCTCAAATCTAAAACTTTTTCCTCTTTTATGCCTCTGAGGTACTAAATCAAAAGCATTTTCAACTTTAATATACAGCTGACTTACAAAAATTAGTGAAATTACCTATGTATTTGCTACTTAGATTCTTGGAGTGGCAGTTGGATGGAGACCCCCAGGGCTGGTGAAGCAACTTCTAGCACTGATGGCAAGAAGGACTTGCTGGGGAGAAGCAAGCTTGGCATTGCCAAGGATCTGGTAGAAATTCATTCAAGATTTTTACTTATTTATTTTTTATTTTTAATATCAGTTTTCCTGGGAAGAACTGATAACAGTGTGATTTAATCTTTTTTTTTTTTTTTGGATTTATTTATTTATTTATACATGCACTGGGTACAGTCAGAAGTGCGGGAGGGTGAGGGAATTCACCAGAGCCAGAGCAGGGAGCAGAGCAGGAAGAAGGACCAAAGTACACTGCTGAGGGGAGCAGCGGGCGGCAGGAGAGGTCTGCGCGCCATGTGGGACCCTCCTCCGGTGGCTGGGGAGTAGCCGGGGATCAAACCGGCGCTGCAGAGGCTGTGGGCAGCTTCGCAACCCAGCACTCAACCGCTGTGCCACCGGGGAGGCCCTTTACTTATTTTTTTTAAAAGATTTATTTATGTATGCAAGAACTGGGGTGTAGGCCAGAGGTGTGGGGGTGGTTGGGGTGGTAAGAGCATTCACCAGAGACAGAGTAGAGAGCAGAACAGGCAGACAGACCAAAATACACTGCTGAGGGGAGCAGTAGGTGAGATAGGAGAGGTCGGGTGCGCCATGTGGGTCAGTTCCCTAGTGGGGATCAAACTTGTGCTGCAGTAGCTGTAGATAGCTTCACAGTGCTGACATTGTGCCACCAGTGAGGCACCCATTCAAGATTTTTAGATCACAGATCAATTATTCAGGGTGAAACATTATCAAAGATTTTGTAGAAATTCATTCAGGATTTTTAGATCACAGACCAATTATTCAAAGTGAAACCTGTTATCTTGTGAAAGAATCTGAAGAGAAGCGTGGTCATCAAGAAATGCACATACTTGAAAATTTCAAGAATATCATCCAAGAGACCACTGACCAGGCCCTTCCCTGATGCCAAGAGGCAATGAAGCTCAGCCTGAGCCCACTGTGCAGACACTGCAAGCTGCTACCGATTCAGACTGTCGACTGCAACAGAATGAGCAGATACAGAAAAGGGTGACAGAAAGTTGGAATCAAACAATGGCAGTTTGGATTCACTTATCAAAAAGAAATGGTTCTCCGTTGAAAGGGGCATCACTCCTTAGAAGTTACAATAACAAAATGAAGGATCTTTGGCGACCTGAATATTCCAGCTTGGGGAAGGTTTGCTTTGCTTTGCTTTTCAGAGACAGGTAAATGACTGTACAGGGTGGCACACAGTAAGGTATTTCTAAATGGAATATTTGTAAAATAAAATGCTACTGCAGGGGTATGGGGGTTTTCTGAGGAAGGGGAAAAAAATAGATTCTTATCCAATTTTTTATTCCTATTCTGAAAATTTATGCTAAAGGAGAATCAGAAATGCAAGAAATTTGATACAAAGAAGCTGATTATAACATTATGGCTACAAGGAAAGGTTGGAAATATATTTAAGAATAATGTTTAAAAATATTCATATGACAGAATGTTATGTAAGCTTTCAAAAATCATTTGTTCAGAGTATTTAATGAAAGGCAATCCTCAAAACTTAAAAAAGCCAGACGAAATTGAAAATGCATAAAATTCTAAATACATAAAAAGAAATTATATGTGCATAAAAAAGGAAAATAATAAAATAGAAATTTTAAAAGCTGTTATATATGGGTGATGAGATTATTAGTATTCTTATTTTCTTCCTTGTATCTCTCTGATCTTTACAGAGATACCATTTCTAAATCTTTATACCTTCCTAAAATTTCTATAGTGAGCAATTTAATAACTTACATAAAGGTTTTCAAAGTAATACTTATCATAGCAAATATCATTATTTAATTTTCTAGTTCAGCAGTTACTCATACTCTAACACAAATACAACTCATACTTCACAATACTATAAATTCATTTAAACTTTAACAAGCGGGCCTCCCCTGGTGGTGCAGCGGTTGAATGCTGGGCTGCAAAGCTGCCCGCAGCCTCTGCAGCACCGGCGAGGGTCCCACATGGCGCGCCCGCTGCTCCCGTCAGCAGTGTATTTCATCAGTCTGTCCTGCTCCCTGCTCTGGCTCTGGTGTATTCTCTCACCCAGACTATACCCAGTGCTTGTATAAATAAATCTTTTTAAAAAATAAATAAAATAAACTTGAACAAGCATTTCAAAAGCTTTCTTCTCAATTTTCCTGGAGTTCAAGTCAGTGAGACCCAAAAAGACCCTCCTATCTCTGCATCAAAGTGTGGGACTCTGCACGGAGCCCACTTGTGTATTACCTCACTTTTTCATCACTCAGTGGTTAACGCTGTGCCTTACTGGGATTTCAAAATACTGAAATTATTTTTAAAACATCAGTAATTTAGACCACTAAAGTGAAAGATCAGTCTGATTTTGTAAAGACTTGAAAAAAATTATTTCAAAAGAAAGTCTTGTTACTATCAAATATATGCGCATCCAGAAGGAAGTTCCTTAATTACTAAAATACAACTACTTGCAATGAGTACATCAACTGTTCTCATCACATGTCAGTCCCGCATATTTTTAACCAGTATTTTAAAGTTTGAATTAATTAAATTTTGCTTTATAATGCCCTGCATGGAAAAAACCTGAGAAATTTTGTAGTTCTCTGTTCTCTTTAGTATACACTTTATTGATTTATGAATTAATGAAATGAACAAAAGATTTTTTATGAGTGATTAATTGGATTTTTTAATAAATGGTAAATTAAACATACCTTCAGAGACATAAGCAAAAGGTTTATTCCGAATAGAAAGCATCGTGAACAGGTTGAAAGAAAGAGCCACGAAAGTACCAACTAGTAATCTTCCCCTAAAAAGAACAATAATAATATTCAGCATTTTTTTTTTGTAATGTCACTATGCATTTTCAGCATGTAGAAGGCACAGTGGTAGGCTTCAATGGTTTGCTACTTGCAGAACCAGAATGTGAACTTCTTTTCTATTCCCCAAACCCATGTCTTACCTATTGTTGCTTCATCTTACACAGGACAAAAAAAGGCTCTTAGCATTAACATCTTACAGATAATGATAAAAACTGTATAATGCTAATGGTTTTTGGTTTATAGTACACCAAACAGGTTAGACTATCCTGAATTTAACTAATTAGCATACATAAAGTCCATAAAGCTAGCAACTATGAGGTAGAGAAAACCATACCATCTTTTCTATTGGAGTTACTAAAAGGCTTTGGGGAGCAAAATTTAAATTACAGAAGACCAGAGAGGACTGTAAACGTTTAGTGTGTTGATTTGAATAATGAGGGATCTGAAGTCAGGGTGGAAAGGCGTTCCCTGTGTAGTATTAAAACTATTCAGGGCTTACTGACAGTTAAGAGTAAAGAGAGCTTAGGATTGGAGATTTTCATTGTAAAATACTAATGAAATGTATATTGCCACATACTGAACTCTGATAGTGGCCAAAGTAACAGTTAATAATAAGTAATGCTGGGAAAAAAAAAAAAATAAGTAATGCTTGGCCTCCTCTGGTGATGCAGGTGATTGAACGCAGCGCTGTGAGGTTGTCCGCAGCCTCTGCAGCGCTGTTTCGATCCCGGCCGGCCAGCAAGGGTCCCACATGGCTTGGCAGACCTCTCCTGTCTCACCCCTGCTCCCCTCAGCAGTGTATTTCAGTCAGTCAGCTTGGTTCTGTTCCCTGCTCTGTCTCTGTTGAATCCTGTCACCCTCCTGCTAATCTAGCCTGTACCCCGGTTCTTGTATAAATAAATAAATCTTAAAAAAAAATAATAAATAATGTTATTTATTATTTATGAATAATAAGCCATTTAACAACTTATTAATTAATGTTATATTCAAAGCAAAACCTCACGTGTGTATCTCGGGCTGCTCCAAAAAGCGTTCTGCACTAAAAGAAAGAAATAATGTATTACAATAAATTCTATAAAGTATAAAATTAAAATGTTTTACTACAGAGGGTGAGTAGAACATGTGCATATATGGAAGGAAAATGCACCCCCATAAATTACAATAAATTTTAAATGCTCAGTTATATATATAATTAATCTAATTAAGTTCACAAAATCTTTTGATATGGGGCATCCTTGGTAGCCTAGATGTAAGTCTCAGTTCTATTACTGCTGTGGCCTGAGACAATCCCCAGCCAGGGATCTAACCTATACATGGTGCAGCAGGCCTCTCCTATCTTACCCATTGCTCCCCTTAGCAGTATATTTCAGTATATGTGCCCATTCTATTCCCCACTCTGTCTCTGGAGAATTCTCTCATTATACCACAGTTCTTCTACATAAAAATAAATTAAAAAAAAAAAAAACCTTTTAATATGATAACTGAAACATAAAGAGATGTACTATGGAAACTAGCACTGCTCATTTTAATTTGTATACCCTTAAAATGTGACATGTCCTCAGTAGATTCTTTTATATTCTCAAAGGTGGAATAAATGGAATTCACAATGACAATCGTATCATATAAAAATGTACCTTTCTTTTAATATAAAGAGAGCTCCCAACTGTGCCAAGACTGTGGAAGCAAATACAGCTAGAACTTCTAATCTTTCAAATCTGAAATAAAAAAATTAATTAGATCAGCATAATTCTTCTAATCTCCAAACCATAATTCTTCAAATCTAGAATACACATTGATTAATTTGCTCACTCAATATACGTATGTGCCTACTAAGTAAACCATTGTTGGAAAAACCACCATGGAAAGCTGTCTGGAGGTTCTTCAGTCTACTAAAAATGGAGCTACCATATGACCTGGCAATTTCACTACTAGGGATCTACCCAAAGGACACAAAAAGGGTGATTCAAAAGAACACCTGTATACCTATGTTTATTGCAGCACTGTTTACAATAGGTAAAACCTGGAAACAACCCAAATGCCCAAAAATAGATGACTGGATCAAGAAGATGTGGTACATATACACAAAGGAATATTACTCAGCAATCAAAAAAGATAACTCACGGCATTCACAGCAACATGGATGGAGCTAGAAGGAATTAAGTTCAGTGAAATAAGCCAGAAAGAAAAAGAAAAATATTGAATGGTCTCACTTATAACAGGAATATAGGGGAACCAAATAAGACATCAGTGTAAAAAAAAAATAATTACAGTACATAACACAACAAAGCAAAAACAGACAATTATAAATCAGAGACATCCTGCAGGTGAGGAGGAGGGAGAGGGATCAATGGGAGGGAAGGAGGAGAACAGGAGACTGTGGTGATGGTGCACAGGTGCCTTGGAGAAGGAAATTCTATGGGGACTCAACCTGATGGGGTGTGGGGAAGCAAATATTGTTTGAAAAAAAAATTAAAAAAAAAACCCAACTGTAGGAACAGACTATGGGATTTCTAGGATGATAATAAACAATGAACAATATGAATTTTTAAAAAGTGCCTGTTTGTACAACACATTCCCAGAACCCACATATGGTTCATATTTTTCTAGACACGGTCATTATTATAATAATTATCACTAATTGACAGGTCAAAGTTATATAGGTCCAATTACTTAATATGTTATATCATTTAAACCATCCAACTTTGGGCCTCCCTGGTGGCACAAGGGGTTAAGCACAGCACTATGAAGCTATCCACAGCCTCTGTAGCACGAGTTTGATCCCCGGCCAGCCAGAGAGCTACCCGCATGGTGCAGCAGACCTCTCCTGTCTTGCCCACTGCCCACTGTCGTGCCCAGTGTATTTTAGTCAGTCTGCCTGTTCTGTTCCCTACTCTGTCTCTGGTGAAATCCTCTCACCCCTCTGCACCTTTGGCCTATACCTCAGTTCTTGCATGCATAAATAAATCTTTTTTTAAAAAAATCAACCTTCCAACTTCTTGTGTTACTTTATCAACTTTTTTTTAAGAGATAAAAAATTTAAAACACAAGGAACATAACTAAAAATTTAAAGTTGGGCCTCCCCTGGTGGCGCAGTGGTTGAGCACTGGGTTGCGAGGCTGCCCACAGCCTCTGCAGCTCCAGTTCGATCCCCAGCCATGGGTGAGGGTCCCACACACACACACACACAAATAATTAATTAATTAATTAAAAAATAAAAATAAATAAAAATTTAAAGGTATTTTGCTAGTAAACGGAAATTTCAGGTTTTTAAACTTAGGCACTATGGCTCCAGAGTTCATGATTTCAATCACTTACTATATAGTCTCTCACTTCCACACATAGTTGCAGTTAATTATAAATATGTCTTATGGGGTGAACCCAAACAGAGCATGGTTGGAACCAATAGAGATAAGACCATGTGATAAGCTGGTGTGGTGACCTGTTATATGAGCTCTATCTACAATATCTCCAGGGGCTAGGGAGCCAAACCCCTGGTCCAGAGATGCATGCAACTTGAGTGAGGCTTCCTCCTTTTCCAATTTGGGGAGGCAAACTTCTGAGATGTGACTGGGGATGGACAGCAGGACTGGAAACCACGGAAGGAGATGAGAGGAGTTGGACTGACCACCTGCTTGAGTCCGTCCCCACGAGGGAACTTCCCCACCAACACTGGGAGTTGGGTTCCCAACGCCAGAATTATAAGACTCAGAACTAGCATCGTGACAGGCAACAGACTGTATGGGGCAATCAGTGTAAATGAGGAGGCATGGAACCCAGTGACCTTGCTGGTCTAGAGAAAACAGTCTCCTATTCCAGAGGAAGTTCCAAAATCAGTCTGAAGAACCACTCCACACACCTACCCTATAAGAGGTTCCTGAAGTGTGCTGTCTTGCTAACTGCCTCTCAGTTGCTCCTGGGGACCTGAGCAGTCTGGTTTGTTGCGGTCCAGGAGCACAGGTCGTCTTCCAGAAAAGGACATGGTTACAGAAAAAGGAAAAGGTTACAGGAAAAGGACAAAGCTTGTGGGCCAAGCAAGGATCTAGAGAGTGCAGTGAGGGAGGAGTTGGAGTGATTGGAGCAGGAAAGGGAGACACAGAGAAGTGTAGTGGTGTTTCAGGGGTGGAATATGGGTGGGAGGGCCACACCGGGGAGAACAGTAACTACACAAAGATAACCAAAGATGTAATAAAATGAAAATCAAAATAAATTAAAAAAAACTATGAATATGTCTTCAAATCCCAAAACTATCAGCTGAAGGAACTGCTGCTATATTAGAGTACATAACTCTCATCCCATTTATATATGTGTGTGTGTGTATTTAAATATGACTTCAAAAACAGGCAACACTAATTTGCAATGACAGAAATCAGAACAGTGGTTATTTCTGTCAGCCTTGACTCTGAGCTGACATTAAGGGATGCTTCTGGGAGACTTGTAACATCTTTTATAGTACTCTAGGTAGTAGCTATATAGGTATAGTCACTTTTTAAAATTAATCCTGCACAAAGATATAAGCAGAATAAGATATAGACCCTACTCTCATGAAATTTATATTTAAAAATTTTTATTTTAAAGAGGGAGATGGAAAAACTAACAATTTATAAGTTCTGATAAGTTCGATACAGAAAATTACAGTAGGTTGACATGACAAGAGTAACTAGGTGATCTATTTTTTCAATAGATTGGACCAAGTCACTAAATGACATTAGCATTTAGTGATATTAAGATTGGAATAACAACATGAAGCTCATCTTGCAAAGATCATCAGGTGAAGAATGTTTCAAGCAGAGAAAACAGCTTGAGCAAAGACCATAAGGAAGGAATTAATTAGTTGGGTTCAAATTGCAAAAAGAAAGACAGTATGGTATAGAGGGCAAGGAAGTGGTAACTTGTGGTCAGGAGTCAGGACTTTATTCTAACTATAATGGGAAACAACTGGATGGTTTTAAGGAGAAGAGTGATGATAACATGATTTAACTTTTAAAAAGAAACTCTTGGGGTCTCCCTGGTGGCGCAGTGGTTGAGCGCTAGGTTGCGAAGCTGCCCGTAGCCTCTGCAGCGCCGGTTCAATCCCCGGCTGCTCCCTGGCTGCTCCCCGGCCTCCAGAGGAGGGTCCCACAAGGCACGCAGACCTCTCCTGCCGCCCGCTGCTCTCCTCAGCAGTGTACTTCGGTCCTTCTGCCTGCTCTGCTCGCTGCTCTGGCTCTGGTGAATTTTCTCACCCTCCTGCGCTTCAGACTGTACCCAGTGCATGAATGAATGAATGAATAAATAAATAAATAAAATAAAAAGAAACACTCCGGCCTCCCCAGTGGCGCAGCGGGTTGAGCGCAGCGCTGGGAAGCTGTCCACAGCCTCTGCGGTGTGGGCTCAATTCCCAGCTGGCCAGGGAGATATCCACATGGTGGGGCAGACCTCTCCTGTCTCACCCACTGCTCCCCTCAGCAGAGTATTTCAGTAGATCTGCCTGTTCTGCTCCCTGCTCTGTCTGGTGAATTCTCTCACCTTCCTGTGCTCTGGCCTGTACCCCAGCTCTTGTATAAATAAATAAAAAATCTAAAAAAAAGAAACACTCTAGGTACTTTATGGAATATGGACTAAACAGTGGCAAGAGCAGAAGCATGCGGACCAGTTTGGATGGCAGACATTGGTTTAGACAAGTAAAAGAAATCTATTAGTTTTAGGACGGTCACAGTAAAGAAACGGAGATGGGGCAGATTTTTGATGTGATTATTGGCCACCTTTATATATGCTGCTGATGGATAAACACAGGCAATAAGAGAACAATCAAGGATCGCTGAGAATTTTTTGCTTGAACAACTGAGTGGGAGTGTACTTACTAAGAGGGAAAAACTGCAGGAGAACAGATTTGGGGGGAAGAAAACAAGCATCCTAGCCTAAGTTTTAGACACCAATTATACATTCACGTGAAGCTGCCAAGAAGGTAAGTTTGAAAAATGATAGATCTCAGTCCTGGAGAATGGACTTGGGAATTACTAAATATATATCAAGTTTTGTGACTTACTGCAATTATATTTGAAGGTTTAATTTTACTCTTTAATTTCTCCCACCTTTCCAACTTAAAATGAGGAAGTGGGTCAAAATAGGAGCTATCACATCTTGGCCACAGTAACTGATCTAAACATTAACATCTGTTCCAAGGTGCCCAAATAAACAGTTCTTAGTCATGACTTTTTTTAGTTAGGACTATGATGAAAATGAGAAGGTACAAGCTAAGGTCTTACTAGGAGTTATCATTCCAGAATGGCAGAAAAAGTAGTCTGAGAAACTGAAAACAACATGCAGAGAAAGGCAGGTCTAGTAATAGAAAATGTCCTAAGTGTTCTAGTCCCTGTGCCAGTTACCTTGTCTTCCCCCAATGTGGTTACATATATATATAAAACCAAAGGGTAATTTTCCCCTAACTAGTTTAAGTCGGATTTCTTTCATTTACAATCAAAACCTTGACTCAGAGTCACATATTTTCACATACAGATATCTATGCCTTAATATTGATTATCATAGTTATAATCTAATTCTATCAAATTCTGCTGACATTTGTACACACACACACATCTTTGTTTTGCATTAAAATTTCATGTTTATTCTGTCCCACTGTTTCCTTGAATCTGAAAGGAACTCATTTTTCCCCTATAATTTTTTTTTAAGATTTATTTATTTATTTATGCAAGCAATGGGTACAGTCAGAAGCGCGGGAGCGTGAGAGAATCCACCAGAGCCAGAGTCGGGAGCAGAACAGGCAGACTGATGAAATACATAGCTGAGGGGAGCAGCGGGCGCGGCAGGAGAGGTCTACACGCCATGTGGGACCCTCGCCGGCCGGCCGGGGATCAAACTGGCGCTGCAGAGGCTGTGGGCAGCTTCGCAGCCCAGCGCTCAACTACCGTGTCACCAGGGGAGGCCCTCCCCAATATATTTTTTAAACCCTCTAATATAAGGCATTATCTTTCAACTTTCAGTAATTCCCAAAATCACAGAAACAGAAATACCAGATTCCATTAGTCCATTGCTACCACAAATCCAGTCTTGTGATAAAAATCCATTTCTACGAATAACATTAATGTTAAATATATCACATTTACTTAATATCTCAAAGATATACTTAGATGAAACTCCTTTGTACTTTAACTAAAAGATTCCCAAAAAAGAACTCAATGTTAACATTTCATGTTAAAAAATAGAAAAGATCGGGCCTCCCCGGTGTCGCAGTGGTTGAGCACTGGGTTGAGAAGCTGCCCGCAGCTTCTGCAGCGCCGGTTCGATCCCCAGCGGCTCCCCGGCCACCAGAGGAGGGTCCCACATGGCGCATAGACCTCTCCTGCCGTCCGCTGCTCCCCTCAGCAGTGTACTTCGGTCCTTCTGCCTGCTCTGCTCCCCGCTCTGGCTCTGGTGAATTCTCTCACCCTCCCACACTTCTGACTGTACCCAGTGCTTGTATAAATAAATAAATAAATCTTTAAAAAAAAAGAGAAAAGATCCTAATGTTAATATTTTATTTTAACATGATTTAAGTTTAAATATTCATGATTCTTACCCAGAATCCTCTTGGAAGATACCTGATCACCATTCTACCAGTGAGATAGCACTTATTTTCTAGAAATATTATAGCTAGTTCTTTTTTTTTTTTTAATCTAACTATTTTAACAGCAATAAGTTAGCAGAAAAAAAATAATTTGAACTTACCCAAATGAATACACTGGACTAGGTTTCCTCATCATTACCCAGTAACTTATTAAGCAAGTCATTAAACTAAGTAAAAAAGCAAATAAATTCAGCATTAGAACAACAGCTAGAAGAGAACATATAGAAAGAAATTAAGTGTCAGAATTCCTAAGCTACAGAAAGTTATGATTGCTTGCACAAAGTAAATTAACACCAAGTTACCCTAATAATTTACAATCTAATCACCACAAAAACATTCTAACACATGGCAATTTTAATAAAAGGAGATACTGAAATATGTTATGACACATCAGAAAGTACCTAACCAGTACTTTCTCTACTCAGTAAATTATCCACCCTAAATAGTTTCCATAACTGAGCATGCAAAAAATGACACAGTAATAGTAATGGTAATATATTTTACTCTAGGCATATACAAAAAAATTTTAACTCTGATAAACTTTACTTAATCTTCACTAAAGGTTAAACTAAATAAAAACATCTGAAGACTTTCTGGGCAAGATAAAATTATGTTCATTTTTCTAGTGGAGATTAAATCTAAAACAACTGACTATAATGTGAAATTCAGGTAACAACTATCTGTTTTAAACCACTCAAGTAGATTTAGTTATGTGATGAGAGGACATCCTTGCAACACACTCCTGTAGCAAGTATCTTAACAACATTAAGCTCTAAGTACTATGCAACCCTTACATGGAAATATGAAAGGTCCACAAGGCAGGGAGTCAATAGGTTGTCTCCTTAACAATTATTGGGCCTCCCTGGTGGCGCAAGGGGTTAAGCACCGCACTATGAAGCAATCGCAACCTCTGCAGCACCAGTTTGATCCCCAGCCGGCCAGGGAGCAACCCACATGGCAAAGCAGACCTCTCTTGTCTCGCCCACTGCTCCCCTCAGCAGTGTGTTTCAGTCAGTCTGCTGCTCTGTTCCCCGCTCTGTCTCTGGTGAGTCCTCTCATCCCCTCCCCATCTCTGGCTTGTACCCCAGCTCTTGTATGCATCAATAAATAAATCTTAAAAAAAAAACACAAAAAAAAGCAATTACTCACTTCACAGTTATTAATGTTTCCTCATTTCTTTTCCTATCTGCACAGGCACATGGTATATTCTGACATGACCTTGCTCCCTGGCCACACCTAACTCCCACAGATACATAGGCATCTGAAGCACCTGAATTAACGCATGGATATTTTCTTTTCTGTTGCTATATAACTGACAATTTTACTTATTTTGAAGATTACATCCCTTTAAGCAAAGAACAATTCATAAATTCAGTACAACAAATTCCTTATTAACCTCAAAACATCAAGGAGACTTTTAAAAACTTACCTAAAAAGATCAAAAATGGTCAGGTAAGTATAGGCAGTTAAAGCTGCAGAGCAATAAAAACAGGGATTAAAATGTTACTGAATTTATAGTTAGGACTTACAGCAATAGTAATAATTACTACTAAGTTTTCAGAATTCCTAAGCTATAGAAAGTTATTATTGTTTGCACAAAGTAACTTAATACCAAGTTACTCTATTAATTTATAATCTAATCACCACAAGCATTCCAACACATGGCAGTTTTAATACAAGGAGACACATCATTAAGTGAACAAAATTATTCATTCCAATGTGTACATTACAAAAAAAAAAAAACAAAAACTTATGGATCGCTGATTAAGCTCAAATGTTATAAAATGTGATTAATATATGTAACCAAATTGGCTACATACAAAGAAAAATGAAGCAGGATCTCCCTGGTGGTGCAGGGTTTAAATCTCAGCGCTATCATGCTATCACTGTCTGCAGCCTGAGTTAGATCCCCAGTATTCTGCTTCCCTTAGCAGTCTATTTCAGTAGATCTGCCTGTTCTGCTCCCCACTCTGTCTCTGGTGAATCCTCTCACCCCAGCACCTCTGCCCTATACCCCAGTTCTCTATGCATAAATAAAAGAAAAAAAAATCTTTAAAAAAAAAAAAAAAAGAGGGCCTCCCTCATGGTACAGGGGGTTAAGTCTCAGCACTATGAAGATATCAGCAGCCACTGCAGCATGAGTTTGATAACCAGGCAGGGAGCTGACCCACATGGTGCAGCAGACCTCTCCTATCATGCGTGCTGTGCCCCTCAGCAATGTATTTTGGTCAATCCGCCTGTTCTCCTCCCCAATCTGTCTCTGGAAATCATCCTCTCACTCCCCTGTACCTTTGTGGTATAGGCCAGAGGTACGGGGGGTAAGAGGATGATTCCCAGAGACAGAGTGGGGAGGAGAACGGGCGGACTGACTAACACAAGCTGCTGAGGGGAGCAGCGGGTGAGACAGGAGAGGTCTGCTGCACCATGTGGGTCACCTCCCTGGCTGGGGATCGAACTTGTACTTCAGTGGCTGCAGATTGCTTTATAGTGCTGCCTCTTAACCCCCTGCGCCACCAGGTAGGCCCCCAACAAAACTTTTTAAAAAATGAAGAAAGGTCCTCCCTCATGGCGCAGGAGTTAAGATGCAACCTATGAAGCTATCCATAGCCACTGAAGCACAAGTTTGATCCCCAGCCAGGGAGCTACCCAAATGGCGCAGCAGACCTATCCTGACTTGCCCACTGCTCCCCTCAGCAGTGTGCTTTATCAATCTTCCTGTTCTGTTTCCCACTCTGTCTCTGCTGAATCTTCTCATCCCCACACCTCTGGCCTGTACCCAGTACCTGTAGGTATAAATAAATAAATCTTTTAAAAAAATAACAGCTTACTTTAAATGACAGTGTTTAAAAACTGAATCAAATACAGCATTTGATTGCTGTATTGTAACAAATACAGCATTTTTCAAACAGATTCACTCATTCTCATCTTTTGAATTATATTTCAAAATTATATTCTATGTAAAGGAAGCTAAGCCTTTATTTAAAATCATAAAATTAAAAGTAAAATAATTAACTCCATAAAAATAAGAATGATTACATACCTATACTGTTAGTAGAACTGCACCACATAAGCAGGAAACCAGTACATGTTAAATTAATTACACCGAAGAGCAGTATCTTCCAGGACTGTGGAAAAGAAAATCAATCTTTTTGCATAGCACTGATGAACTTTGCTAGGTCTGTTCAAGATACTGTCATTCATACTGATATTCAAAGTTTGAATAAATTTCCTTCAAAAAATAGAAGTGTCGCATTTTTTAAGTCTGCCAAAATTATCAACCATGTTATTACTACAACATATAAATCTAAAGAATAATTCTAGAAGGGTGTTTATTCAAATACAATAATAGAAAGGAGATTATTCAAATTCTGACATATAAAGTCTTAAATCACTAAGAAATACACATCTGAGTATCATTTTATCTCTATAAATATATAGAAAGAGAAGGATAAAGTAAATGTAGAGCAATTGATGAACCTGAGTTAATGACAATCAGGGAGTTTCTTATACTAATCTTTTAACTTCTCTGTCATTTTGAAATTATATCAAAATAAATCCTCCTCAACCCCCCAAAAGGCAGTAAGTAGTTGGTAATTTAAATAAATCACATGAAGTAGAACTGCAAAAGAAAATGATCATCATGTTTTAGAAAGGCCACAAAAGAGTGAGGACCTGAAATACACCTTGAAAATAGCTTGGATTTAGTCAGAGAAAGAAGAAAGAACATTCAAAAAAAAAAAGACAAAGAATGAAGAGATTTAGTGAGGTGTTTTTAATTTTTATTACACTCCATGCCCTATTTAAAAAATGAGATTTATGCTCATTTGAAAGTAGAAAAGAAAGGGCCTCCCTGGTGGCTCAGAGTTCGATCCCTGGCCAAGGAGCTAACACACATGGTGCAGGCAGACAGCTCCAGTCTTGACCGCTACTCCCCTCAGCAGTGTGCTTCGATCAGTCTGCCTGTTCTGTTCCCCACTCTGTCTCTGGTGAATCCTCTCATCCCCACACCTCTGGCTTATACCCCAAAGTTCTTGTATGCATAAATAAATACAAATAAATCTTAAAAAAAAAAAAAGAAAGTAGGGGCCTCCCTAGTGGCCAGGTGGTTGAGCGCAACACTGTGAAGCTGTCCATGGCCTCTGCAGTGTGGTTTCAATCCTGGGCAGCAGGCGAGGGTCCCACATGGCGAGCAGACCTCTCCTGTCTTGCCCGCTGCTCCCCGCAGCAGTGTATTTCTGTCAGTCTGCCTGTTCTGTCTCTGGTGAATCCTCTCACCCTCCGGCACATCTGGCCTACCCTGGTTCTTGTATAAATAAAATAAATCTTAAAAAAAAAACAAATTAGAAAGGAAAGAAATTAGGGAAGAGGCAGTTATTTGGGAGATGTTAAAATTAGCAGATATAATTGCAAAGGCCAAATGTGAGATGGGATAGGGTGGTTTTAAAATGTAAATAGAAGTTATAGGTTGAGACAGGAAGAGCAATACTATTTAGAAAGGTGAGAAGACTGAGGTACAGAAGTAATAGAAGAGTGAGCAACTGAGATACACCTTGAAAATAGTAATCTTGAAACAGTAATCAAAATCAACAGGTTAGAGAGGATAAATAAGGTTTCGGAAGTTTGAGAAGTGAAAGAAAATGGTATTAAATGATCATCTAAGAAAATGAGGGGCCTCCCTGGTGGCGCAGGTGGTTGAGCGCAGCGCTGTGAAGCTGTCCGCAGCCTCTGCAGCATGGGTTTGATCCCAGCCAGCTGGGGAGATGCCCATATGGCATGGCAGACCTCTCCTGTCTCTCCCACTACTCCCCTCAGCTGTATATTTTGGTCACTCTGCCTGTTCTGTTCCCTGCTCTGTTTCTGGTGAATCCTCTCACCCTCCTGCACATCTGGCCTATACCCCGGTTCTTGTATGCATGAATAAATAAATCTTTAAAAAAAAAGAAAGAAAATGGGGGCCTCCCCAGTGGCGCAGCGGTTGAGCGCTGGGTTGCGAAGCTGCTCGCAGCCTCTATAGCACCAGTTCAATCCCCGGCCACCGGGCAAGGGTCCCACATGGCACGCAGACCTCTCCTGCTGCCCGCTGCTCCCCTCAGCAGTGTACTTCATTAGTCTGCCTGCTCTGCTCCCCGCTCTGGCTCTGGTGAATTCTCTCACCCTCCCGTGCTTCTGACTGTACCCAGCGCTTGTATAAATAAATAAATCTTAAAAAAAAAAAAAAAAAAAAAGGAAAATGGGAAACAATTAACGAAGAAAGTATAATACAGGCAGCACTAGTTGCATACTTGATTATGAATTTAAAGTGAAAGTCAGCATGGCTTTGTGTTTCTTTCAGGCTACATTTGGTTGCTTGTGTATAGAGTAGAAAGGAAATGAAGTTAAGGATTTGTAGGGGGAAACACAAAGGAGTTGAATAAACATGCAAGAAAATGCTAAGGAAATTAATATAAGTTCATAAATAAGTAAGCAAATGAAGATAAAGAAAGTGAAAAATAGTGAAAATAAGGCTGTATCAATGGATTGGAGGTCCTAACAAGATTGAAGAATTACTGAAGTTGGGAAACAAGAAGATGTGAACTAGAAAGATGAGATGATGTTTGATGAGTAAAATGCTTAAAATTGAGATAATGGGAGAATATAGTTAATATAAATGATAAGGTCTATAATATTACCATAGCAGCAGATGTCTAGTAGGGACAGAAGACAAGATTTTGTGTGATGAGGAAGTAAGGAACTGAGAGGTAAAGATCTTCCTCATGAAATGCAAAATGACCAAGGACTAAGACAGGAGTAGTAGTAAAAAGAGCTTAGCCAGGTGTACCTCTCTTAAAATTTTAATTATGATAGGGGTTAACTTCACAATTCAAGTGTGCCTATATTATTTTTTTCTAACTCCATGCTTTGGCATGCTTTGCCTCAATAAGGTGTACTATCAAAGAATTTCCTGCTTATTTCTGCAATATAGTTGTTTTCCATCAACATCATAGAGATATATTTGTATTCAAGAGATCTTCCTAAATGGAGCAGACACACACGAAGCAGATTAACTTCCTACCCCTGGCTTTTGAAGTTTAACATTCAGGTCTTGATAGTATTTTCAAACATTAGAATTATTGAGCTCTGACTATAAATAAGAGATGCACTGGTAAAGAACAAAGTCTCTAGTGCCACAATAATTGGCTAAGATCATTGGCACTGCTTATTATGTTCCATTGAAGTTAGGTTTATTTAAAATCATCAAGTATTTATTGAGAGCTCATTTTGTAGCTTTATATAAAAGAATTGAACAAAAGTCAGTCACTCCCTTCAGAGAGCTTATGAAATTTAGACAATGAGAGTAATGAAAATAAAACAATAACTTGGAAGTATAATATTGACAAACAAAATGTCTAACAATGACAACCAGTTATACCTTCTAGTTAGTCTCAAAGCATATTTTTCCTGCCTTACACTGAAAATGAGAAAACCATGAATTCATACTATATCCACTTAATTTCTTTAAATAAGGCAGTCAAAAAACAATTTTTCTTGAAAACTATATAGAATAAAAACTTCACAGTCCAGTTTTCTCCCAAGGTAAATAACTATATACAAAAATACTATAACTGTACATTAAAAAATTACTTATACACATAAAAAAATGAAAATGGTATGGTAGGGCTAAGAATGATTTCTATTTGTCTTAAAAATTACTTTTTTCAATGTTATTTTGTTTGTACAATAATTTAAATTAGGGTTAAGGAATAAAAATAACTTACCCTTCGGTCAGCTGCCACAAGTCTAAATTCCTGTAATAACTTGCCAAATAAAGATCTTTGTGGTTTTCGAAATAGATGAATTGTCCCCTTAAAAAAAAAAAAAGTATAAATCAGTACTTATCTAACCTTCATACTTCCTATGATGTGATATAGTAGTAATAACTAACGCTTACTGAATGTTCAACATGTACCAAGCACTTATTCTATCTACTTTATATATCTATTTATTCAACACAAAAATCCAGTTAAGTAGAAACAATTTTCAGTAAGTTGTCCAAGGGCACAATCCCAGTAAATAGCTGAGCGGGAAGACTACCACACTCTTAATTTTGAGTGGATGAGGCAATTTCCAACCAGGAAAGCAATTTGCCAAATAACCCCACTGAAAAGAAAACATAATTTCCCTAATTAAAGCTTTATCTATAAAAGGTTTGGTAACTATTATTATAGTAAACCCTCTGGAGCCCTCTCTTAGGCATTCAAAGTACTTGATATCCCAGCTGGCCTCATGGCCCCTGCTAGTACCTAACAGAGAAAGGAGTTGGCAGTGGGGTTACCTGTGACAAAAGAGAGTGAGTGATGACTAAAGTGGGATTAACCACGCAAGTTCAGGAAGCCATATGGAAAATATTTAGCATAAGGGTGAGTTCAAGAACATATGGGAAATTTGCTTATAATTAAGAGAGTACCCAACATCAGAGAGAAAATGAGTCATTTAAAAAATGCCATTTGGAAGAAATAAAATTAGATCCTTACCATGTTTCTTACTCTAACCTTTTATTGTCTTAAAATTAAAATATAAAATTACAGAATACTTGAATAAACTATGTATGAATAATTTTGGAATTAGAGAAGCCTTTTCTTAGTAGGACATAAAGTCAAGAAGATAGCTACAAAGGAAATTAATGATCAATTAGACATCATTAGTTGTATTATGTTAAGACTCAGTTAAGGAAGAAAATAAGGCTGATCACTAGAAAACTGGCATAAGAAAAAACAGTAGCAAAATGCTGATCATTACCAAGACATGCCTGTATCAGGTTCATTATATTTTACTCTCCCTATTTTTGTGTATATTCAAAAATTCCCATAACTTTCCATTATAAAAATGTAATAAAGTAAAAAATACCACAAAATATAAAGCATCAGAAAGTTCCTAATGTAAGATATCAAAGACCAGTGTATGTGCATAACCCCAAGACGCTGGTAAGTCAATTCACTTGAAAAGGAAAAATATGCTATTTTTATTTGAGATGGTAGTATATGCTAATGACTATATCATATTGTTAAATAAATACATGTGAAATATTGTGGTTCCAAAGATAAATTCTGCTTAATACTGTTATTCTTGCATATCTTCTAACTTTAATTCACTTTAAAATTTTAAATACTTTAACTTTAGGTTAAGAGAATCACTAAGATTCCTAAAGACAGAGGGCCATTTCTGATGCCATTCTGATACTGGGCGAAAAAATTCCTAACATTCATGTCACTCTTTCCAAAATTACATTGGCATTCCATTGCTATCAGAATAGACTTCACATTTTACAAGCTGAAATTCAATGCTGATTCAGTAACTTAGCATCAGTTTCATTTCAGTTTTATCTCATTCCAGATAGGAATCCTCACTTCCAGTTAAACTGAAGTACCCACTGTCAACTGATCAGACAGAGTTAAAAGATCAGACTTGTCTAACACAAATTCTAGTAGTCTCTGTTCCTCAGTAAGTTACTTGACCTCTTTCCTCATCTAAGTAAGAGTAATATAAAGAATATTAGAGGAAGGCACAAAGTACTCAGTTGCATGTTTCACCTCCTACATGAAGCCTTTTCTGGATTATTCCAAGTTGCTTTTTATGATACTTTCTTTGTACTTTTAACCATAGATTAGCCTTTATGTTGTCATCTTGCATCGTAACTTAATTCTTTAACTTCACTAATGACAACTGTTTTGCTTCCTTTTTATCTCCTAAGACAGCAATGTGCTTTGCATAGAGCATATTTTGAATAAGTAATACATAATGGGTGACTCCTAAAACCTTTTTTCCCAGTTTTTAAAATAAATCTTATGTGCTATTTCCCTGTATCACTGATGTTTGAAGCACTAAAACTGAGTGTGACTTTTATTTGCCCAGTGCTTTATAAAACAGGTATTTACTGAGAACGTTCTCTGGACCAGACACTGCAAAAGGTTCTGGGAATGCCGGAGTGAATAGATAGATCATGCTTTCAAAGGACTCACATTTTAGACAGTGAGAAAGACAAATAAATACACAATTTTAACAAAGTCTGGTAAGGACTACAGATGTTATTGGGAAAAGAGGCACCTACAGGATCTTAAGACATGGCAGAAAGGCTCATGAAAGACTAAAGTACATGTAGAGTTATATTGAAAAGGGGTAGGGTGTGTTAGGGATGGAGAAGAATTCAGGCAGCTAGAACACGTGTAAGTTAAGCACGGAAGTTTAATTTTTAAAGCAGAATCTGCTGTTTACTGTGTCTGGAATATGGACGTGTTTATGTGTAAGAGGAGGCTAGCTAGATAGTAATGCGCTTACTTATGGATGGCTTGGTACTCCATACTAAACAAGGCTTTGAGTTATGGGGAAAAACTAAAGGATTTCAAATAAATGAATGGCAAGCTGAAGTTTTAGAAATTTAACTCTGGTTACACAGTGACTGTTTGGAAGAATATAGCTGAAGACTACTTGGTTAGCCGCCCACCCCCCCACCCCGCCCCAAAAGTAAACTTTTATTCACTTTGATTGTAAAAAAAGGGATTACAGAAAATTTACAAAAAATAAAGACGGCATGTAAAACTTTTTAAAGCCATATCCATTTAAACAAAAACGCTTATGAGAGTGACGCTGGTTTAGACGCAGAAATGGAATCTTTCTCCAATGTAGGCTCTCAAGAAGAGACCAATGGATTTTTCTCATAACGTGGTACTTCTGAAACCTGAAAGCATAACCAACCACTTATCTTTAGACATAACTGAGGGGCAGCCACTTGATGTCTAAAGGCATGAGCCGAATAATTCCTCTAACAGAATTTAAATATCCGCAAACCATAAGGGCATAACGTGACTTTATGCCGCAACGAGCTGCTCTGTCCTCTCCAGGCACCGGCCTTCGGAAAGCCGCCGCCCTGTCAAGGCTCGGGCCCCTCCAAAGAGCCAAGTCGCAGAGTGGGGAGCCCGTGTCAACGCTCAAACCTCTTCATTCCCGCCGTTCAAGACCAGGCGTCACCGTCACTGTTACAGGAATCACTATTACGATAATTACTGGCGTCGACCCGTTTCCAGACCTTTACTAGGGTTGTGGTCGCCGACGCCGGCCAAGACTTTTTCTGTACGAGGGCGACCCCGGGAAGGGGGAGTCACGCGTGGCCGGGTCCAGAACGGCGGGCCAGCGGGGGGCCGGGACCCCCGCCCGCGAGGGAGTCAGCGAGCGAGGGGGGGACCAAAGCTCCGCGGGGCATCTTTGGGGAGTCAGCGGCTTCTCCCGTGAGGCCCAACCACAAATCCGACGACCCCTTCTCCGGGGAGCTGGGGGCCTCCAAGGCCACTTCGGCACAAGAGACGTCCACAGGCGTCACCTGTGACAGACACGCTCGCGCCCTCGACCCACTCACCATGATAAGGACAGGCGCAGCCCGCACCGGAAGACGCTCTGCGAGCTGGCGGGTCACTGGAGCGGAAGGGGTGGGGCCTCAGAAGCTGATTGGCTGCGCAATACTAGGGAGTGGAAGTGCGTGCTCGGGCCTCCTGGTCCCGCCCCCCGCTTCCCGGCGGCCCTTGCGTTCCATAGAGGCCGGGCCGGCGGCCAGAGCGGCTGTCTGCGTCTTTGCTGGTGTGCCTGGGGGATTGGGAGTCCAGACATCATTCTCTCAGTGAGAAACGCTGTAAACTATATTGGGTGCTTTATTTATTTATTTATTTATTTATTTTTAAAGAGGAATCCCTTCTTTTTTTAAAGATTTATTTGTTTGTTTGTTTATTTATGCATGCATACATACATACATACATACGTACATTCATACATACAAGCACTGGGCACAGTCAGAAGCGCGGGAGGGTGAGAGAATTCACCAGAGCCAGAGCGGGGAGCAGAGCAGGCAGAAGGACCGAAGGACACTGCTGAGGGGAGCAGCGGGCGGCAGGGGAGGTCTGCGCGCCATGTGGGACCCTCCTCTGGTGGCCGGGGAGCAGCCGGGGATCGAACCGGCGCATCTTCGCAACCCAGCGCTCAACCGCTGCGCCACCGGGGAGGCCCATGGTGATTTATTTTTTGCAAAATCTTGTAGCTGGTGTTCCCATTGTACAGATGAGGAAACAAAGATAAGACACATCCCCAGAGGCAAACGTTGTTTGCCACAGCGTTGAATTTAAACTTAGACCATTGGGCCTCCCTGGTGTTGCAAGGGGTTAAGACACAACCTGTGAGGCTGTCCGCAGCCACTGCAGCACGAGTTCGATCCCCGGCCAGGGAGCTACCCATATGGTGCAGCAGACCTCTCCTGTCTTGCTCGCTGCTCCCCTCAGCAGCATATTTCAGTCAGTCCACCTGTTCTGTTCCCCACTCTGTCGTTGGTGAATCCTCTCACCCCCCCCCCACCTCTGGCCTGTACCCCAGCTCTTGTATGCATAAATAAATAAATCTTTAATTAGACCGATTAATTAGAGAGTATTGTGTTCTGTTTCCTAAAATGATACCTAAACTAGCTATAAAATCAGTTTTCTTATAGAAGTGATGTAGAAAACTTGCTCTCTACCTGTGAGGACACAGCAAGGTTGCCTTTTGAAAGTCAACGGGATCTTTCACCAGAAACCAAGTGGGCCACCTTAATCTTGGATTTTCCACCCTCCAAAACTGAAAGTAAATTTGTGTAGCTTAAGCCAACAACCTATTGTATTTTTGTTAGGGCCGCCCAAGGGGACTACCAGGAAGAGCGCCGCTCCAGTTAAAAAACAACAAAAAAAAAAACAACCCACTAATGTAAAATGAAACAGCTTGTGCAGATTAGAGTGGAAAATTTGGAGGTAAGATATGGGTGCCACATGTGCTCATTAGTTTAGGGATATAACTATTCCAAGCCCTTCTCAGTGGAGAGAACTAGAGAAACTAATAGATATAGATATACACACATAGACAATGTATTCACATATTTACATGTTTATTTTAAATCATGAATACTCAAACCCAATTCCAGCCTGACTCCATGGTCTTCATTAACTAATTTCCCCCTCCTCCCCACCATGGGCCTGGGGGCTCAGGGGTTAAAATCGCAGTGCTAGCAAGCTATCCGTGGCCACTGCAGCATGAGTTCAATCCCCGGCTAGGGAGCTGACCCCACATGGTTCAGCAGACCTCTCCTGTCTCACCCACTGCACTCCCCTCAGCAGTGTGTTTCAGTGTATCTGCCTGTTCTGCTCCCCACTCAGTTTCTGGTGAGTCCTCTCTCTCTCTCTCTCTCTCTCTCTGGACCATCATGCAGAAGAGTTAAAACAGCAAGCCTGAGGCCACTATCCTTAGAAAGGCCTCCCTGCAAGGTTGGCTCTTGGATGGCATCTGGAACTTGGCTTTGTGATGTTCCTACTATTGCCTGTGAGAGGCTTGCAGTGTCTAACTGTTTAACCTAATATTTTCACACATGTTGTAATAGCCTAATAGCTAAGGAATTAAGTGCCTCCTGTGTAACTATTGCGGGAAGACTGTCGGAAGGAGGTACTTGGTTTCCTCTGAACCTTACCCCACAACCTTTTTCCCCTCTGCCGAATTTGGTTTGTATTAAATCACCTCTCTGTGGCTATATAAGTTTGTATTTTTTATACATAAATTTTAAATTTCAGATACTATGTTTCATTTCAGATTTTTATTACTACCAGACTTTCCATATGGTTTTTAGTTTCTATTTCTCTACTAAAAATCCTTATCTGCTCATCCATCACCTCCCCCCCACCCCCCGCTTAATTGAGGTAATATTGGTTCACAACACTGGATGATTTAGGGGAAAAAGTTCACACTCAGATGTATGTCATCACTCCACCCCCACCATGCAAGTACTGATTCCCGCAGACTATTGTGCACCCTTCCTCCTCTGTTCCCACCCCATCCTTCCTCCCCTTCAGGTAACCTCAATTCTGCAGCACAGTTTTAGCATCTATCATCTTTTCTCTCCTGGTAAATTATTTAACATTTTTAAAGTTGTTTTTCAAAAAGATTTATTTATGCATAGAACTGGGGTGTAGGGCAGAGATGTGGGGATTGAGAGGATTCACCAGAGTGGGGAGCAGAACAGGCAGATCTACTGAAATATGCTGCTAGGGGGAGCAGCGGGCAGAGACAGCAGAAGTCTGTTGCACCACGTGGGTTAGTTAGCTCACTGCAGGGGATCAAACTCATGCAGCAGTGGCTGCTAATAGTTCATAGTGCTAAGACCTAACCCTTTGCGCCACCAGGGAAGCCCCCTTTTTGGGTTTTAATGGGAAACCTCAAGTGTGTATTAAACCCCTCTTGGAGGAATTTCAGTCTGTTCCCCAGCAGCTGACATCTCTAATCAGTTCCTTAGATTTCAATCACTGCTTTTTGCTAAGTTCCTCTGACTTGTTACGCAGCAGAGAGGCAGGTTTGGAATCCACCAAGGATTTGAAAGGAATTTAAAAGCAGACTTTGGGGTTTATATCTCCAAAGCTCTTTCCTTCCCAAGATTTTCTTTCTAATTTCCAGCGATTGGAGACGTCCCCAATGACTCCTCAGCCCAGGAAGGCTATCACATTCTGCTTGAATTCTAGTTCGAAGCACAGTACACAAGCTGGAAATTGCATCTAGGGTAGAAAGTAGCTCATGTGGATCTCTTCTAGTATATGGTTTTGTGTAACTTCTGCCTGTTTTTGATTATTTTCTAGGGTCTTCTAATCATTGCTTTTTATATTTTGTTTAGTGTTTATAATTATTAGCAAGAATTAGTCCAACACAAGCTACCTCATTACCAAACTGCAACCACTGAAATCTCAAAGTTTTAAATAAAAGAATCTAAAGGCAAAATAAGTTTATCATTTATTTTCAATCCATTACGATAAAAACCCACTTCATGCAGCTGAATCTTTTAATTCATTTCTTCTGAAGAAAAGTACAAAAGACCAGATTAAAATTGAGACAAGCATTTAAAGGAAAATCCTTTGACTCAGAGTCCCAAAACTGTAAATGGTTCTTTCTACCAAAAGAATGTTTTTGTATAAAATATAAAGAATTTTACACTATAAACAAAGGCTACTATATATTTACTTAAATTAGAATTGTAGTGTCTGTTTTACCTCCAATTCTTCCCAAAGTGTATTTTTGCAAGTCAGAAATTGAATAATCCCAATGAGCAGACTGTTAGAATAAGCTCTGAAGTTATCTGGAGAGAGAGTACTGATTCTTTCCCTTGGCTCAAAGTCCAGTACATTGATTAAGTTTTAATTTAGTTTACAAAACTCTGCCATTTAGCACAAGGAACACACTAACGTTTCAATGTGTAAGCATTACCTTTTAAGAATAAGACACAGAGCTCAACAAAATCTAAAAGGTCACAATCTATGTCTAACATTAATTTGGAAAACCTCGCAACTTCTATCTTTATTTAAAAAGACCAGATCCCACTTACTATAACTATCCTATTTTCATGGTCATTCTTGAAAAAAACAGCTTAAAATAAAACCTGATCATAGTAAGTCATAGAAAATAGTTCTTCAGAACCAAGCTTAACTTCAGACTTAATCATGAAAATAACTTCTATACATAATGAATATTTCAAATAGTAATATAATTCCTTGACTTACGCTTATAACATTAACTTTTTTTGTATCTTTTAACATTTAAGATATTTGTGATCTTAATCTAAAGATTAAAATCTTAAGATTTTAAGAGCTTTAATATCTTTCCCAAAAATAGTGAGCTTCTAAATTACTGCATAATTAAATTATGATGAGTTACTGCTGATAAAATGATTTTAAAGTTATTTTAAAAGTTGAGCTTGAAGTACACAGAATTTTAATACAACTGATTACTTATGCAAGTATTAACCATGACAATGCTTTCCTAAATGAAAATACAAAAAACATAAATTTGAGGTTTATTAAAAAATGTTTTAATTTGGTATGTTTCTGATTCTTGTCATCATGTTTATCTGCCACCATCATTTTAATTAAACATTTTATTTGATGCTTTGAGAATTTAAAAATATACTACCTATGACCCAAAATATGCAAGGTTCTGGCTCAAAATTTATTTTTTCTGTTTATCTTACTGTTCATTTTTCATTTTCCAGGGAGTTCTAAAATCATGATTAGAAGATGCATGACTTAATTTATAAATACAAGCAACTTATGATTTAAGAAGTATTATTTTCTCTATTTAGATAAATCACTAACAAGGGCAAGAATAAAATTAAGAAGAAGGTTTTCATTTAAAATTCTTATGTACTAGGGCCAAGCTTTTAATTTTAATGGATCCTCTCAAAAATTAAAGATATTTTTCCTAAATGAAAAATTTTTGTTAGTATTATAAAATTATTCCTTCCACATGTGATATTTTATATGACATCATTTCAGCACCAAAGAAAATTTCTGTAAACAAACTTTTAACCAGTAAACTAAGGGCAAATATCTATTTGCCTTTATTACAATATTTAAAAGGCCATGATATGCATCTCTACTTCCTACAATGACATTTTTACAATAAAAACCCAGGCATAGTTTCACAAACAAGAAACAGAATTACTGTACATTTTGGGGGAACAAAAGGAAGATTAATAGACTAAACCTTTTTAGTTAACAAAGTGAGCACAAAAAAACCTATAAAATATGCAATGTATAAAAACAGTAATTTTAAAGTTTCATTTGAAGGGATTAATAATTATTGAGAATAAAAGATGGTAGTTTCACTGGCTTATAATTATCCTGTAAACAGTAAGAAAGTAATAAGCAATAAATTAGAAACATCTTAGCTCCCAGTACTTCCCTTCTCTTGCAATGGAACCACTTTTACAGCATTTAAAGCTGTCTTTATTAAATATCAAAGTAATTCTAGTCCAAAATAAATTCCACTAGGAATAAGTTAACAGTCTACAATAGACAAATATATTAGAAAAAAAAATATACTGCAGGTCACAAGAGGATTGATCGACATATTGTATGACACAGGAACTCAAATCTTCTATTTTACTAGTAGTTTTGTAGCCATCATATTGCTTTCTAAATTGTTTGGCAGTAAAGTAATAGAAAAATAGAAAATAAAAAGAACATAACTATTTAAAATCTGTAGGTTTATGAAGAAAAAAACCCTCAAATACCTTTTGATATTACTGTTACATAGAAAAAAAGTTTCATTTGGCACACTGAATTTGTAAAAAGAAAGGAAAAAAACAAACTGAACAGTGTTTGGCATTTCAATCACCTGTAGGAAAGAGAACAGTAGGAAAGGAAGCAAAGAAAAGTTACTACTTAAGACATGAGAAGACAAACAACCAAAGGCTCTTGTGTCTTCTACCGTTTACTGTCTCTGAATACGTTCATCTGCCAACACAATATACAGATTATTATTTACATTATGATTATATTGGTAAAGACGACCAGAAATAATTTTTGATGTACTCTACCAGTGCCCATTGGGGTAATCATGATCATCAAGGCAAGAAGCCTTTAAATACAAGATATTCCATTTGCATTATATTTTTATTCAAAATTTTTTTTCTGGTTCATCTTTTGGGGTGCACAAATATTGAAGACTCTGAGAAGTCCTGTAAACTTAGGCTGGATTCTGTGGCTGATAACTATTCTTTGAAGATGGTGTTCTTTTGGAAAGCAAAATGTTCTTCAGGCTTACAAAGGCATTTTCTTAAACAGTAGTATCTCCAAAGTCCTTGTTCCAACGTATGTATGCTTCTAAAGTTTGAGGGCTCACACTGCGTTTTATCTTTTTCAAGGATTCAGTGAAGTCAGCTAATCGAATATTTCTCATCTAAATTAAAAAAAAAGACAATGAAAATAATGAACACATATACAGTAGTTAACCCAATAATGGACTGACAGATGCAATGATGCTCTTTTTTATTAATGTTATATATAGAGGTAGTCTTAGAAAATCATGCCAATCATCTTACAGTTTGTTACATAAGAACTTTACAAAAATGCCTTACTAATGTATTACATGTTTAGTTTCTTAGATGTCAACATTTTATTTATTTTTAAAACATTTTATTTTATTTATTTATTTTTGCATAGAAGAACTGGGGTGTAAGGCCAGAGGTGCAGAGGGTGAGAGGATTCACCAGAGACAGAGTAGAGAGCACGTCCGGCAGATTTACCGAAATACACTGCGCTAAGCGGAGCAAGGGCGAGACAGGAGAGGTCCGCTGTGTCACATGTGGGTTAACAACCTGGCCCTTGCTGGGGACTGAATTCAGGCCACCGAGGTGAAAGTGTGATAGTGCTGAGACTTAACCCCTAGGCCACCAGGCAGGCCCAATGTGAACATTTTAAATCAAAAACGTTTTCTCATTAAAAAGACAAAACAGGGCCTCCCCAGGTGGCACAGTGGTTGAGCGCTGGGTTGCAAGGCTGCCCACAGCCTCTGCAGTGCCAGTTCACTCCCCGGCCACTGGCGAGGGTCCCACAAAAAAAAAAAAAAAAAAAAGACAAAACAGGGGCCTCCCTAGTAAGGCAGGTTAAGTCTCAGCACTATGAAGTTATCCGAAGGCACTGCAACAAGAGTTCAAGCCCCTGTCTGGGAGCTGATCCACATGGTGCAGCAGACCTCGCCTGTCTCACCTACTGCTCACCTCAACAGTGAATTTCAATCTGCCTGTTCTGTTCCCCGCTCTGGTTCTGGTGAATCCTCTCACCCTCCCGCGCTTCTGACTGTACCCAGTGCTTGTATAAATAAATAAATGACTCTTTAAAAATAAACAAATAAATGCAGGTTTTCCCGGTGGCCTAGGCGATAAATCTCAGCACTATCACAGCTATGGACCTGAGTTCCACACCCAGACAGGGAGAGCTAATCCACATATGGTGCAGCAGACCTCCCACTGCTCCCCTCAGCAGTATATTTCAGTATATCTGCCTATTCTGCTCCCCACTGTCTTTGGTGAATCCTCTCACCCCCCACACCTCTGGCCTACACCCCAGGTCTTCGATGCCAAAAAAAAAAAACTGAAAATTGTGAAACATTATACCTCACTGGCAGACATATTCTTCACTTGTTCCGGTTTCAGTTCTGTAAAATACAAAAGTAAGCCACTTAGGGGGAAAAAAAAAAGGTTTTGAAGTTTAAATTGATGGACAACAAAACCAATGCACATCTTCACCATAATTAATTTATATTTAAAGAAAGAAACACACAATATTAAGGCACAATTTATGAATGCTAGGGATATTTCTTCTTAGGAATAACTCAGAGGGATTCATTTCTTTGTGTATTGCCAAAGAACATATTTTTCAAAATGAGAGTGCTCTTTATAAAAGGCATTGGTTTTTGTTTAACCTAACAATGTTTGTCTGCTTCAGAATAATAGCTGAAAATACATGAGACTCAGATAGCAGTTGCAACTATTTGAGTTCACTCCCTGAACAAGATTTCATATCTCTGCAGCAGTTCTTTAACCAGTAGCCTATTCCACTGTAAGAGATGTGTTCTGGAAGTTACATGTTCCATGTTTTATTTTATTATTATGGTTAGTATTCTGAGGGTATTTCACCCACCCACCATGGATAGTTACTATAAACATCTACTACAAAGTAATACCATAGACTGTTTAATCTAACCCAACATAAAAATTAGTCGTGCATTTCAGAAACAACAAATTACCTTAAATCAAAATAGTAATGAGTACTTTGCTACAATTCTCCAAAAGTTAACATGTAACAAAAACAAAAACTTCCTTTAGACACAATTTCAAGTGAACACTGAAATGAAAAATCAAAAAATAAGATATTTTCTATTTTATTCATTTTTACTTGCTTAAAAAATTTTGCTTTTCACTATGAAGCTATCAGCAGCCACTGCAGCATGAGTTTGCTCCTCCCCCCAGGGAGCTAACCCACATGGCATAGCAGACCTCTCTTATCTCGCCTGCTGTGTACTTCAGTCAATCCACCTGTTCTGCTCCCCTCTCTGTCTCTGGTAAATCCTCTAACCACCGCCCCCACCCCACCCCCACACATACCTCTGGCCTACACCCCAACTCTTATATGTATAAATAAAAATTAATTTTTTTTAAACCTCTTCCAGAGTTCTTTTTTTAAAGATTTATTTATTCATTTAGTATTTATTTATTTATTTATTTATATAAGCACTGGGTACAGTCAGAAGCGAGGGAGGGTGAGAGAATTCACCAGAATCAGAGCAGGGAGCAGACCAGGCAGAAGGACCGAAGCACACCGCTGAGGGAAGCAGTGGGCAGCAGGAGAGGTCTACACGCCATGTGGGACCCTCCTCTGGTGGCCGGGGAGCAGCCGGAGATCGAACCGGCGCTGCAGAGGCTGCGGGCAGCTTCGCAACCCAGCGCTCAACCACTGTGCCACCGGGAGGCCCTAAAAATTAATTAAAAAAAAAAAAAAATTTGCTTTTGCTGGTTACCTACTAACAGTAAATGAAACCTGTTGTCTAGAAAAGGGGTTATGGTCCAAACTGACTCATGGACTGTCTTTATATGGTCTATGAGCAATAAATGGTTTTGTGTACTTGTCTTTTTGTTTATAAAAAGCAGCAGGAGGGCCTCCCTGGTGGCACAGCAGTTGAGCGCTGGGTTGCAAAGCTTCCCGAAGCTTCTGCAGCACCGGTTCAATCCCTGGTACCTGGGTGAGGGTCCCTCATGGCGCGCAGACCTCTCCTGCCGCCCGCTGCTCCCCTCAGCAGTGTATTTCGTCACTCTGCCTGTTCTGCTCTCCGCTCTGGCGAATCCTCTCACCCTCCCGCGCTTCTGACTGTACCCAGTGCTTGTATAAATAAATAAATCAATCTTAAAAAAAAAAAAAAAAAAAAAAGCAGCAGGAAAAAAAATATGCAATAGAGAGCATATGTGGCCCAGAAGCCTAAAATATATGACAAAGGCCCTTTCCAGAAAAGGATGCTGATTTTAATGTTAGAAACTACTTTGTGCTGTTTCCAATGACAGGGCATTATGGTTTTCAAACTATTAAAAAAGATCTCTCACAGGGGACTTCTTAACGTGGTATATAACTTCTAAAGTGGTGTAATAAAGAACTCTATTTCAACCCCTGGTATACTGACCTCGGATAGGACCCAGAGCTGCATCTTTTGCCAAAGCTGTTAGATCACTTCCTGAGTATCCATCAGTCATTCTGAGAATGGCAAGGAAGAAACCGCAAATTATTTTTATGTTTGCAGATTTAAAACCTCCCTATAATAAGAGGGTAAAACCTAGTTTGTCTTTGTTATTAATTAGACATCTATGTGATTTGATTTTGAGGACATGAAAATGTCCACCTGCTAAACACAAACAGTCTACTGGTTCCTAATAATGCCTCAAATTTTCATCATTAAAATCATTCATCTACATTAAGGCATACTCTATCTCCAGGAGGATCCTGTAAATTGTAAACATGTCGCCTGAAAAGCTAACATCTATTAGCCATTGGTGACCACTGACATATAACCATGGTAATTTTAAGTCAACAAGTGTTTATCTTGACAAAGAACACTGCCTTGATGGAATGAGGGCAAATCAGGTATATTCATTTAAATGTAGGACAGACAGGGTAAAGGAAGGATCTGGGGTAGAAGACATTGGGAAAAAAGAGGCACACCTGAATAGGATGCCACAGTGGAGAGTCCTGGGCAGCCAACAGATTATCAAAGAGAACTAAGAACTAGGGAGGCAAAGGGGAAGAGGGAAATAAAAGAGTGAAAAAAGCATTTACTTATCACGTACCATGCTACATAACTAGAGACCAATTATTATCAGCAGATTTCTTTATTGGAATGATAAAGGAGGAGCTCAACATTTCCAAGTATTAAATTTTTCTTTTCTCATTGGTATCTGGGAACTCTTATAAAATTACTAGCTACTCACATATTGTTGAATATTTTTTACAATTTTATGAGATATTTTTTCAGTGACTATAATTCTTGAGTGTATCGCCTACATTCAATTTCTACTTAAATATACTGCTCGTAAAAGTTTTAAATGTAAAAGCTGAAAAATTATATATAATGCAAAAGAACAAGCTTATATGAAGGCATCTGTGTTGGTGTGGCACAGATATTTTAAATATTTAATATAACTTTAATATCATTTACAAGTTTCAATAAATTTATACAAAGAATAAAGTGCCATCATTAGATATTTGAGTCAGATATTATAGAGAATCTAGAAATACGTAAGATAAGCAGTAAGAAAAAAAGTAAAGGAAATAGAGGATGAGACAATAAATGCTTTCTGATAAATGAATCACTCATTTCTTAAGTTTACTTTAAACAAAACAGAAAAAGAATTTTTTTTAAAAAAAGTTGTAATATCACCAAATCAAAGCACTCACCTAGCAAGCTGTGCTAGTTCTTTTTGGGTCAGTGGGTTTCCTTGTTTACACAACAAATTTTTAAGTAAGAGTAGTCTTGTCTGAAAAGAAATATTAAATATTTATCAGTCCTGAGAATTAGTGTAATACAATATCCAGGAAGCAGGTTCAAATTCTAACTCTCATTTATGAGTTGAATCATCTTTTTATCACTTCACCTCTTAGAATCTCATTCCTGTCTTACAAATGGATTTAAAATTACTATCTTTATAGAGTTTGAGAGAATTAAAGATACTCCAAATAAAACTAAGAAGTAGCTGCTGTTACTACCAAGGATATTAAAGGGTCTGAGCTAGAAAATCAATTTTTTCCCATTATTTTTAAGAGGTCATAGCTTTATTTTTTACTTATTTATTTATTTGGTTTTTTGCATAGAAGAACTGGCAGATAGGTGAGAGGTACAGGGAGGTGAGAGGACTCACCATAGAAAAAGTAGGATACAGAACAGGTGGATTTGCTGAAATACACTGCTAAGGGAGCAAAGGGCGAAACAGCAGGTCTGCTGAGCCATGCGTTAGCTCCCTGGCCAGGAATTGAACTCAGGCTGTAGCAGTGATAGTGATGAGACTTAACCCCTATGCCAAAGGGGAGGCCCCAACAATTAACAATTAATTAACCCCTATGCCTAAAGGGATGCCCCAACAATTAATTAAAAGTATGAATTCCTATAACATGACTTTCACCTACTGAAAGTATAAAATACACTGACTTAGCAAACTGCCTTGTGCAACCATTACCATAATCAAGTTTAAAAACATTTCTATCACTGCCCCAAAAGTTTGCTCATAACTTTCTTTGCAGTTTATCCCGACACCCACCCCTAGCCTTAGGAAATTACTGGTATGCTTTATATTTCTAAAAATTTGCCTCTTCTATATAATAATTCACATCTGGTATTTTTAATAGAATGTTTTTCAAGGTACATTCATATATATAGCATATTTAAATAGCTCATTCCTTTTATTGTTTTAATATTCCATTAAAGATATACCACATTTGTTCATCCATTAAACATAAATATTTTAGATTCTGTACAGTTTAGGTTATTATTTAAAATGCTGCTATGTTCTTATACATATCTTCATGTGGACATATTTTCATTTCTGTTGCATAGATTCTTAGGCATGTTTAGTAAGCTCATGTTTAACTTTTTAAGGAACTGTCAAATTGCTTTTCAATGTGGTTGTACTGTGGCTTGGAGACTCAATACTGTCAAGATGGTATTTCTTGGTTTTGCTTATAAAAAAAAATTCACACAGGGTCTCCCTGGTGGCGCAAGGGGTTAAGCAGAGCACTATGAAGCTATCTGCAGCCTCAACAGCACCAGTTCAATCCCCGGCCTGCCAGGGAGCTACCCAGATGGCACAGCAGACCTCTCCTGTCTTGCCTGCTGTTCCCCTCAGCAGTATATTTCAGTCAGTCTACCTGTTCTGTTCCCCACTCTGCTCTGGTGAATCCTCTCACTCCCCACGCCTCTGGCCTGTACCCTGGTTCTTATATGCATAAATAAATTTAAAAAAATTCACACATAGATACATACCTCCTCATTTGGCAAAGACACATATACTCGCTTGATGAAACGCCTAAGAAAAGATTTCAAACAACTTCAGTTTTGAATTTAAAGATAACTCAGTTCATAGAGCAAATAATAAAAAGTTTTAAAAACAGTAATCAAGGCATTTAAATACATATTAGTACTCATCAATAAAGAGTCCATTGCAAACTCTAGTTAATAGTCACACAGTATTTACAAGTGCTTAATTCAATATTATCAGAATTAAATTAACCACTTGTGTATGTGTATGTTTTTAATAGCAACCAATCTTTAAAATAAAATATCTTGACATAAAACCTAAGATATAAGAGGTGGAATAGAAATATCTACTGCCTTCTTGAAACTGAAAACAATTAAAAGCAACATGGACAAAAGAAATGGAAATATAAACTTCATGAACAGATAGTTACATTTATAAAACTAAAATGTATGAACAAGGGCTGCCTAGACAGCACATGCAAAAATAAACTCAAAAAGGATAAAAAGACTTAAATGTTAAGATCTAAAATCATAAAATATATTGAAGAAAATAGGCAAAATACTTCAAGACATAGGTTTCAGTGATGTCTTTGTGAATTCTCCAACAGCAAGAGAAACAAAAGAGAATATGAGCAACCGGGACTACATCAAACTAAAAAGCTTCTGCACAATGCAAGAAGCTATCACAAGGAAACTATCAACCTACTGAATGGGAGAAAATATTTGTAGCCATACATCTGACAAGGGGCTGATATCCAGTATCTACAAAGTTCCGTTAACAAAGGATCAAATAAAAAAATGGGCAGAAGAGCTAAACAGGCACGTCTCCAAAGACATAGATGGCCAACAGGCACATGAAAAAAATGATCATCACTTATAGTGAGGGAAATACAAATCAAAATCACAATGAAATACCACCTCACACTTATGAGAATAGCACATATACAAAAGAACAGAAACAAGTTTTTTTCTAGTTAGAAACAAGTTAGAAAGTTAGAAACAACAAGGAGATTAGACACTAAATCTGTAAGAAATAAGGAAAACAACTTGGGGCAAATAAAAGGCTGACAAGGGTTACAAAGGAAGTCACACATATGGAAGAAAAGGGGTATACACTAAATGTGAACGAAAAACAAACCAAAAAAAAAGTAATTAGGAAAAGTTAAAAGATATTATTCAAAATAAGTTATCCAGGGCCTCCCTGGTGGCGCAAGGGGTTAAGACGCAACCTATGAAGCTCTCTGCAATCAATGCAGCATGAGTTCGATCCCCGGCCAGTCAGGGAGCAGCCCACATGGTGCAGCAGAACTCTTCTGACTTGCCTGCTGCTCCCCTCAGCAGTGTATTTCAGTCAGTCCACCTGTTCTGTTCCCCACTCTGTCTCTGGTGAACCCTCCACACCTCTGGCCTGTAACCCCAGTTCTTGCATACAAAAATAAATGAATCTTCAAAAAAAAAAGTTATCCAAAACAAAGGATATTCCAAATTCATTTAAATGAACATTAAATCCCAAGAAAAATACAGATAAATCAACATATTTTTTGAGTAATTAGATTTTAATGGTTGAGACATGCATCCAGGAAAGAGAAAAACTATCAAATTAATCCATAAATGTGAATATGGCAGGCTGGCTTCAAGACTTTTATGTTGCAATATTTAATCCGAGAAACAACAAGGCAACGCTATCAATTCCTCAGGAAAAGAGGGAGGACCAAGAATTTTATTCTGAGTCAAACCTTCTTCCCAATTATGAAAAGAATAAATGTGTTCAAACACACAAAACCAGAAAACACATTTGCCATGAATTCTGCTTCTTATGAAGTCCAATAAAAAGGGTCAGAATCAATTTTATATTTTTAAAATAATTTCATCCAAGCCAGAAGAAATAAGCAATTTTCCTAAAGCCTTAAATGAAGATTAGTTTTCTGATATGAAACAAATCCTATTCTCAAAATCTTTATCTAGTTGGTAATAAAAGACCAGATAATACAGTGAGGAAAGGAATTTAAGTCTTAAAACTGAGAGTGATGGAAGTAAGAAATATGGGAGATGAATACATAAGTACATATATCTGTAATATGTTTCTACATAATCTCCCTTACCTGAGAACAGCCTCATCAAGCTCTTGTGGCCTATTAGTTGCACCCATTACAAGCACTCTGTCATCTCCAGCCGACTGTACCTGTAGCCCAAAAAATTTTGTTCAATACTGTTAAAGTAATAACAAAGAAAAATATAATAATGATATACATAATTTTAGTTTGGGTCATTTAACAGAATGTTTAAATGTTACCATGTTAAAAACATAATCAACACACTTACACCATCAAATTCTATTAGAAACTCAGTTTTCAGACGTCTACTAGCATCGTGTTCACCTTCTCTTCTTTCACACAAAAGGCTATCAACTTCATCTAGAGCAAATACAAGGATATGTCTTTAATTAAAAGCCAAACTATATGAGTCAGCTTAGATTAACCTAATTTACAACACAAGTTACTAATATACTGGGTTCCACTCAATTCATTAGTCTTTAACTTTGTATTTCTTTAAAACTTTTCCCTTTGGGGGGCCTCCCTGGTGATGAAGGGGTGAAAGTCTCAATGTTTATCAAGCTAAGCCAGCCACTGAGGCATAAGTGTGATCCCTGGCCAGGGAGGTAACCCACAAGGCGCAGTAGACCTCTCCCATCTTGCCCACTGCTCCCCTCGGCAGTGTATTTCAGTGTATCTGCCTGTTCTGCTCCCCACTCTGTCTCTGGTGAATCCACTCACCCCCTGCAACTCTGTTCTTGTATGCATAAATAAAAAAATAAAAAATAAATCTTAAAAAACAAACAACTTTTTTCTGTTTGGATTATCTTTCCTATCAAACCTCTCATACTAGGAGAGGAATTTCACAAATGTTCAACTAACTTAGTTGGAAAACATGTTCTTACCTATAAAAATTATAGAAGGTTGAAGTTCTCGAGCCACAGCAAAAAGAGCTCTCACCAGTTTCTCTCCTTCTCCCACCTAAAACAAGGCATTATATATACAATGGATTATAATACATACAAAACATTATTATAGCTTTTTAAATTTAATGATTGAAAGCCTAGAATCTAGGAATTTAACTTTCTTTCTTGGCAACAACCGAAGACTTAGAGTAAGGATGGAAGAGGTATGTTAGAAAATTGTCCTTTATAAATTCAGAATATAGATTACTATTTAACATAGTTTAAATACTTAAAAAAATTAAATACATCTGTTTTACTTCACCTGGTTTTCCTAAAACTTAGGAATCGTTATTAGTAAGGGGTATAACTAGTGAGAAGAGGGTAGACTGGAGAAAACAAATATATACTACACTACACATGTTCTGTAATTGTTAGGTTGCAGGGTACATTTTTAGAAGCAAATAAACTGTAAAGTATTGTCCTAAAGAAAGTGTACTCTATTAATAACACCTTGAAAACTCATTTTCATAATTATCACTGTCAGTAAATATTAATATATTTCCTTTTTTTTTTAAGATTTATTTTATTTTTATACAAGAACCAGGGTATAGGCCAGATGCGCAGGAGGGTGAGAAGATTCACTGAAGACAGAGCAGGGAATAGAACAAGCAGAATGACGAAATACACTGCTGAGGGAAGCAGCAGGAGAGACAGGAGAGGGCTGCCACCCCACGTGGGATTCTCGCTGGCTGGCAGGGATTGAACCTGTGCTGCAGAGGCTACAGACAGCTTCACAGTGCGGCACTCAACCGCCTGCGCCACCAGGGGGGCCCTAAATATTAATATATTTCTCAGCAGCCGCAGAGATCTATGGTCACCTTTGAGATATTCCCAGGAACTGAGACTTACATTAAAACCATTCTATGAACCAAAACAAATAAAAGGATCATGTGGTTTGTGGTAATCTACTGTAAAAACACATCTGTCCTCTAGGTGGCATTTATTCTTTTAATAAAAAATTTCAAACAAATGAACAGCCCAAGATTTAAATCCATCTAACCAAATATTCCGAGTTGGAAGGAATCCAAGAGATCATCTCGTATGATATCAACACTTTGTACATGAAATAAGACTTTAGTGACAATTTCTTTTTTTTTTTTTGTGGGACTCTCGCCGGAGGTCGGGGAACGAACCCGGCGCTACAGAGGCTGCAGGCATCCTCGCAGCCCAGCGCTCAACCACTATGCCACCAGGGGAGGCCCTAGTGACAATTTCTTAAGGCTAGCTCATTACATAAAATTTTGGGGGGAACCCTACTATCTCCTATCTTCCAAAAAAAGGGCTTTCCACTGTACTAAACGTATAATGTGGATAAGTCTACTTTAATAATAATTTTACTTATAAACTTTCACATAGTATGCAAAATGTGACTGGAAAAAGAGTCTCAATTTATAGTTATTTTTAATTCTTTTACAAAACTGAGAACCCTTCCAATACTTTGATCTTGTGCTTACTAGCCTTCAAAATTGTAAGATGATAAATTTCTGTAGTTTAAGTCAGACAGTTTATCGTACTTTTTCACACAATTCTAGCAAACTAATATAGTATTTGACAGCATAATTCTAATCTTAAAAGTCTAACAAATGTACATAACTTTTTATTATGATGAATGATATCCATGATATCATTTATATACCAAGTGTTTAACATTTAACACAGTACCAATGGCCAACACTAAAAAGAACACTCACATATTTTGAAGTTAAACTTGCAGCACTTATATTAAAGAAGGTTGCATTTGATTCTGCAGCTACTGCTTTAGCCTTAAAAAATCACAAAGCAAATATTATTAGTTCAACATCTTGCCTTAAAAAATAACCAAAGAAATTAAAAAAAATAAAAATAAAAAATAACCAATATTTGATCCATTCAAGTATAAGAAAAGATTTTCTAAAAATGTATGACACAATCCTCAATAAATGGCAGTCATTGTGCTTCCTTCTCAGCAATAAGGAATGATTCTAGGAAAAGCTGCTCTTCTTTCCATTCTTTTTTCCCTAAGGGAGTGGTTAAAAAAAAATAGAGGGTGCTATTCACTTTCTAGATACAGAAAAATAACTAGTCAGAGAAAGATAAACAGCTAAAGAAAAAAGTTACTGTTCCTCTATTTCATCACTCTATAAAAGCTCTGCAGGAGAAAGGTATTCAGGGTTTAACAAAAATTTTTGGTAAAAGAATATTTAAAAACAAAAAACAGTCTATCATATGCTGAGTATATCAATAAAACTAAGATCGTAAATAAAATAGGGTTTGGAAGATAATATATTAAGGTAAGTAGGTCTCAGGAAAAAGTTAGATTATTTAACTTAGGAAAATGATAAAAATTAAAATCACACTACTGAGGATAACATACGTGGATTTTTATTTTCCTTGTCATATTCAAAATTTAAGTGTATTATCGGGGAAAGGAAATCATATGTAACAGACTGAGGAACTATGTAAATACAGTTTCTTTTTTTATATACTTTTATCTTGGCTATCTCTATAGAACATTCAAATTTAAAAAGAATTCTTACCAGCATTGTTTTCCCATTTCCAGGTGGACCAAAGAGTAACAATCCTCTAGCAGGAGCTCGAAGCCCTGTGAACAACTTAAAAATAAATACTTTAGTTTATAAATATGGCTTTGGAGACAATTGTTCCCACATATTTTAAGTATTATGTAAAAATCACTGTTTTCAGTAATATCCTCTCACATAGTGCTGCCCAGAGCTCTAAAGAGAACACTTAATAAATTAAAAACAGAAGAAAACTAAATGAAATAAAACCCAATCCTCAATGATCAAACTGAAAGCTGAGTGGTTTTAATAAGACATATTGAACGTAGATGTTTCTTTAGAAAGCTCACCAAAATAATAGCAAACTGAATAAAAAAGATCTAAATCTTGAAAACAATAATAGGAGACCACAGAGAACACAATACATTGTGTAAATGAAGCAGCAATAAAATTCTTAGCCGAGGGAGCTAAAATTTAAGTGTCTACTTATGAAGGAATATCTAGATATAAGAAGCAGCTCATATGACTTAAAATACATAGGGAATCAAAAAAAAAAAAAAAAAAAAACCAAAAATCCAACAATAGAAAGACTAAGTAAAGTCTAACATGATGATGAAGAGATTCTATAACTACAGCTTTGAAACAGGTATAGAGAGAGGTAGATGATGTATAGTATAATGGAGCAAATAGTTCATCAAGTTAATAGACTCTAAGTCAAAAATATAAAGAACTGACTTTAGATAACATCTTAATTAGAAATTTGGATATTTGAGAATAGTCCCATTTTTCTACAAAGATGAAGAAACTATTACTAAGCAACAAGAACAAAATAAACACAATAATTCAAAATTACAGTGATAAAGTAGACAGTATAAGGAAGAAGTCTACAAAATAAGGATAAGAGTGTAAATCCTTGTAAAATTTTTTGGAAACAAATTTCAACAGATCACTGAGATACACACTGAAATGCAGTATGTTTTGAGGGTGGAAAGGAGATCTTTTATATTATCCTGTATAGTTTGAATTTTTTCAAAGATTAATATTTGTGCCACACTGCTTTCCAGAGAGGCTGAACCAGTCTACATTTCCACCAACAGTTAAGGGAGTATTTTTTTCTGTATACCCTTGTCACCATTTACGTTTCTGGTATTTTTAGTATAGACCATTCTCACTGGTGTGAGGTGGTAACTAATCATGGTTTTGATTTTCATTTCCCTGATATGTGATGATGAGCATATTTGCTCATCTGTATGTCTTCTTTAGAAAAGTGCATATTTAATTCTTCTGCCCATTTTTTGATTGGGTTATTTGTTTTCTTTTTGTTGAGTTTCATGACCTCTTTGTAAGTATCAATCAGTCCATTGTCAAATGTATGGTGTGAAAATATTCTCTCCCATTTAATAAGGTGTCTCTGTTTTGGTGTCAGTCTTGTTCACTGAACAGAAGATTTTTAGTTAGCTGGAACATTTCTTTATGTTATTGTGGATCCAGTAGTGAATGATATAAAGGAAAATGATAATATAAAATCCTTACCTCAGGTCTCAGAGAAGGAAGAATAACAATTTCCTGCAATGCTTGTTTTGCCAACTCTTGACCAGCTATGTCATCAAATTTAACAGCTGTTCCACTAAGAAACAGAATTTCAGTTTACTCCACAATAAAAATATGCTTCAGTTATGGTAATATGTCTAAACTCTATGATATGTAGTCATTTTTACGTAGTTATTTAACTCTGAAGCTATAGTTAGTAAACAGTAAAAATTAAGTATGTAATTAGATAAGGACATTTATCTATTTATTATCTATTTCATTGCTGATAAATTTAGAAGTAAAATTCAAAAATAAAAACTGTAAAATAAGACAGCTTAGATAGAAAACTTACCTGTCCACAATTTCATTCATTATAAGGTTAGCAAGATTGCTGTCCACATTCCTGAAATTCTTTAAGTCTTTCTTTTTACGAGCAGCAGTTGTAGGAGTAGAAGGTTTATTTGTTCTATTTGTTTTTGGAGTACTCTTAAGGACACAAAATTTTAATGTCAAAACATTTATAATTTGCCTAAGTTATTAGCCTTAAAGTACCCAAAATAAAGGTTGAAAAACAGGGAAAAGGACATAATATTTTGTTTTTAATTATACATTTACTTCAAGGTAAAATTAGCATTGACTATTAATTACATTTGGCATGAAGTGGGTTACTGAGAATTTTATCCAGGGATTTAGTTGTTATAAAATATAAAGATTTTTAAAAGTGAAAAATTACATTTAACTTAATGGAAACTTCCCAATTTTGTAGGTATTATAAAGTATTGCAATAGACTTAAGCAAGCATAATATGCTGAAAATTCTCCATTTGTAAAAACACAACAATTAAAGCTTTGTCTACAAATACCTTATGAGTGGCAGGTACAGAACCAGGTCCCTGTCTTACTCCAGAAACCATGGATAGACCACTGCAACTAGGTGCTCTGTGGTGGCCTGAAAGACCTGTGGATCCAGTTTTCGTAACTGTTTTTGAACGAGGCAGTGAATTACTTGTATGCGTTAAGGGGTCTTTTCTTTTCGGAACAGCTCCACTTTCTATCAAGCAAAATGTAAAACCATCATAGTTAGAAAATTGTAGCTAAATGTAATAAAAAGTCATAAAAAAGACTAGTATAAATTTGCAAAAATCGCAGTGTTTCAGAAATATTTCAAAATATTATTTCAATGAGAATATACACTAGGGTATTCATAGGGATTGTCAATGGGTATACAGGATTATAGTTATTCAGGTTTTTTCTTTTATTGATGTATATTCTAATATATGGAATATGTGTTTCTAATATGAAGAAATAACCACATATGTGGCAAGAAGGGAATACAACAAAATTACCAAGCAAATAAAGTTGCCAAATGTTTAAGAATCAAAATCCTACAAAGGCATTTAGAGATCGGTTGTAAAGAGAGAGGGAAAGGTAAAAACACTGCATTACCTTAGTTCCAAATTTTTTAAGTGTGTGTTTTTTTAAGATTTATTTATTTATATAAGAACTGGGGTACAGGCCAGAGACACGGGAAGGAGAGAGAATTCACCAGAGAGAAAGGGAGCAGAACAGGCAGAAGGACCAAAATACACTGCTGAGGGGAGCAGTGGGCGAGACAGGAGAGGTCTGTCCTGCCCTGTGGGTTTCTCCCTGGGCGGCCGGGAATTGAACCAGTGCTGCAGAGGCTGCGGACTGCTTCACAGCGCTGTGCTCAATCCGCTGCACCACCAGGGAGGCCCTAGTTTCAAATTTTTAAGACTATAAAACAGTATGAAAGTGAATGTTTGTGCCCACCAAAGAGTTTTTAAAATTTCAACTTAATTTAAAGGCTGTAAGGCCTCCCCTGGTGGCACAGGCGGGTTCAGTGCAGTGCTGTGAAGCTGTCCACAGCCTCTACAGGGCCGGTCTGATCCCGGCTGGCCGGCGAGGGTCCCACGTGGCGCGACGGTCCTCTCCTGTCATGCCCGCTGCTCCCCTCAGCAGTGTATTTCATCAGTCAGCCTGTTCTGTTCCCCACTCTGTCTCTGGTGAATTCTCTTACCCTCCCGCGCATCTGGCCTGTACCCCGGTACTTGTATAAACAAACAAATCTTTAAAAAATAAAATAGAGGGCCTCCCCGGTGGCGCAGCGGTTGAGCGCTGGGCTGCGAAGCTGCCCACAGCCTCGGCAACGCCGGTTCGATCCCTGGCTGCTCCCCAGCCACCGGAGGAGGGTCCCGCATGGCGCGCAGACCTCTCCTGCCGCCCGCTGCTCCCCTCAGCAGTGTACTTCGTCAGTCTGCCTGCTCTGCTCTCCCCTCTGGCTCTGGTGAATTCTCTCACCCTCCCGTGCTTCTGACTGTACCCAGTGCTTGTATAAATAAATAAATCTTTTTTATAAATAAATAAATAAATAAACAATAAAATAAAAAATAAAATAGAATAAAGGCTGTAAAGGGGGCCTCCCAGGTAGTGCAAGGGGTTAAGACACAACCTACGAAGCTGTACGCAGCCACTGCAGCACAACGTCAATCCCCCGGCCGGCCAGGGAGCAACCCACATGGAGCAGCAGACCTCACTGGACTCACCCGCTGCTCCCCTCAGCAGTGTGTTTCATTCAGTCTGCCTGTTCTGTTCCCCACTCTGTCTCTGGTGAATCCTTTCACCGCCCCCCCACATCTCTGGCCTGTACTCCAGCTCTTGTGTGCCTAAATAAATCTTTTTTTTTAAAAAAAAAGGCTATAAAGATGTGGTTTTTCACAAGCCAAGTATTTTATGTGCTTTATAGACAAAAGTAAATATGTACAGAACATCTTTTTTTAATAATTTAATTTTTTTTCAAAGATTTATTCATCTATTTATACAAACACTGGGTACAGTCAGAAGCACAGGAGGGTGAGAGAATTCACCAGAGCCAGAGCAGGGAGCAGAACAGGCAGATGGACGAAGTACACTGCTGAGGGGAGGAGCAGGCTGCAGGAGAGGTCTGTGCGCTATGTGGGACCCTCGCCTGGCGGCCGGGGATCGAACTGGCGCTGCAGAGGCTGCGGGCAGCTTCGCAAACCAGCACTCAACCGCTGTGCCGCCGGGGAGGCCCATGTATAGAACATCTTTAAGCCTGAAAGGTTACCTGAGGCACTAAGGTACCCTTTCACATAAATAACAGGTTTTTAGGGCCTCCCTGGTGGTACAAGGGGTAAAGTCTCAGCACTATGAAGCTATGGGCAGCCACTGCAATACTAGTTTGATCCCTGGCCAGAGAACTATCCCACTTGGCATAGCAGACCTCTCCTGTCGCTCCCCTCAGCAGTGTATTTCAGTCAATCTGCCTGTTCTGTTCCCCACTCGGTCTCTGGTGAATCCTCTCACTCCACCCCCACCTCTGGCCTGTACCCCAGCTCTTATATGCATAAATAACTAAAATAAATCTTTTAAAAAACAGGCTTTTAATGTTTGTAAATAATGTTTTTATATAATACACACCAGAGTTTAATAACAATGTCTACCGTGAAGACAAATGCTCTATCCGCCTATTAGAGTAGCTAAAAGAAAAGTCTAATATTTTGCTTTTCTTATTAAATCCCTTAATATGGTTTAAGAAAAATAAGGATTCTGAATTTGTACAGGACATCAGTTTATTTTTTTAAAGAATCAAACAGTCTATCTCAGGTAAACTGGCAGTATAGGACTAAAATCAGGACCTCTAAGACAAACGGAAATATAAAGAACATTGAGAAAGGGACGGTTTTGACCAATTACCCCAAATATCCAAATCTAGACCGACTTTGAGTCATTTACTTGGATTACAACAATCAAATTTTTGACATTCATGAAAATTATTATAAACCCACTCTAGATTAACTTGGATTGCTTTTAGCATACAAATGAGCTGATATTCCAGAATTATCTCACTCATGAGGAGCTGAAATTATCCCTATATTCCCAAGAGCGCTAAGTCTGAAGATTCATTATTTCAAACAAATAAATACATGAAGTGTCCAAACGCAGAGTTATAGGTGTAGAAAAACAAAAGCAAAAAAATAAGGAAATATGGTCCCCAGCCTCAAACACAAATTCAATCAGTAGAGAACAAATACAATATATGGTAAATAGTAAAGATAAGCCCAAATAATAAGAAAACTCAAAGGAATTTCAAAATGTGGTAAGGTTATTAAAGGTTTTTCCAGTAAATAAACGAAAAATTCTAAACCCCATGTTGAGGAAATAATGAATTAAGAAAACATTAAAGAAAAGGGAATAGCATAGGGGCCTCCCTGGGGCACAAGGGGTTAAGCACTGCACTGTGAAGCTATCTGCAGCCTCTGCAGTTCTTGTTTGATCCCCAGCCAACCAGGAAGCAACCCACATGGCGCAACAGACCTCTACTCACTAGCCCGCTGCTCCCCTCAGCTGTGTATTTCAGTCAATCCTGCTCCCCACTCTATCTTTGTGAATCCTCTCACCCCCCACACCTCTGGCCTGTACCCCAGTTCTTTTTTTTTTTTTTTTTTTTTTTTTTTATTTGTTTGTTTGTTTGTACATGCACTGGGTACAGTCAGAAGTGCGGGAGGGTGAGAGAATTCACCAGAGCCAGAGCGGGGAGCAGAGCAGGCAGAAGGACCGAAACACACTGCTGAGGGGAGCAGCGGGCGGCAGGAGAGGTCTGCGCGCCATGTGGGACCCTCCTCTGGTGGCCGGGGAGCAGCCGGGGATCGAACCAGCGCCGCAGAGGCCGCGGGAGGCTTCGCAACCCAGCGCTCAACCGCTGCGCCACTGGGGAGGCCCCTACCCCAGTTCTTATATGCATAAATAAATACATCTTAAAAAAAAATTGAGGGCCTCCCTGGTGGCGCAGCGGTTGAGCGCTGGGTTGCGAAGCTGCCTGTGGCCTCTGTGGCGCCGGTTCGATCCCCGGCTGCTCCCCGGCCACCAGAGGAGGGTCCCACACAGCGCGCAGACCTCTCCTGCCGCCCGCTACTCCCCTTAGCAGTGTACTTCGGTCCTTCTGCCTGCTCTGCTCCCCACTCTGGCTGGTGAATTCTCTCACCCTCCTGCGCTTCTGATTGTACCCAGTGCATGTATAAACAAAACAAACAAACAAATAAATAACATGCCTCTATTAAAAAAAAAAATTGAGGGGCCTCCCCTGGTGGCACAGCAGTTGAGCACTGAGTTGCGAAGCTGCCCGCAATCTCTGCAGCGCCAGTTTGATCCCGGCCGCTGGGTGAGGGTCCTACATGGCGCACAGACCTCTCTGGCTGCCCACTGCTCCCCTCAGCAGTGTAGTTCGTCTATCTGCCTGTTCTGCTCCCTGCTCTTGCTCTGGTGAATCCTCTCACCCTCCCGCACTGCTGACTGTACCCAGTGCTTGTATAAATAAATACATTTAAAAAAAAACTATTAAAAAAAAATTAAGGGACCTCCCCTGATGGCATAGTGGTTGAGCGCTGGGTTGCAAAGCTGCCCGCGGCCTCTGCAGCGCCGGTTTGATCCCCGGCCACCCGCAAGGGTCCCTTATGGCACGCAGACCTCTCCTGCTGCGCCCGCTGTTCCCCTCAGCAGTGTATTTCATCAGTCTGCCTGCTCTGTTCCCCGCTCTGGCTCTGGTGAATCCTCTCACCCTCCCGCACTTCTGACTGTACCCAGTGCTTGTATAAATAAATAAATAAATCTTAGAAAAAAACAATTAAGTATCCCCTCATTCTAAAAAAAAAAAAGAAAGAAAAGAAAAGGAAATAGCATAGCAAAAGCAGAGATGTGAAGAAAAACAAGACCGGTCTAGGGTAATGATAAATTCTCACTTCAGAGGAACAAGAGACTGGAAAAGAATTTCTTCAGACAGGTAATACATAGTACCAAGACTACATGGATAGAAAATCTCACTAGCAACTACAAGAGTGAGAGTAAACTTTTCATCAAAAATCACAAAGGTAAATAGGCAATGGAGTATGTTCAAAATGCTGACAGGGAAAAAAAAGTATTAACTTTTATCAATTCTCTATCTAGTCATTAGGAATCAGAGTATTTTTAAGAAATTACAAAGACAGAGAATTTACTATGTACAAGATCACATTGAAAGACTATTAATGGAGGTTTTCCGGTTAAGAAATAAACATAGAAAAAAAAGAAATAAACATAGAAAGGAATTAAAAAATTAGAAAATTAAGTTACAGAACAAGAAAAGTTAAGAAAATCTGTGGTGTGGAAAACTCACAAAAGGAAAATCACTGAACATACTACTTGGCTTTCTGTAACAATATTTGCAAAGTCAGTAATGTTAAATGTGATGTTTCATTATAAGTAAAAAGCAGAGAAAAGTAAATAAACAAAAATGGAGACAAAAGGTAAAAGTGGCATAAGAAAATTAAATTTTCTTCCACCTGACTAAGAAGTCAATACATAATAAAAATAAGCCAGGAATAGCAATATAAGTATAATATCTGAAAAAATAGTATGAAGCATGAGGAAAAAAGACAGCAAAATGAGTTAAACATTTTTTAAGCCAAACTCGGGTTAAGGTAAGAAAAAAGAGGTAGGAATGTGAATATCATTTTTCTTTATAAGCCAGTAATTTTTTCTTAATCTTATCAATCTATAAATATTAAACTGCTCCCATTTAAAATTTATAATTTGATGATTTTATAAAGATGTTTGTAATTGTGAAACAACCACTAAAATCAAAATACAAGATGTTTGTATTGTAACCAAAAGTTTTCTTGGGTCCATTTACGTTCCATTGTCCTACAGCTCCTTAGGCAATCACTTTTTGACAATGTAGGATCGATAGTTCTACTGGTCCTCCCTGGTGGAGCAAGTGGTTAAGACGCAACCTATGGGGCCTCCCCGGTGGCACAGCGGTTGAGCACTGGGTTGCGAAGCTGCTCGCAGCCTCTGCAGTGCCAGTTCGATCCCCGGCTGCTCCCCGGCCACCAGAGGAGGGTCCCACATGGCGCGCAGACCTTTCCTGCCACCCGCTGCTCCCCTCAGCAGTGTACTTCGGTCCTTCTGCCTGCTCTGCTCTCAGCTCTGGCTCTGGTGAATTCTCTCACCCTCCCGCGCTTCTGAATGTACCCAGGGCTTATATAAATAAATAAATAAATAAATAAATAAATCTTTAAAAAAAAAAAATAGTTCTACTGATCTAAGGTCAGAGTGAGTCAATCTTTTGACATTTCCAATCAGTTGTTCAGGCTATCAGGTAACTTTTTATTTCAGCAACTTATTTTTTAACTTTGGAATTTCTATTATTTTCATTGTTTAGTTTATACGATCTGCTAAGATTACAAGTTTGTTAAATGAGATTATATTTTAATTCTTTGAACATATTTAGAAAGGCTGTTGTGCTAAATTCAGCATCTGGCTCCACTCAAGAGTCAGTTTCTTGAGTAAGAGTCACACTTTCCTCTTTTTTTGCATGTCTAGTAATTTTGAGTTGAAAATTGGACATTATTTTTAAACTGGGTATTTTAGATAACACATTCAGACAATAATAAGATGACTTTGGCATCACTATTTTGAGATGAAGTAATCCATCCAACTGAAACATTACAGAATGCTCCAGAAATGGGTGACACTAATAAACTAGGACTGAATGAATCAGCTCATTCACCAAGGCTCAATGGGTATCGAACACAGTGCTGCATAAATTAGCTGTGAAATATGTCCCTCCAACAAGAAATGAATTAATAGGGTTTGAAATCAGCTTGATTTTTAAAAAAGATTTATTTATTTATTTATAGAAGCACGGGGTACAGTCAGAAGTGCGGAAGGGTGAGAGAATTCACCAGAGCCAGAGCGGGGAGCAGAACAGACAGACTGACAAAATACACTGCTGAGGGGAGCAGCGGGCGTGGCAGGAGAGGTCTGCGCGCCAGGTGGGACCTTTGCCAGCGGCTGGGGATCAAACCAGCGCTGCAGAGGCTGCGGGCAGCTTCGTAGCCCAGTGCTCAACCACTGCGCCACCAGGGGCTTGATTTTTTTAAATAGATTCCAGGAGGAGAAAACTGCCCATTTCTTGGAGTGGAAGGCTAACAGAAGAATACAATGGACTTTCACATGTAAAATGAAGCGGAAGACCAAGACAACAAGAAAAAGGTATGCTAAGCACACCACAGCCAATTTTTGCTATTTACCCTGGTAGGATTATTAGTATCTCATGTTTGTATTTCAGAAACTTTTTATTTGTATTTGGAAACTATATGTAGGTATGCTTACATTTCTTTGTTTCAAAAAGTTTCTTATGAAAAGGTCAGCCTTTCACTGCCATACTGAGAAGCAGGTAAAATATTTCTCTCTATAGCTGAAATAGTATTTTAAATCATGAACAGAAGGAACAGACAAAGGAATACAGCTACTGATGTGGGGTTCCACATGGGGAGACCAAAGTAAAATGAGAACTCCTTAAGGGAGGGATGAAACCATAAGGGAAAGAGTTGATGCCATTTCTATTCACAGAAATCCAACTTTTATCTCTTCACTATTAAAATGTAAGTTTATATTATATTAGAATACAGATGACAGTTTTCTTACAACCTACACTAAGATCTTTCAGCAACAATTTGAACAAAGCAATGTTTAAATAAACTTTAAGCCTTGGGGCCTCCCTGGTGGTGCAGGGGTTAAAGTCTCAGTGCTATCAAGCTATCATCAGCCATGGAGACCTGGCCTGAGTTCAATCCCCAGGCAGGGAGCTAACCCACCTAGAGCAGACCTTCTGTCTCACCCATGCCTCCCCTCAGCAGTGTATTTCAGTAGATCCACCTGTCCTGCTTCCTACTCTGTCTCTGATGAATCCATTCCCCACCCCCCACATCTCTGGCCTGCACCCCAGTTCTTGTATGCATAAAAATGACAATAAATCTTAAAAAAAAAAAAACCTTTTAAACCTTGAACATAAAATTAATGCTAAAAATGTCACTGATTTTTAAAGTGAGCCAAAATGTTGGAGAACCAAACCAAACAAAAAAAATATATCCAAAAGTTCAAGGATAACAAATTTCACGCAGAGTAAATACTAGTATTCTGATATTTCTTCTTATGTGAACTCACCTTCAAATTTTTTCTAATAAGTACTATGATAAAACATTTGTGCGTAGTATATATGAAAATTGATATGCAATGAAAATTGATATATAACAAAGAAAAATTTAAATTTCTGTCTTAAACATTACATAAAACTTGTTATCCATAAAAATATACAAACACTGAAAATATCATATAAAGAAAAGAATATTTTAGTAATTTAAGAACTGTTTTTATAATCTTGGAATTGGAAGTTGCAAAACATGCAAATAAAGCATGTGAGGAATAGCTGTATTTTATCTGTTACATGTCTGTACACCATGAATGATAAGGATATGTATTTTCAACATAGCCCTTTGAAAACAAAAAACAATTAAATCTATCATTATAAAATCAAGTCCACTCTCTCAGGTTAAACAGCATTCTACCTTACATGCGAATTTTATTATTTTACATGTTAGTACACCTAAACCCACCTGACTGGAGATGTCCATTGCGGCATGTCAGGTTAGTACTGTCATTATAGACATCCATTTGTGACTTGGAGAATTGCAAAACTGGTTGCAGCTTCTCTATGCAACAGAGGGAGGTAAAAAGAGAACAAAATAAACAAAAAAAAACAAAACCCACATAATATGTAACAAAAGGTGTTTGTGAAAATGAAAAATCATTCAAGGTGTTATAAGTTGTTATAAGAGAAGGGTTTTTGCTTTTATATAAATTCTTCAAAATTTAGTTAGTAAAATCTCAGACATTAGAATAGCAACAGAAATTAACAAGTGAGTGCCTCCCTGGTAGCGCAAGGGTTTAAGTCTCAGCGCTATCAAGCTATTGCCAGCCACTGCACCAAGTTCGATCTGTGGCCAGGGAGATAACCCACATGGCACAGCAGACCTCTCCTGTGGCTCACTGCTTCCCTCAGCAGTGTATTTCAGTAGATCTGTCTGTTCTCCTTCTCACTCTCTCCGGTGAATTCTCTCAAAACTCCCCCCACACTTTGCACCTATGGTCTACACTCCAGTTCTTGTATGCATAAATAAAATAAAATAAATCTTAAAAAAAAAAAGAAATTAACAAGCGAATGGCTATGTTCAAAATATGCCTTGGTAACCTGAGGCAGTTCCTTATCACTATTATCACTAGCAGATAATTTCGGAGTATCTAATATGTACAAAACATTGTGTAGGAAAAACAGCATGAAGATTTTAAAAATGAATATGGTCTCAATTACCTAGATACTCACTCAATGTAGCTGGCCACCTATAAATCTTTTTTATAAAAATGATTTTACAGCACAAAAAAAAGAAAATACTAAAGGGCTTTACAGGGGCCACCCCTGGTGGCGCAGCGGTTGAGCGCTGGGCTGCGAAGCTGCCCACAGCCTCTGCAGCGCTGGTTTGATCCCCAGCCGCCGGTGAGGGTCCCACATGGCATGCAGACCTCTCCTGCCGCCCGCTGCTCCCCTCAGCAACGTATTTCATCAGTCTGTCTGTTCTGTTCCCCACTCTGGCTCTGGTGAATTCTCTCACCCTTCCGTGCTTCTGACTGTACCCAGTGCTTGTATAAATAAATAAATGAATCTTTTAAAAAAAAAAAAGGGCTTTACAGAGTAAGTAGACTCAAGATTTAAAAAGATGAAAGGTATTTCAGGAAAGTAGAAGAGTGTTTAAAAGGACATAAAGAAAACCATGAGTTGTGTCTAAGAAATGTCATAATTAGACACAACATCTATTAGGCAAAAAATAAAGGCAATATATGGCCTCCTTGGTGGCACAAGGGGTTAAGTCTCAGCACTATAAAGCTATTGGCAGCCACTACCTCATGAGTTCAATCCCTGGCCAGGGAGCTAACCCATATGGTGCAGCAGACCTTTCCTATCTTGCTTACTGCTCCCCTCAGCAGTCTACCTGTTCTGCTCTCCACTCTGTCTCTGGTGAAGCCTCTCACCTCCACCCCACCCCTCACACCTCTGGCCTACACCCCAACTCTTGTATGCATAAATAAGACTAACCTTTAAAAAAATAAATAAGGGCAATAAAGCAGACAGAATTATCTATCTGCAGAACTATCAGTACAATACCCTAACGTGTTTAAGTACATACATAGGAGGTTCTGAGGTTAAGTGGGAAGGGGTGGGAGAAAGGGACAAAGGAGTCTAAGAAATTATTGTGGGGAAGATAAAGGTCCTCCCCCCAAAATAAACATACTCTTGTACATGCTTGTATACGTGAAGATTATCCCTAAAAAGGACCCAGAGAAATTGATAATAGCAGCTGTCTCTGGGGAGGAGAAATGAGTGGCTGGGGTATAGTATATAGGATGGATGCTTTTCATACTTAAAATTTTTTAATTTTGTGGCATGTGCTTATATTACCTATTTTTTAAAAATAACCAATTAAAAGTTTAAATGGATTAATTCAACCCCATTTCTACTTCATATAACTAACAACAAATTCTTCCAAGATCTGGGTCTCTACAATTAGCACCTGAAGCCCAAAAGGGCAACAGTTTAAGCTTCCTGGCCATTCTACAAAATGACAGCTCTCTCTTTCCCTCTTTCAGATCAATCCATATTGCTGGCTGACAAACACCCGCTCAACCAGTTATTAGTATGAACTTGCTTTAGTTTCAGTTTTCTGAGCATCTCAAGAATTAAATAAATTCATGTACATAAAATACCTACTCTGTGCCTCATTCATAACAGGGGGTCAATTTTTACCATATTTATTTTGCTAAAATTGTCACAATAGATTCTTTTCTTCTGTACAAGGAGAAATGCAAGGTAATAAGTGAATATGGCCAAAAATGCAGCACGTATATTTATTCTAACTTTCTTAAACTTTCATTTCTAAGGTCAGACAAGCAGGCGCCGTGCTTGGTTTATGGTACAACAACACACACCTTTGGGACAGGTTAAATAGCAGTGACACTTTCTGCACAAAGCACAAAGTACTGCACAGCTTTTGTATCCTAGAACTGGCTGATACAATATACCTTGGAGCTTTTTTCTGCTTTGTTAGTTAACAGGTAGGTCATCTGATTTTTCTCAATGATTATACTTTTAAAATCACCATACTGGGAAAGAAACCATTTGTCTAGGCAAAAGATACAAATTAGAAAAAACAATAATTTGCATATGTCTTCTTTATCATTTAACATTTTCTTCAATGAAATAAAAAGAAATTCACATAAACATTTATTACCTAATAAAAATAAACAAATTAAATCCTTAGTTTTAATAATAACCAGGAAGAAAAAGTCATAGAACTTGTTTCTAAGTGTGTAAGGTGCAAATTTTTATGTATGGAAACACATACACAGTAGCAGTATATTGCTGAAGTGTTCCAATGCATTTTTCTTAAAGAAAGTAAACTCAATTGAGTACTGTTCTAGGCACTTAAGATATAGATAAGAATCTCTCCTTCATAGAGCTTATAGTCCAGCAGGGGAAGACAGCAGGTAATAAACATAATTAATAAGTTAGGTTGTGTGTTAGAAGGTGTTGGGGGGGGGGGGAGTAAAACACAAAGAATTAGCAGTAAACACAGGCCTCCCTGGTGGCGCAGGCAGTTGAGCTCAGCGCTGTGAAGCTGTCTGCAGCTTCTTCAGTACCGGTTTGATCCCTGGTGGCCTTGGAGCAACCCACAAGGTGAGCAGACCTTGCCTGTCTCGCCCGCTGCTCCCCTCAGCAGTGTATTTCATCAGTCTGCCTGTTCTGTTCCCCGCTCTGTCTCTGGTGAATCTTTGCACCCTCCTGTGCTTCTGGCCTGTACCCTGGCTCTTGTATAAATAAAATAAATATATATATATATATATATATATATATATATAAAGGATTAGCAGTAAACAAAAGATAGTTGGGGATTTTAGTGTTTGTTTTGTTTTTTTTTAAGATTTATTTATTTACGCATACAAGAGCTAGGGTGCAGGCCAGAGGTGCGGGGTGAGGGGGTGGTGAGAAGATTCACCAGAGACAGAATGAGGAGCAGAACAGGCAGGTTGACTGAAATATACTGCTGAGGGGAGCAGTGGGCAAGACAGGAGAGGTCTGATGTGCCACATGGGTTAGCTCCCTGGCCAGGGATCAAACTCATGTTGCAGTGGCAGCCAATAGAATCACAGTGCTGAGACAACCTGCCAATAGACTCATAGTGCTGAGACTTAACCCCCTGCATCACCAGGGAGGACCCGGTGATTTTAGTTTTGAATAGAATAGTCAGGTTATGTTTCTTTGAGATGTTGACGTGAGTTGGCCATATAGTATGGTATCTGGGAGAAATATGATTGAGAGAGAAGAGTCAATGCAAGGCCATAAAAGACACATCTGATATGTTTGACAAGCAGCAAAGGGGCCAGTGTGCCCCAGCAAATACATTAATGGTAGAGGTGAAGTCAGAGAACTAGTAAGTGGGGGAGGGAGGGACAGCTGTCACAACAGGGAGAGCCTGATAGACCACCATGAAGATCAGAGATTTTACCACCTGTGAAATGGTGAGCAGTTAAAAAGATTTCAAAGTGGGCCTCCCCGGTGGCACAAGGGGTTTAACACAGCACTATGAAGCTATCTGCAGCCTCTGTAGCATGAGTCCGATGCCCGGCCTGCCAGGGAGCTACCCACATGGCGCAGCAGACCTCTCCTGTGTCACCCGCTGCTCCCCTCAGCAGTGTATTTCAGTCAGTCCTCCTGGTCTGCTCCCCATTCTGTCTCTGGTGAATCCTCTCATCCCCCTGCACCTCTGGCCTCTACCCCAGCTCTTGTTTGCATCAACAAATAAATCTTTTAAAAATAAATGAATAAATAAAAGGCTAGGTCACATTTTCAAGATCATTCATCTATTTCTAGCTTACATTTAAAGTTTAACTGAATACATTTTCCAAATACATATCATTCCAACTATCCAACTCATTAATTGATACCTAGAAGTTGTAAACGATCCTTGGCCATAATCAAGTTAGTCATCATTTTAGCTTGAAGGCGTCTAGCTCTTTCACACTGTTCACCTGAAAGAAAAAAAGCAGAAAATAAAGAACTAAAACATCTATGTTTTCTACAAGTACTGTATATAGATAAAATATCAGCCAAACTAATCTCATGGGAATCAAAGTCTTATAAAGAAATTTTGAAAACATTATTTTTGAATACCTAAAATAAATCAATTATAGTTACTTATAATGACTTCATGTATATTTCATGATCTATTTCAGACACATTTCTTCTCCAACACTTTAAAATCTTAGATATTGAGAGGTGTTTTACAACTGTTGCCAACTAACTTGGCAATAATGTTATCAATCAGGCTGCATTCATAACATAGTTTGTCTTTGCCTGAGATATAAAATTTTGGTCACAGATATTAATATTGCTGTTAGAGCAATGTACAAATAAGAGTAAGGCAGCATATTCAAAATTTAAGTAATAAATTAAAATTCAAAATTTAAGTAATAAGAACAGAATGTGTCACAGTTAACCGAGTCGTCGTTTTTCCCACCGGCAGTACAATAAAAGATATTTATTTTAACTGAGATAATACTGGCTAACAACACTGTATATAATTTAGGGGTCAAAGGCATTTTTGATTCAATGAAATACTATTTTTATTATTACCAACTCATTTTCTTCTAACTTTTCTATATAATTGAAAAGAACGGCAAACATATTTTGCACAAATTTATGTCATGCTCATGAACTCATCAAAGTCTCCAAGGTCCAATCATCCCATTCATGTGTTCTATTCTGCTCACTTTCATGTAGAGACCAGGAGGTAGAGAAGTAGTCAAAGATAAAAGGAGGTGGGGAGGGGAAGAAAACAGCATGGTAAATATTGGGCACACTGATTATCAGAGATTAGCTAATTATCAGATGAGTCAGCCAGCAAACATCTATAAAGCTAAGACACTGAGCTTAATATTATATTTTTTCCTTCTGAATTTATTTTAGCTATGATAAACAATTATAAACAGTGTTACTAATGTACTACACAATATTCATAACATAGCATTTAAGAAATCAGGTTCTGAGGTCAGATTACTTGGGTTCATAGCCTAACCCTACCACATGCTAGCTATGAGACTTTAGTGAAGTTATTTAACTTCGTTGTAATTATTCACCTAAAAAATAAGTATAACAGCAGCACAGCCTCAGAGCGTGAGACTGTGATGAAAAATATAAGAGTTACTATGTCTGAAGCACTTACATTGATGACTGGGCACTTAAGAAGTATACAATAAATGCTATCTATAGATTTAAAAATAATATAAGACTCCAATTTTTAATCTGAGGTGACAGAAAAGTAAATATGAGAACTAACTGCTTTGGGTTCAAAAAGCTAAGAGTCAAACAAAGTGACATATTCATGGCTCATATTCTAACATGTAGTCAAGTATTACTCAAAAGTACAAAGGGGAGTCTATGGATTAACCACTCCTTGACCTCCCTGACAATGAGGAAAGAACCAGATTTCAAAATTATGGCTTAAACATCACCAACAGTAGGTTCAAGGAGGAAACAAGTAATATACTGATTACTGTGATACTGATTCTTACAGGTAATGAAGTTTGTGTACAACTGATTATAACTTCAATTTTAGCACAGATAATAAAGAATTAACTATACAATGTCTACAAACATTGATAATATTTAAAAGCCTATAAATACCTATATATATATTTTTTTTCTGGGACCCTCACCGGCAGCCGAGGAATGAACCGGTGCTGCAGAGGCTGCGGGCAGCCTTGCAGCCCAGTGCTCGACCGCTGCGCCACCAGGGGAGGCCCTATAAATACTTGAATTAAGATAAATGGATCTGAAATCAAGCAATCAAGTGAATATAATCTGAGATGACTAGGAAGCAAAAGTAAATATAACTTTACCTTGTCCTGTAACTATGACAGCTATTCCTTTTTCTAGTTCTTCAATACCTTTCTTATACCATTCCACAGCTTGCTCTTTTTGTCCTGCTTTAAAATAGAAAGTTATTTTTATATGAGTATGAAGAACACATCGAACATTTCCCAAGCATGCTATTAATAAGATGCATTAAAAAGAGGGTTGGAGGGCCTCCCCGGTGGTGCAGCGGTTGAGCGCTGGGTTGTGAAGCTGCCCGCAGCCTCTGCAGCGCCTGTTCGATCCCCGGCTGCTCCCCGGCCACTGGAGGAGGGTCCCACATGGCGCGCAGACCTCTCCTGCCGCCCGCTGCTCCCCTCAGCAGTGTACTTCAGTCCTTCTGCCTGCTCTGCTCCCCGCTCTGGCTCTGGTGAATTCTCTCACCCTCCCACACTTTTGACTGTACCCAGTGCTTGTATAAATAATAAATAAATAAATCTTTAAAAAAAAAAAAAAAGAGGGTTGGAGGCCTCCCTGGTGGTGCAAGGGGTTGAGCACAGCACAATGAAGCAATCCACAGCCTCTGAGTTCGATCCCTGGCCGGCCAGAGAGCAACCCACATGGCGAAGCAGACCTCTCGTGTCTTGCCCGCTGCTCCCCTCAGCAGTGTATTTCAGTCAGTCCTCCTGGTCTGCTCCCCATTCTGTCTCTGGTGAATCCTCTCACCCTCCCGTGCCTCTGGCCTGTACCCCAGCTCTTGTATAAATTAAAAAAAAAAAAAAAAAAACCAATACAAAATCTAGCAAAAAACCTGAAATGACATTTTTCCAAAGATATGCCAATAGCCAAAAACATGTGAAAATATGCTCAAGGATAAATCATCAAGAAAATGCAAATCAAGCCATCATGACAATCACTTCACATCCTTTAGGATGTGAACAGAGCCTGAAAATAACAAATGTGAAGAAATTGGGGCCTACCTGGTGGTGTAGGAGTTAAGTTTCAGCACTATCGCACTATCACTGCTGTGGCCTGAGTTAGATATCCCCAGACAGGGAGTTAACCCATGTATGGCGCAGCAGACCCCTCCTGTCTCACCTACTGCTCCCCTTAGCAGTGTATTTCAGTAGATCCACCTGTTCTGCTCCCCACTCTCCCTGGTGAGTCCCCTCACCTCCCACACCTCTGGCCTACACCCCAGTTCTTCCATGCACAAATAAACCTTTTTAAAAACATGGAGAAATTGGAAACTCTTATCCACTGTTGTATGGAAAACAGTTTGGCAACTCCTCAAAATATTAAATATAGAATTACCATATGATCCTACAATTCTAGTCCTCAGTATGTACTCAAAAGTACTGTAAACAAGGATCAAACAAATACTTGTATATCAATGCTTACCGCAGCATCATTTACAATAGATGAAAACAACCCCAATGTCTATCAACAGATCAATGGCTAAACAAATTGTGTAATACACAAACAATGGAATATTACTCAGCATTAAAAAGGAATGAAATCTGATACATACTACAATATGGCTAATGAACCCTGAAACATTATCCTAAGTGAAATAAGTCAAACACGAAAGTGCATATATTTTATCATTCCACCCATATGAGGTAACTAAAACAAGCAAACTCATAAAGACAAAATAGTGAAACATGAGTTATTCATGGCCTGGGAAAAAGGACACTGGAGAGTGGGAAATAGGAATTACCACTTATTGGATATAAAGTTTCTGGGATGGTGAAGTCTTAGAAATGGATAGTGGTGATAGCTGCACACCACAATGCAATGTCTTTAATGATACTGAATTACACACTGTAAGAGATTAAAATGGCAAATATTATGTTATCTCTGTTTTACACGTAAACAAAAAGTTACTAAACAGACTTACTGGCAGTTTGATGACCCATGGTATTCAGCAATGAAAATGAACAAACTGCTACCACAGGCAACATCATGGATTAATCTGACAAATATGTTGAGCAGAAGAAACCACACACAAAAGAAAACATACTGTATAATGTCATTTATAAGGCTCAAGATAAGACAAAATCGATCTACAGAGTCAGAAGTTAGGCTGTATAGACACCTTTGCAAAGAATAGGGAAAGGTAGTGGAAGGAACTGAGAAAGGCAGTCTTCTAGAGCAATATTCTATTTCCTGACCTGGGTGGGGTTTCAAACTGCTATACTCAGTTTGAAAAATCCATTGAGCAATAGACTAATAGTGCATTTTATGTATATTTTAATAAAATTGTACTGACAGATCAAGAAAGAGCAAATATATTTTAATAAAAAGAGTCCCAATATACTAAGGGAAAAAGACTACAGATCAGTTCACATATACCAGATTTTTTTTTTTTGCCTCTAATGATAAGTATTTATTTATATAAGAAAAGGTTGAAGAATCATAATAATTATCTTCTAAAGGGCAAGATTACTAAGGATTTTCACTTTCTGTATCTCTGTATCATTTTAATTTGGTGGTATTATATAAGCAACGGAAGTATTGATGATATATAAGCAACAGAAGTATTCTATTATATAAGCAACAGAAGTATTGATGATATCCACCTTTAAATAGAGATCAGTGTAGCTGACTAGCCAATTATCAACTCCACCTTTTCATTCATACATTAGTGGTATCCAGATTGCTGTGAGAAGGGTCAAAACAAGAGTAATTTGAGGCAGAAAGAGAAAATGTGTTTGCAAGTATGTGAATGAGAAGACAGATTTAAATCTTTTTTCCCAACATTTAACAGCTGTTATAACTTAGTAAAGTTAGTTAATTTCTCTGTCAGTGTCCTTACCTAAAAATCAGACTTTCCTTTACCCAAGTGTGGCAAAAATCAAATGAAATAGTGTATCTGACAAAACTTTAAATAATAAAGTGGTATACAGACATTATTTTCATTATCTTTACTACACTTAGTACATTTGTTTTGACTAATTTGGTTGATTAATTTAAATGTTCTAAACTATATGCAGCAGTTCCTGACATTTGTCCATTTAAGTTATATAAAGCACACTGCTTTTACTTATATATTTAATTTTTCTTAAGAATCCATCTACAGGGCCTCCCCAGTGGCGCAGCAGTTGAGCGCTGGGTTGCAAAGCTGCCCACAGCCTCTGCAGCGCCAGTTCGATCCCTGGCCACCGACAAGGGTCCCACATGGCATGCAGACAGACCTCTCCCGCCACGCCCGCTTCTCCCCTCAGCAGTGTATTTCATCAGTCTGTCTATTCTGCTCCCCGCTCTGGCTCTGGTGAATTCTTTCACCCTCCAGCACTTCTGACTGTACCCAGTGCTTACATCAATCAATCAATCAATCAATCAATCTTGAAAAAAAATCCATCTACAAGCAATTTCAAATAACAAATATATCCCATTTTCCTATGCAATTTCCTGCTAGCAACGTGCCAGGAAATAATATTTTTTAAAAAATTATAGCAGATTGTAATCTGTATTCTTAATAAACCAGGGCCTCCATAGTGGTGTAAGGGGTTAAGTCTCAGCGCTACGAATCTACCCACAGCCACTGCAGCATGAGTTCGATCCCTGGCCAGGCAGCTAACCAACATGGCACAGCAGACCTCGCCTGTCTTGCCTGCTGCTCCCCTGCGCAGTGTATTTCAGTCAATCTGCCTGTTCTGCTCCCACTCTGTCTCCGGTGAAGCTTCTCAAACTCTTCCCACCACACACACCTCTGGCCTACACCCCAGTGCTTCTGTATGCATAAATAAGTCAAAAAATCTTAAAAAAAAAAAATCATTTCAGGGGGCTTCCTGGTGGCATAGGGGTTAAGTCTCAGTGCTATCACACTATCATCGCTGCAGCTTGAGTTCAATCCTGGCCAGGGAGCTAACCCACATATAGTGCAGCAGACTTCTCCTGTCTTGTTGCCTGCTCTCATTAGCAATGTAGTTAAGTAGATGTGCCTGTTCTGCTCCCCACTTTATCTCTGGTGAATCCTCTCACAACCGTCACCTCTGGCCTACACCCCAATTCTTCTAAGCATAAATAAATCTTTAAAAAAAATCATTTCAGTTTTTGAAATTTTCTTTAAACTTTCAGAATGTCAATTAATTTCTCGTCTTTAAAATCTTTTGTATTTACTCTGGATAGTAAGTAATTTTAATTTTCTTCTGTGCATTTTCTGTATTTTTCCAAATTACCAAGAACTTACATTATGATCAAAAATGAACACAAAAATTTCATTTTATCTCTTTTGTAATAAAAAAACTAAGGTATTAAGTTAGGGGGAGACTTTTTTTTTTAAGATTTATTTATTTATGCATACAAGACTGGGGTGTAAGCCAGAGGTGCAGGGGGTGAGAGGATTCACACCAGAGACAGAGTGGGGAACAGAACAGGCAGATTGACTGAAATATACCGCTGAAGGGAGCAGCTGGTGAGACTGGAAAGATCTGCTGTGCCATGTGGGTCAGCTCCCTGGCCAGGGATCGAAATGTTGCAGTGGCTGCCGATAGCTTCGTAGTGCTGAAACCTAACTCCTTGTGCCACCAGGGTAGTCCCCCTTTTTTAAAATGCACTCAGGGGCCTCCCTGGTGCCGCAAAGGTTAAAACACCGCATTATGAAGCAATCCGCAGCCTCTTCAGCAGGAGTTCGATCCCTAGCCAGCCAGGGAGCAACCCACATGGTGCAGCAGACATCTGTCTCACCCGTTGCTCCCCTCAGCAGTGTATTTCAGCCAGTCTGCCTGTTCTGCTCCCCACCCTGTCTCTAGTGAATCCTCTCACCCCCTTGCATCTCTGGCCTGTACCCCAGTTCTTGCATGCATAAATAAATAAATCTTTTAAAAAAATAAAATAAAATGCACTTAGGGTCACAATTAGCAAAAGCATGTTTATATCACTCTTTAAATAATTCTTCCTCAAATCTCATTTAGACTGTTGCTGGGTCCTCTAAAGGGCAATAGAAACTAGGTATCAAGGTTTAACATGTTCTAACATAACTTCTAGCAGTTATAATCTTTAAATACTTTTGAATTAATAATAGTTGCCATTTGGACCTCCCCGGTGGTGCAGTGGTTGAGTGCTGGGTTGCGAAGCTGCCCGCGGCCTCTGTGGCGCTGGTTCGATCCCTGGCTGCTCCCCAGCCACCGGAGGAGGGTCCCGCATGGCGCCGCCCGCTGCTCCCCTCAGCAGTGTACTTCGATCCTTTTGCCTGCTCTGCTCCTCACTCTGGCCCTGGTGAATTCTCTCACCCTCCTGCACTTCTGACTGTACCCAGTGCATGTATAAACAAACAAACAAATAAATAAAGAATGCATGCCTCTTGAAAAATAAATAAATAAATTGCATGAATAATAGTTGCCATTTTCTGAGGACCTACTAATGTTCAGGCACTAAACATTTTACAATTATATCGATGCATTAAGTAACTTACCCAAGATCCTATATAGTCAAAATTCAAATGTCAACTTAAAGAAAGGCACTGCAGCTTAAATAGAATAAAATTAGACCCTCAAAGCTGAGAAAGAGAAAAGTAGCCCCTGACATCCAGGAGTTGGCCTCATACTATCAGCTAGTCTTGGTGTTCTTTGTGAAAATAAACAGGGATAGGCAAGTATTTTGTCTGCATTTTTTTTAAAGATTTATTTATTTATTTATACAAGCACTGGGTACAGTCAGAAGCGCAGGAGGGTGAGAGAATTCACCAGGGCCAGAGCAGGGAGCAGAGCAGACAGAAGGACCGAAGTACACTGCTGAGGGGAGCAAGGGGCGGCAGGAGAGGTCTGTGCGCCATGTGGGACCCTCCTCCGGTGGCCGGGGAGCAGCCAGGGATTGAAGAGGCGCTGCAGAGGCTGCGGGCAGCTTCGCAACCCAGCGCTCAACCGCTGCGCCACCGGGGAGGCCCTTGTCTGCATGTTTTAAATAAAATGCAAGTTTGGATTATATGAAATTACAAAATTACATGGCAATTAATTTTTTAAATTAGTGCTTTAACTATAAACCGATTAAGGATAGGTAAGGATTTTATTGACACTTCTGTCCTTGATGCCTGATTCTTTTTTTTTTTTTTAAAAGATTTATTTATTCATCCATACAAGTGCTGGGGTACAGTCAGAAGCGCAGGAGGGTGAGAGAATTCACCAGAGCCAGAGCGGAGAGCAGAACAGACAGACTGATGAAATACACTGCTGAGGGGAGCAGCGGGCGGCAGGAGAGGTCTGCGCGCCACGTGGGACCCTCACCTGGGGGCCGGGGATTGAACTGGCCCTACAGAGGCTGCGGGCAGCTTCGCAACCCAGCACTCAACCGCTGCGCCACCAGGGAAGGCCCTTGATACCAGATTCTTTACACCTACAATAACTTGAGAAATCTGCTCACTGTCTTTCATATATCATACTGGACCTTTACTGTCAAGTCCTACATATCTGAGGCAATCAAACCACACCTAGAGAAGTTGCACCATTGTGTTACCCAGGCGATCTCAGGCTTGCCTTCCTGCAGGAGCCATCCAAAACATGTTAGATCACGTTCTGGTTATCCACTATCACAACCTCCTCTTTTCCTCCCCGTATTTATTCTAAGGACCCCAGTATTGGCATTACAAAACAATCTGCTTACTATAAAAGCGATAGTAAATTTAGGTGAGTCTGTTCACCTAAACTCTGGTTCACCTTTTTGAGTTTCATTTTCTCTATATACATAATGAATATGCTAGGTTATCAGTTTTCCAATCACGTTCAACAATTAGAGGAAATATCCATAAAATTGTTTAACTCCTTTAAAAAATGAGGGACTTATATATGAAAATATATACACATTTATTAACTGCATAACAAATGTTGTTTAAATACATCACACTAGAAAGTAAGCCTTTCTCAGGTACATCTGGAATTCAGGGTTATGCAAATTAACTAGTATCCAATACTTGCCTGCTCTAATGAAGAAAAAAAAAAACTCATATAGGGCCTCCCCGGTGGCGCAGCGGTTGAGCGCTGGGTTGCGAAGCTGCCCACAGCCTCTGCGGCGCCGGTTCGATCCCCGGCTGCTCCCTGGCCCCGGAGGAGGATCCCACATGGTGCGCAGACCTCTCCTGCCGCCCGCTGCTCCCCTCAGCAGTGTGCTTCGGTCCTTCTGCCTGTTCTGCTCCCCGCTCTGGCTCTGGTGAATTCTCTCACCCTCCCGCACTTCTGACTGTACCCAGTGCATGTATAAACAAAACAAACAAACAAATAAAATAAATAAATAAATAAAAACATGCCTCTATAAAAAAAAAAAAAAAAAAACTCATATAGCCTACAACAGGTAAAGAGAATTTGCTTCGCTATTCTTGATTTCAGACAAATGTAGTTTATGAAAATTCAGCGTCAAAGTTGAGTATGCCATAAGAAATTCATAATAATCAGTTATCATATAAACCACATGTACACACTACCTTATTAAAATAAGATTTAATTTGGTCTCTATCATTTTCAAGGCACCAAATGTTCCCATTAATTAATGCTACTACAGTCTGAAAGAGTCTATTCCACCTGAGAAATCAATTGGCTTTCAGTACATTCAGAAACTAAGTCAAATTGCTAAGGGAATGGCAGTACATGACATTACCAGCCCTTTAAGGGTATACCACAGAGTTAGGAAACCTTTGATGACTGCCTGTCCAATTCATATCTATGTGTTCATATATATTCTGATGCAGTGGGGTGAAGGGAGAGTGAAATTCTTTTGGAATTAAGTTCTGTCCTGTCAATAATGGTGAAGATACAAATTGATTTAAAGGGAACTCTCATACTACTAGAATAGAGCTAAAGTACTAAAAATTTCACTAAGCTAAAGGAGAAATAAGCTAGAACTATGACAATATAAACTCAGTTTTACTCATTTTTATTTTTATTTTTTTTTTAATAGAGGCATGTTTTATTTAATTATTTGTTTGTTTGTTTTGTTTATACATGCACTGGGTACAGTCAGAACCGCGGGAGGGTGAGAGCCAGAGCGGGGAGCAGAGCAGGCAGAAGGACCAAAGTACACTGCTGAGGGGAGCAGCGGGCGGCAGGAGAGGTCTGCGTGCCATGTGGGACCCTCCTCCGGTGGCCTGGGAGCAGCTGGGGATCGAACCGGCGCCGCAGAGGCCGCGGGCAGCTTCGCAACCCAGCGCTCAACCGCTGCGCCACCGGGGAGGCCCTTTACTCATTTTTAAATGAAAGTGAATATACCTAATTTGTTTCAGTTGAAACTACTTTATTTTGGCATATGATGCATCAGATGTGGAATTCCAAACTGAAGACCTATTGTAACTATTCTGATGTCCCCTGCAGAAACTATAATATAAAGCAAAAAACTGTGAGCAGAAACATTATTGATAAAGTGTGAAATGTGATACACAGTTCATTTAAAACATGCTTCAAAAAATATTTTAAGAGAATTTAAAGATACTAAAAAATAAATCACCAGCATGAAACCCAAGTGAATTTTACTTCTGTCACTTACACCTTACATGAAACAGATTTCTCTTTAAATCTAAGACCTTAGGAACTTTTTTCTTTTTTAATGCAGAATTTCCTTGACCTTTCCTCTTATCTCTCAACTCCCATCACCCAGTGTTAACTAAAATTTCCTTGCATTTAGTCTTCCTAAATACAACAATCAATCTACCTTTAAATATATTTCATCTAGTCTAAAACATCTTTCCACACCTAAATTAGGAAGCTTCACAGGACCCTACTGTAATAGGATACTGCAATAAAACTGAGCTTCTCTAGAGATCCTTGGGTGCTCCTAAGAAATGGAAACAAAAAATTGCCTTCCACAAACACATAGCATTCTTTCATTAAATCTGTCTCCTTCTTTGAACTCCCCTAATCGCCACTGTCCTTACACTACAAAAAACACGAATAGCAGCTCCTCTGCTTATATCACATTTCCTTCTCCTAAGCCCCACAAGAGAAATTGGTTTCAAACAAAACTGAAGATCTAGAACAATTTCTGGAGTTGGTGGACAGAGACACTACAAGTGAATTGGAGATTGGAGTTAGTATCTAATTGAGATGCGGAAAAATGGTCTGTGGCAGTTAGAGAAAAAGATCTCGGCATACTAGATCGAGGGTTGAAAGGACAGACTTTTTAAAAATGTTAGAAAAACCCGTCTACATTATCTCCAATAAATTCCCCGTACCCAGCGATTAGTAAGTTTGGAATGGCCAGCTTTAATCATTTAATCCTCAGTTTGTCCACTTGTAAAAAAATGCTGATACTAAATGTAACTTCCCCTCCTGGGGTTATTTTGAGGATTAAATACGTTCACAAACATGCAGCGCTAATAGAATGGTTTCCGGTACATAAACTGAAAAGTAATAGCTTAAAAGAAATCCTAAGTATGTAATTCTTGCTTTCATTAAGAAACATGTGCAAATTTACTCTATTCATTCATGTAACACTTCAGAGGCTATCTTTTAAAACTGATTTAAATAAACTCAGTCCAAATCAGGAACAAAAACAAAAATGCGGTGCTAAAATAAAACCTTACTGAAGAATACTTAGGAGTCCTAGCGATAAAACGGTTGTCAAGAAACTTAAAAATATCACTCAATCCAGCTGCAATCACATGCAGCTGTCCCTTTCAAAATTAAGTCATTTGTTCTTTCTTTTCTGACATTACAGTACTGCTTTCATTAAAAGCCTATACAACAAGGCACGGCTTCTTCGATATCAAGACCTTTTGGAAACCTGGCTCAAAGGAAGCCACACGCTGTTTACGGTGCTCCCAGGGCTCCGTGTGGTCACCCCAGGACAACTGTCACTGTCACCTGCACGTCTGGGCGCCCACAGGGACCTGGGTCGTGCATGCAAAAGTGCAAGGAAGGCTGTGCAAGGTCAACAGCCAGGATGCCCTGAAAGGAGATGGGTTTACGTGAATCGCAGAGGCTGGGGCTCTGACTTCGGGCAAGCCACCTCGGTGGGGGGGGGGGGCAGATCAATCCTGGCGACACAGAGGTCGCCCTCCCCCGGCAGCCCCGCCGCCCTCGCCCGCCCCTCCCCGCGCCCCGGGTACCTTTCTCGTCCTCATCGATGCGCAGAGCAATGGAGATGTACTCGAAGGCCTGTTTGTGGAAGGCTCGGACGCTCTCGGCCTCCCCGCCCGGCACCGGCGACGGGGGCGAGGCCGCGGCGGGCGCCGGGGCGGCCCGGGAGCTCCTCTTGGCGGCCATGAGGGCGCGGGAGAGGCGCTGGCAGAGCCACACGCAGAGGAGCCCCAGGTGCAGCGCGACCAGCCGCAGCAGCGCGAGGCCGAGCAGCAGCGGGGAGGAGAAGGAGCGCAGGTTCCGCTTAGGCGGCGACGCCGGCGCCGGGGCCGGCCCGGGGGCGGGACGGCCGGGGGCCAAGCAGGGGGGCGGAGGCCTGGGAGGCGCCGGGCTGCTCGGGCCGCCGGAGCCTTTCTTCTTCCCTCGTCCACCCGGAGAATTCATTCACAGCGCCCGCCGCGGCCGCCGCCATTACCCGCCTCCCGCACGCTGACGGCGACCGAGCGACGGCGGCGGCCACTGGGACGCCGGGGGCCACAGACCCCCACACGCCCGCGGGTCGCTGGAGCCCGGCACCGCCGCGCGCTGCTCCCCGGCCCCGCCCCTCTCTACCCGCTCGGCCAGGAGCGCAACCCCGTCTCCTCCTCCTCCTGCGGTCCGCAGCAGCCGCCCCTCCCTCTCTTCCTCCTTTTCAGCCACCCGGTAGCGCAGAGCGGAGGTCACGTGTGCGCGCGCACGCGCACGCCCTCCGAGTTGGTCCCTGGCGCGCACGCGCAAGCCGCCCTCTTTGTTGCTCTGAGCTCCCAGAGCGCGTGTGCGGCGGGGGGCGCGCTGTCGCTTCCCCCCACCGAACTACAGTTCCCAGTGTGCAGTTCGAACTACGTCACCCTCCGGGCCCGGTCACTCTGCGGACTTCGTTGCCCCGGGGAGCTCTTAGCTTGGAATTTTGGTCATCAGCTCGCTTAAGGTGCCTGTATGTCTTTCGGTCCTTTGGCTAGTTCGCGAGGCTCTATTTCGCAGTGTCACTGTTTATATTTCCCGCAGGATTTTCTGTCAGTGGATCCAAATCTTCCGCCAAGTGATTGAGGCTGAGTTCCAGCTCAGAAGCAGTTGCAGAGACGTCCAAACTTAAGGTCCCCCAAAAGGAGAACGTTAGCTCGATGAGGGCCAACGAGTCCAGAAGTTCAAATGAGTACATGTTTAGATGTGTAATCTGAAGAATTAAATGGTTTGAATAAGAAAATGCGTAGGTTTTGTACAGTAACCAATGTCATTACAGTGTAATTCAGACTGCCCCTCATTTAAAAAAAAAATTGGGGGGCCTCCCTGGTGGCGCAGGTGTTAAAGTCTGTACTATCAAGCTATGGTCTCTGGTGAATCCTTTCACCACCACCACCTTCTGGCCTCCACCCCAGTTCTTATATGCATAAATAAATAAAAAATAAACCTTTAAAAAATATTTAAAAAAAATAAATGACCTACTCCCTATTTTCCTCCTGTTCCCTTCCCTTTTTCTGTCTCTATGCTTATTTATTCAAGTTTCTCTTTCTGAAATGTACTATCTTTCACATTACATTTCATTTAAAGAAAAAAGATTTATTTATTTATGCATACAAGAACTGGAGTGTAGGCCAAGAGATGGAGGCGGGTAGGGGTAGCAGCAGAGATGGGAGAGGATTCACCAGAGATAGAGCAGGAAGCAGAACAGAAGGACTGATTGAAATACACTGCTGAGGGGAGCAGCAGGCTAGGCAGGAGAGGTCTGCTGCGCCATGACAGTCAGCTCTTTGGCCGAGGATGGAACTCATGTTGCAGTTACTGGAAACAGCTTGTTAGCACTGTGTCTTTAACCACTGTGTCACCATGGAGGCCTCTTTCACATTACATTTCAATTCCTGACTTCTCCAGAAAATATTACTTCTCGGGGGCCTACTGACACAAGGGATTAAGCACAGCACTGTGAAGCAATCAGCAGCCTCTGCAGCTTGAGTTCGATCCCCAGCCTGACAGGGAGCAAACACATGGTGCAGCAGACCTCTCCTGGCTCACCACCTGCTCCCCTCAGCAGTGTATTTTAGTCAATCTGCCTCTTCTGTTCCCCACTCTGTCTCTGGTAAATCCTCTCACACACCCCCACCCCCACACCTCTGGCCTGTACCCCAGCTCTTGTATGCATAAATAAATAAATCTTTAGGGCCTCCCTGGTGGCACAAGGGCTTAAGCACTGCACTATGAAGCAATCCATAGTCTCTGCAGCACGAGTTCGATCCCCAGTCGGCCAGGGAGAAACCCACATGGTGTAGCAGACCTCTCCTGTCTCGCGTGCTGCTCCCCTCAGCAGTGTGTTTCGGTCAGTCTGCCTGTTCTGTTCCCCACTCTGTCTCTGGTGAGTCCTCTCACCCCCCCCCACATCTTGCCTGTACCCCAGCTCTTGTATGTATAAATAAATATTTTTTTTAAAAACCCATATTTTTACATCACCTGTTTATATTTTATTAATTATTAAAGAAATATACCTTTAGACCCTGCAACAGAATGATCTTTCACTCCTGGGTATCTAGGTGTTGAATTTCTGATTTCAGGCTTCCCATTTGCTAAGTCTCTGTTACCAAGTTGACTGCTTTTCTGCATATTTGGGGGTTTTTTGGTACCTAAATTGTGAATTTGAGAGTCAGACTGGAGTTGTTATTCTGGTTCTGCAACTTACTAGTTATGTGATATGGAACAAACTTTTTAACTAGTTAACTCCTCCATAAAATGTTTGGGTTAAATTACAAAGTATAATATACAACTAACACCTCCAAAAGAAAAGAAAACCTCCAACATCATACTTATAAATTTTATTTGTTTTTGCCTCTTACACCTACAATGCCACTTGGCATTTCAGACTGTACTGGAATCTCAAATTTTAGCACTCCCAATTCACATTTTCTGCCTCTTGAAAATATATCCCTGTTAAATTAGCTTTCTGAATTAACATTTTCCTAAATTTGTGTCAAGAGGAGTAGTCCCTAGATGTTACCCTATCCTTATAATCTGGACTAAGATCCTAAATTTAGCCATTTAAATTACAGTAAGACAGACTCCCAGTTTTCAGATGGTAAGAACTAGCAGGAAAGTTAATCTGAGTGGAATCTGGGCCAGTTTCACCAGGACAAAAAAGAGGAGCTGAGTACTGTGCTAACTAATCGAGGACATTCAGTCACTTTATCACTTTAACCCATTAGCTTATTTACCAAAGTGCCTACTACCAAATAGTTTTTTGATATATCAGCCCTCCTTGCTTTCTAAGGAACACCCACCTTCAGTATGAGAGATGCTGGATTATTTCATGTAGGGATCAATGATCAAAAAGATATTTAGGACATCTTTTCAATTAAAAACTAATAAGTGAAATAAAATGGCACGCCTAGAGCCAAGAGAGGATATGACTAATTTGGAGAAAGGCAGAATACTCAATAGAGAGAAACACATTTAAAAACATGATTCAGGCCTCCCCGGTGGCGCAGCGGTTGAGCTCTGGGTTGCGAAGCTGCCCGCAGCCTCTGCAGCACCGGTTCGATCCCGGGCTGCTCCCCGGCCACCGGAGGAGAGTCCCACATGGCGCGCAGACCTCTCCTGCCGCCCGCTGCTCCCCTCAGCAGTGTACTTCGGTCCTTCTGCCTGCTCTGCTCCCCGCTCTGGCTCTGGTGAATTCTCTCACCCTCCCGCGCTTCTGACTGTACCCAGTGCTTGTATAAATAAATAAATCTTTAAAAAAATAAATAAATAAATAAAAATAAAAACATGATTCATGGGGCGGGATAGTAGGAGTAGAGTAACATTTAGAGGATTATTATGCACTAGCTGTGTTAATAAGCAAATACATAATTGTGAACATTAATCATTTATCTGTATTGGGTCCACTTTGTGGCACACCTAGTTAAACGGGATGGTTATTAATTAGCTTCAGTTAATTTTTCCATTTCAAGAATGTGTGACCTACTGTTGCCAGATTTTATTTTTAATTGAATTATCATTGTTTTACATCCTTGTTAGTGTTTTGACTGCATAGGATTTACCTTCTCAGGTATAGTCACTGTAGCACTCCTACCACCAAAGCAACCATAGTTCTTCAAAAAAAAGTTTTTAAAAAATATTTCAAGAGAGGGCCTCCCTGGTGGTGCAGCGGTTGAGCGCTGGCTTGCGAAGCTGCCCGCAGCCTCTGTAGCACCGGTTCGATCCCCGGGCTGCTCCCCGGCCACCAGAGGAGGGTCCCACATGCGCACAGACCTCTCCTGCCGCCCACTGCTCCCCTCAGCAGTGTACTTCGGTCCCTCTGCCTGCTCTGCTCCCCGCTCTGGCTCTGGTGAATTCTCTCACCCTCCCGCGCTTCTGACTGTACCCAGTGCTTGTATAAATAAATAAATCTTTAAAAAAAAAAAATTTCAAGAGAAAACCAGAATTCTGAATTTTTATGAGAAACCTATTGCTTAAGAGATATCAGTTCAAATTTTAAAAACAACCTGAAACAAAACTGAGATACCAGTTTGAGATTCCCTAGCTTTCAGAGGATTTGTTAGTGGTGAAAGTCTGAATGAGCTCATGGTTTTGAAATAGTACTGGGTGTAAGAGTGTAAGTTGTGACCTAACCTGCTCAACTTGATTTTTAAAGCTATGATGCTGTAGAAGCATAAACATAAACAGTTAATACAGAGTTTTAAATGTTCTAGAATGGTAGGTGTATTCAATCAACACTCTAAACAAAGTATTTGGGTACATAGATCTAATATTATATTTCTATATTTATGGTGGGCAGGGCGTGTTTACTCTAGCAAGCATGAAAGCAGAGCAATAAAAATCGTTACCATCATGTGAATGTGTTGGAACATATAAACGGAGTTGTCTGTTTTCAAAGGTGGTTTCTAAACTTACTACAGTGGTTTTAGAAAGTCTTTATCCTTGAGACTTTCTTGTCAGATAAACTAATTCCTATATTCTTTTTTTAAAGATTTATTTATTTATTTATTTATTTATTTATTTATTTATTTATTTATTTATACAAGCACTGGGTACAGTCAGAAGCGCGGGAGGGTGAGAGAATTCACCAGAGCCAGAGCAGGGAGCAGAGCAGGCAGAAGGACCGAAGTACACTGCTGAGGGGAGCAGTGGGCGGCAGGAGAGGTCTGCGCGCCATGTGGGACCCTTGTCTGGTGGCCGGGGAGCAGCCGGGGATCGAACCAGCGCTGCAGAGGCCGCGGGCAGCTTCGCAACCCAGCGCTCAACCGCTGCGCCACCGGGGAGACCCTAATTCCTATATTCTTGTAACACAACCTGATTTTCTCCATTTACTTACATTGTTAGTATTTCAGTCTATAATATGTTGCCCTACCCCACCAGCTTTGCTTCAATACTTATTCACTGTTTAATATTATTCCAAAGGTATCTACTTATATTTATCTCAACTTCATTTGAACTCCTTCAGAATTTATGATCTATATTATTCATCTTTTAATCAGTTATTTTATACTGCCATTTAAATGTATTTTGTATATGTATGTACATATATGAGATATATATCTGATCTAGC